AGTGTGCCACACCTTCTTGGAGAGCTTGGTGATCTGCACGAAACGCAGTAAGCGGACAAGCCCGAGGATGCAACCTCACGATCACGCACCTTCTCAAGTGCCTCGATCGCCTCGTTAAGCTCGCTGGGGGCGCACGGTGTCAAGGTCGTGAAGTCATCCTCCGCGAAGAGGTCTTCAATGAGCTCGTCGTCAGCAGCTTCGCGCGAGTCATCCGGGACGTCGTCGTCTTCGTCTTCACGCTCTGATTCGGAGAGCTCGTCTTGGTCTTCATCGTCGTTGTCGACAGTGTTGCGGGGCTTGCGCACGCGCGTCTTCACAAAGGGTTTAACCGCGGCCTGGAGAGGTCAGGATGAGTGGTGAAGACAACGACACTGGGAGAAATGGCTTGAACGAACCTTGCTGACCAAGTTGAGTACATGCCCGAAGCACCGAACGAGACCGTTGCCGATGCGCAGGTGCGGGTGGTTCTCGCGGAGGGCACGCATAAGTGCAACGTTCACCTCCGCGTTGTCACAGGTGACGCCGATGACCTTTGATTGAGAGTGCTTGTGAGTCATGAGTATATACGTATTCAGAGAATGGCATACCTTTTCCAGATACCATAGTCCTTGAGGCACTGCTCAAGCTGCTCAGCGAGGTAAACGGCTGTGTGTGCCTTCGTCAACCTGATAATACTAATAGTTAGATAAAATAGTCAGTACTAGATCAAATGTATAGACAACTCACTTGACAAAGTCGAGGATGATATGGTTGATCTTGCCATTGTCGTGCCAGTGCGCCGTGATGCCGAGGTACGATATCACATTGGGGGCGGTCCAGCCATCCATACAAATATGGATACCGCCGGCGAGATTCTGCAAGTCGAGGTGTGAGGGATGCGAGAGGGAATTGAGAAGAGTATCAAACAGACCTTCAAGTGTGCCTTCACCCTCTCCTTGGACTCGGAATGGAGATCGCGTACGTCTTGAGAAACGGTTGCCCGCGTCGGGATGGCAACCTTCTTGTACAGCATCCCGAGGATAGTGCGGAGGTTGGGGTCCTCGACGATGGTGAAGGGGCGATGACTACGTGCGCACCACATCGCCATGTGGTAGCGCAGACGATGTGGGGTGTAAGTAACTCCGGCTGCGAAATTTTCGATCATCTGGACCTCAGGGATGTCGTCCGGGTCGCACGTCTTCACATGCCGAGACAGGTTGCCCGTACTCTCTTGATATTCAAGACGGTCGACGGTCTTGGAGGGGTTCCTAGAGAACAACACGTCAGAGGATGGCACCGATCAGAGTGCCAAGAGGGGACATACGTCTTGCACACAAAACGATGGACGATCGCACCGTTGGACGCGGTCACAATCTTCGGCCGGGTGAAGTGGTCGTAAACTGAAGAGCGCCACTTTGTGATGAGAGCATCTGCATGCCACGCTGTTAGACGAAAACCGTGCGATACGAGATGCAGCGGAGTGACTTACCAAGGGTCTCCTCTGGGGACTTGCCAGCGTAGCGCTGCGCGAACTTGGCCTGGCGAGAGTTCGCCGCTTGGACGCCGGCGAGGCGAGCCGCCGTTTGAGTACGCCCTTTCAGAGCAGCGACCTCGTCGAACCCATCGTCGTCGTCGAGGTCAATCTCAGGCTCGGAGGTGTCGCCTGCCTGAGACGAGAGCCCATCCTCGCCAGCAGTTGATGAGCGCGACGACCTGTGAGACAAGGGATCAGCCAGGGAATGGTGGAGCAAAGACGATAGTACGTACGCGTTCCCATCGCCCTTGCGGCGTTTGGGCTTGTTGGGTGGGGAGGTGGGGGTGGGTGTCCCTGCATTCGGCGGCTGGGGAGTACCATGCGGGGTCTTGTCACTGCCTTGCGAGACAGTCTCCCGGCGACGCTTGGCGGCAGCTGTGGCAGCGGAGAGGGGGGTGCGAGTAGGGTCGATAGGCATGGTGAGATGCGATAGTCTGAAAGACACGAAGTGAGGTGACGATCAGGGAGGTAGAACGTCGGAGCGCACCTCATTTTGCCAACAGGCATATGTAGGACGCCGCGGTGCGCTCTCTTCCACACCGCGACTCATCCACGGACATCCGCACATGGTCCCGTCCGCGGGCTCAGTGTGGGTCAGCGCGATGATAATCGGCCATGTGAACCTCCAATCGTTCTGGTGGAAGACGAGCGAAGTCAGCTCGGCCCGCATCCGACCAGAGAAAACCCACAGAAAACTCACCTCTGAGCCCATCCAGGGCCGATCTCTCGAGCGCATGCCTCCATTTGATGACGCGTGCAAGTTCTTGGCCAATCCGAGCTTCGATAGGTCCGCTGGGACGACTTGAGGCGATGGCTTGAGGGCTCCAGGCACCCAAGGGGCGGACACCGGAGTGCCGTCGGGATGGAAAAACAGATGAAACCAAACGGTGCAGATGAAGTGAGGCAGAATCGAGGGTTAGTAGAACACATGAGGACATCGTAGACGGATCACAACGCACCAATTTCATGCTGGATGCTTGCGCGGAGGCGGACGAATGAGAGTGGGATCTGGTGTGAGCACGATCTAGCCATGTAACCACCTAGATCTGAGAGATCGGGCACCGAGTGTGAGGACAGGAGCTCATGGTACGTAGTGAGGGTGCTTACCGAGGCTTCGTAGGGGGAGATGTCGAAAGATGCTGAAGGGATGGAGACGACACACTGGAGAAGAGAGCCGGAGGTCTGGCGAGTCGAAGCGGCTTGCCGCCTGAGAACGCGGTCGGGTGCAATGCCACTGTCAAACGGGTTACGGCGTCACACGCCCTTACTCCAACCCTCTGCCCTGCTCCTCAGACCAACCCTCCCGCTGAACTGAGCCTTGCCTGCCCAAGATGTTTAAACAAGGTGAGATCCGTCAGAAACCGGGTGCGTATAGCTCACCTTATTCAGGCTAGCTGCAACTCAACGCATCAACACGCACGTAGATCGTTATCGGTGCCGGCGCCTAGGTACCCTCCACCCATTTTCGACACAAACCCGCATCCTCATGCTCTCTCCCTTAGCGCAACACCATCAAACACCTGACGTGGGCTGACGGCGCCTCATGTTGGTGATGGTGACCTCGCCCGAGTGTGTCGGACATTGGTAGCACTGGTACAGGGGCTCATCGCGCGGGCGAAAACCGGTATGTACCTCACGTTGATCCTTGGACCTCTTTCCAACCTCTCTGCCCCCATCCCAACTACTTCCGACCCCGCAAGCGACATGTCAATCATTGACAGCACAAGCCCCGCGATCTATCTGTTGACGGAGACGCGCCGCGACTCTGACGTTGGCCCGCCGTCGACACGGGCGTTAAACCATGAATGGCTCACTGTTCTGGTCAACGGCGTCACTGACACAGTGGTTGTGAGTAAATCTTTTCATTTTGAACGTGTCGGCCACTCTAAAACCCAGCCATACAGCTCCTGCTGCCGTACACTCAAGCCGCCCTGAACGCAGTCGACCACACTCGCGCTGAAGCGTGGGTCTCCATTGTGCGCGGATCCAAGCTCCAACGCTGTGGCCTGCGGGATGACCAGAACGGCCTGCTACTGCAGCTCGTTCTCGCGTACAGCGCCTTTGCCAAGAACACCCCAGCAGTCGAGAACGTCGACTTTCACCTATTTGTCGACACTCTATCTCTCTTCGTCGAAGCCCTCGACTCTCACGACTCTGCGGACACCGCGTTGATGGCGATGAGTGTTTTCATGCTTGATATCATACCTGAGGTAAGTATTGTTAGACCTATGTTAGTATATTGGGAAACTGACTAGGAACAGGTTATATATCCCGACCCGGATCTACTAGCATCCGCACGCGCTGTACTTGCGGCCTTGGAAGACAGCCCCGTCCTCACGTCCACGTCCCTCCTCACGCATGCGTCCGCGCATGTGCCCTCTCCCTCGTTCTCTGTCGCCGCCGAGACTGGCTTCTCCTCCGCCACTGTCATTGTGCCCGCGTTCGCCATCGCGCCCACCATCACGCCCACTATCATGCCCACATCCATGCCCATTCTTGTGCCCGCATCCACCCATCCACCTGCGCCTGAGCCGCCTGTCTCTGCGGAGCCTGGCCTCTCCTCCGCCACAGTCCTTACGCCCGTGTTTGCCATCGCGGACACGTCCACCGCCGTCGCGTCCACCCAGGCGCCCACGCGCGCATCCACCCAGGCGCCCACGTGCGCGGCCATGGCCACATCCGCTGTCGCAGCTGCGTCCACCACCATCGCGTCCGCGCCCGCCGATGCGGCGGCATCTACCGGCATGCCCACATTCGGCATCACCTCTGCGTCCTCCACCATCGCGTCGACAGAGTCCACCGGCACCCATGCTCCTGCGGACACGCCTACTCGCCCGGCCGTAGTCCGGACTCGTTTTAACGACGCGATGGAGGCGGCGTCCCGCGTGTGCGAGCGCAACACGCTTACGGAGATCGTTGGCATACCTCCTGAGCGTTCGGTTGAGGTAGGGAGCGAGTGGGTTGAGGTGATAAGGGACTCGAGCGACGCTGGTGAGGATTCAGATGGGTCCCTGCCGCTACTGCGGACCCCATCGGACTCGGATGACGAGTCCGATGATGACACTTGGTAACACAAGTGCTTAAAGTAGTGAACAAGTGTATATATACATGCTCCTGTGTCTATAGTGCGTGAATTAGATTGGAGGATCTGTGGGTGGAGCCACGGTTCAACCGTTTTTGGTCCCCCTCTGAACCGGAGCTGCATCGAGCCGGAGCCGGACCGAGCCGGAGCCGCATGGCTCACGATCCGCGGCTCACGGGTCCGGATCATCGCGACTCTACCCGCGAAGTGAGCCGGACCTCCAAACAGCCTTACCGCTGACTTCGTGGCTCGTCAAATCTTGCTGGTTTCAAACCATTCTGTGAGGACTTTGGAGGGGTTGTGTGTCGGTTTATCGTCGTCTATGTCCGTCTCCAAGTATGCCAGTAATAGTTCTTGATCGTCTGCTCTGAGTGGGTATCCCCACAGGGTTCCTTCGGGGGGTGTGATCGTTTGTCGGGTTTTTTGTAGCTCCTGTTGTTTCTTGATCCTATCTTGTTTGATGGTCACCTTCCCGGTTTCCCAGTTGATGATTGGATTGTAGTTTCGAATCCAGGGCATTCCAAAGATTACATCATCCCGTCCGATGTTGGCCACATACCAGTGGGTGGGTAGCTTGTTTCCGTTGAGAATGAAGTTCCCTTCTACACGATGAGTGATGTTTCCTGAGCTGTTGATTGTATCGTCCGCGTTCTTGAATCGGACAGGTAATGGTAGTAGCACCGTTGGGAGTTTGTATTTTTCCACTATTCTTTTGTTGATAATTACTGCGTCGGCTCCAGAGTCGAGAAGACCTTTGATTTCGACGGCGATTTTTCCCACTTCAATGTAACCGTTGAGTAATAAGGCGTGTCTTCGCCGTTCGGTATTTGATACAAGGGTTACATGAATGGTGGTTGTATTAGGCAGATCCGGCGTCGATTCGTCCTGCCGCTTTAAAAATCCTCCGTCTCGTCGATTATGGTAGCGTTAATCTCGGCTTCAGAGTTGCTGGGAGGGTCGTCTTCTTGGTCCTCCTCATGGCACGAATCTTCTGCTGTTCGGCTTTCCTTTCTTCTTGGCTGGGCAGAATCGTGCCAAGTGCTTTCCTTTCTTGCAATAGAAGCATAATCCCTTGCTTCGTAGGTCTTGTTCTTCTTCCGCAGAGAGTCGGTTGACTTCTCTGTTCGATCTTTCTGTGGTTGTGGTTTTAACCACCTTCGTCTTGAACCTTGGTTTGATCCCGAGGATCTTGTCCATGTCTTTCTTCATCTTCCAGTTCCTGTCGACGTCATGGCTCGCGCCATCCATGTGTTGAGGTCTGCAGGTACCGTGCCATGTCCAGGATCTTGTTGCGTACTGGAGCATCGAGGGATTGTCGGTACCACGCAGTTGGGCACGTGGTTCCGTGATAGCGCCTTCGTGATTAGGTCCATAAAGTTCCGTTAAGGCGTCGATCGACTCGTAATCTTTTGATGTCAGAGTACGCAGCCTGTTGGCAGCATGCATCTCCTCATTGATGGTGTGAAGGTAGCAAGTAGGGCTGTAAGGAAATTTCTCCACGTTCCATAGCCCTGTCGATGTCCTGCTGCGTCGGTTTCCCAGGCTTGACGTAGGACGCTGTCTTCCAGATCGCTGCTGTGCCTCCTTCCATGTAGGATAAGGCAGTGGTGATCATGGTTTGGTCGTCTGGGAAGTCGACGGGTCGCGCATCGAATAGTAGTAGCAGGGCTTGTACGAATGTGTCGAGTTTGTCTCGGTCTCCGTTGAATGGTTCCGGTAGTTTAACCTTTCCTTTACCTCGTAGTGGTATGTAACCACCCGGGGATCCTTGGTGAATATTCCACCTGGATTGACGGGTGGTCCTCCTCCTGGGGGTCCCTGTGGTGGTCCCCCTACCGGAGGTCCTCCTGCTGGGGTCCTGGTGGTATTCCTCCTCCTGGAGGTCCCTGTGGCGGTCCTCCTCCGGTGGTCCTGGCCTGGCAGTCCTCCTCCTTGTCCCGGAATAGGTGGTAAGTTCCCCAGGATCGGGAGGTGGGTAGCTGCAATTCCTCCGAGTCGAGGCAATGCTATCGACATCCATGCTGCTGCTGAGGCGCTTGCATTTGTGGGATTTGCGCTTAGCGTGAAGCTTGGTACTCCTCGTCGTTCGAAACTCCATTGAGTATCTTCCGTCCTTTGTTGGAGTACTCTTGCTGCTTCTTCGTCGCGTCGTCTCCTTATTTCGTCCCAATCGAAGTTCAAGCGACCTCCTCCTGACTCGTGGTCGGATTCTTCTTCTGGCTGTACTGGTTCGGTGATGGTGGTCCGTACACCTCTGTTTCTGTGACCGTTGCCATTTCTGGTTCTGGTTCCTTGGGTTCGGGGTCACGTCTGGTTGTTTGCCTGTGCGGCTCGTCCCTGGAATTGGGGCCGTTACTGGTTCTTCCTTTGTCAAGGATCTGGGGGTAATCCTTGGCGAGTCTCTTGCTCGTTGTCCTGATGTGGTTCTAGTAATCCTGGCCGGCTTTGGGGGCATGGGTTGGGATTGCTCCTGGGTTCGCAGTGGTTTCCACAACCGTTCGAGGCCTGTGGGATATTGTGCTGCGAATAGTTCTTCCTGTGATTCTGAGACTGGTTCGTATGGAGGTTCTAATTCTGGTGCCTTGGACTTTCGTGCTGCCCAGTATCTGATGGGACAGCGTTGTGTGGTGCACCGTTGATATCCTCGTCTAGTAATGTGATAGTCGGCGGTATTGGTCGGGTTGAAGATGTGGGCGTAGTCTTTGCACGATCTATCAGGTTCTTCGTTCGCTTCAGTTGACATTCAAGTACTCTTGAACCGTTTCCAGAGCGATGCGAACTCGCTTGAGTGCTTCGAGGCGGTTGGGGTAGTCTGGATGGATGAAGTTACCCCTGAAGTTGAATATAAATTGTTCAAGATCGGCTACGTCGAATTGAAGGCGTTGCACGAGCTTGGTGATTGGGTCGTGCGCGTGAAGGGGTAGTTCAATCGGTTCTTCGTCCATGTCTGGGACTCCGTAGAATTCGCCGAGAGTATCGTCCAGGTCTGTGATCTGCTGGTGGAGTGTTTCCAGTTCAAGTGCTCCAAATCTTTCTACTAAGATGGGTTCGGTCTGGAGCGTGTTCAGGTTTTCTCCTCCTTGCCTCAGGGCCCTCCTAAAAGTGTAGTACTCTTCAACGGTGTCTTCACTTGAGTCTTCTTCTGCTTGAGCCTGTACCGCGGTTCTCTCTTCGTCTTCGTTGATTATTGTGTCGAAGGGAGTATGGGGCTCAGGTGCGGGGCTATGGATCTCAACGCGAAGATTGGGTCGTCCGTGAAGAGGGGTCCTTGGCAATAGGATGAGGGGGTTCCAGGGGTAGCGTATAGGTGCGAGTTGCGGGAATTTTCCCTCTGGCTTGTTTCCAAACTTGCGTATTGCTGAACGATATCCGTGATGTCTGATGCTTATACTGTGTTCTGCGTTCGAGCAGTACACAGCCTTCCTTGGTCCTAGATAGATCCTCTGCACTTATAGAAGTGGAGGGTTCGAGACTTGAATCTAATGTTACGTTCGAGACTTATTCCAGATGGAATACAGCCTAGGTGCCTTGTGGTTACGGTGGCTATGCTCTGGCGCTTGCGTGCTATCGAGCGAGTGCGAGCGACAAGAGGATGAGATTGCGCGTAGCTGAGGTAGACGTAGTGTACAAAGGAGATTCAAGTCTGGGGAGGGAGCGCTCAGAGATGTTGTCCTTATATACAGGGGAGAGCGGGGGGAGTCATATTATCTGCGAGTCACGACGAGTCCGTATGAGCTAGTCTGAGTCGCCATGACCTATGTTGACTAGGAGCGATCGGGGAGTCACGGTGCGGCAGAGTGAGTAGAGATGAGTCCGTGCAAGTCAGAGTGCAATCGGTAGGTATTTACGGGGCAAGCATATCGGGGGAGTGGGGTTATGGGTGGAAATTAAATAGGGGCGGCGTACTAGCGTCCTTGATCGTAACAACAGGGGTATGGATATGGGGACACGGTTGGTCGTCGCACTCTCGCCAGAGGAGGTCGTTTCGCTCGTTGCAGACGATGTGGACGTGCCGGTTGTCTTCAGTGTCAACCGCGTGCTGATGACCTGCGCAAGCCACCGTGCTCTAGGAACCAGGGTACGCTCCGGGGAAGTGAACACCTATTGAGGCTTCCGGGCAGCCAATCAGTCGGGATGACCAACTGCGCGGATAGAGTCGTCGGCCGGGAGCAGGGTAGTGTTCTCAGAGTGTGATACTCGAGCTCAATAGACCCAGGGAGACTGCAATACGCTCAGAGCCTTATAACTCCGGCAGGTATGCAGGGTAGGGGAAGAGCGGGGCGAGTGGCACAGGGTGGGGACGATGCTTGCGCGAGTGGGGGCGATCCGATGCTTTGATGCCAGCACTCACTGGTTAGATCTCGACCTAATGACGCGGGAGCGGGCCGCGAACGCCAATCGGAGGAGAGGGAGGAGTGGATGGGTGTAGATGGAGGTTGGATGACCTCGATGTAGTGGTGCAGAGGCGTTGCCGGCACTAGGCGCAAAGCAGACGCAGACTAGAGTCACATGAGGGATGTCTAGCCCACAAAGACCAAGTTAACATAGCTCTACATACATACAGGCAATCGAGATACTCACCTAGCCCACAAAGACCAAGAGGTCGAGATGAGGGCTAGGACACGAAGTGCAAGTGCTAAGAGAGTCCGCGATACGGGCGCTTAAGCGCGGGAACAACCTTCCAATATAGTAGCAGGCAGAGAAAAGGCAAAGAAAAGACGAAAAATAATACGTAGGGCGAGTCCAGAGTCCGTTCCACGACAGAGACGTGTTTGCCCTTGCCCTTCCCTTTGCTTGAAGAGCCCAAATTGACGTGCTCGTGGTCTTCCTCAGCGTGGGGGGCAGCAACCTTGGCATCGTTGGACTTGCTGAGCCGCTCGCCAACATTGAGGGGACCTACAATGTGGTCCCAATGTTGCATGAGGGCCTTGAGGTGGGAGGACAGGATGTTGTAATGGACTGGAGTGAGATGCTGCTCAAACTTCTTGCTGATAAACTTGAGGGACCTAGACTCGGACAGGACAGAGTTCCAGAACTATGAGGGGGGTGAAGTAAACAATCTGATGAGAGAGTGAACGTGAACCATATCACCCACATGGATCAAGAACAGACGAGAGGATGGAAGGAAGGAGGCCGCCTGCAGGTCCTTGTTGAGAACAGACGAGAGGTCCCAAACGTCAGGGGTGCCATCGAGACGAGAGGACAAGGGAGCAACAGGATCCATCATAAGGGTGAGCTAGGAAAGCATGTTAGCTGTGGCTGCGCGACTGGTCCCAGCGGCATGCCGCTAGAACCAGTCCAGCGCAGGAAAGGGACTCACCCAGTTTACTCCGCTCTGGATGTTGAGCAGCATCGTGTTCATCGCTGAGAGTGCTGACTTGCTGAGCAAAGGCAGCACAAAGGTTGACCCATTTTGCGACAGGGTCGACACCCACACCAACTTGTCATAGGCATAAGAAAGTGCACCCTTGGCATTGTCGGAGAGCTTGTCAGTGTCAGCTTGCTCGATGAGGGCCTCCCAGTACGACTTGCACATCACGAGCACGTCGGGCCAATACTTGCTGAGACCACGAGACCACTCCACAGACTCAAGCTGCCCAAACTCGTGCATGCAGTGCTGGAGGTGTTTGACGAAGATACCGTCGAGCTTCTCGAGTAGCTCAGGTGGCCACACCTTGTGGCAAACCCCGTTCTTGGTGAACCTCTCCACGAGCTGCTCGTATGCGGTGATAGCAGAGGCCCAGGACTTGTCCTTCTTGTCGTCCTTCTTGAAAGGCTCCAGCACCAGCAAGTCGACGTCCTTGTCTTTGGCAAGCCTTTCTTTGACTTGCGCCCATTGCTCCGTGACGGCCTTGTTGTAGGCCTTGGTGGTGGCTACGACACCCGGTGCAGTCCATTTGTCGTAGGAGGCGATGAGCGCCAGCTTTCTGAACCCATCGTGCAGCATTTGCATCCGAAGCTGATGGCTTTGTGAGCGTGAATCAGGAGAGCCCATATGGGTCTAGAACTCACGAAGCCGATGCCGTGACCGAAGTGGCCGCCCTTCGAGTTCTCTTCAATCCACTTTGTGGCCGGCATGACGTCCTCCTTGTGAAAGTAGGAAAACTCGACGGCGAGTTGAACGACTACCCAGGTTGCCGGCTTGCTCATCAGGAGGTTCTTGCGGTTGTTCTTGACAGTGACATTGCTGAGAGCTTCCTGCAGCACCTTGGGTGGGAGGGTGCGTCGGTCCTCCTCGCTGATGCCATTCGCAGGGTTATTGATGTGGTTAGCAACTTGGCATGCAGCAGCCCAGAGTTGTTCAGAAGGGGTCTGGGGCAGGATGGGACCGGTGGCATTCTCGGACAGCTTCAGGAGAATGTCCTTTGGCGCGTCTGAACAGACATTTAAATGGAGTGAGCAACCAAGACTCCAAGAGAGAGAAGGACTGGCACTGGCAGCGGCATGCCACTAGGACCAATCTGAGCACAAACAATTCATGGCTGCACTTACCCAGATCGTACACCTCCGCCACCCACCAGTACGTGCCAGCAAGGGCATTGGTCAGCACCTCCACCTCGTGCTCCAGAGCCTTGAGGTCCTCTGGTCCTGTGATGTGCTTGACTTCAGAGCTCCTGAGCTCCAGCTTCTTCAAGGTGATGAGCTTGACCATCATCTGGGAGTGAAGCTTGGCGGCCTCGACACGATGGTTGCCGTCGAGGAGCTCCACCTTGCCACCTTGAAGGATCTTGAGAGTGGGTGGGTTGTTGCTCTTGCCGTTGGGCCATGTCTTGGAGACTGAGGTGGGGTCGATAGACTCCCGACGGACGGCGATGCAGATGGGGTGCTTGACGGACCGACGAGATGAGGTATGCATATTGTTGGCGATACTACGCACATGATGTTGGTTTGTAGTTCGGTTTACACCGACATTGTGGGCGAAGGCGACCACATTGGGACCAGCGACGGAGATCATGCACATGCCGAGGAATGCCTTGTCGACCTGTGACTTGTCGCCGTGATCCTTGTTGGTGAGAACCTTGAGACCAGTTGCCTCAAAGTCGGATTGGGCGTTGGAAAGGGCAGCCGTGGCGACCTGCTCCCGGAATGTTTCCTTCACCTGTTTGCTGGCATGTCCAGTCTTCTCAAACTTCTCCATTGGTGTCAGAGAAGACACTGTTTTCTCCTTCCCCTGCTTTGTCTTTCGGGTGGCGGACGAGGCCTGGATGTTAGTGCATCCAGAAGTGTGACAGTGTCAAAATTGCGTACTGCTTTGGGCATATCGGATGTGGGGTTGAGGGGGGAAGGGGTGGGCAAGGTTGAAGTGGTAGTATAAGAACAAGCAGGTACAGCACTGATAGTTTTGCCCTCCAACTCGCCAGCCTATCACCCATCACACCTTGATCATGATAGTGACAGAAGCACCAGTGGGCCGATGATTCGGACAGGGGATCTGGTTACGCTAGATGTCACAATGGTGACAGTCACTGACGTGTGAGACCCGTGATATATTGATACACATCAACTGGCACCGCTAGCGACGTGCCGCTCGTACCAGTGTAGTGGTTGTATGGCACAGACTTGATCCCAGTCGCAGAGTCGGATCGTGACGCGTTGTCGGGGTTGACAAAGCAATGCGCATATGGATTTCCGCAGCGCGCGTGGAGGAGTATGTACAGGATTCCATCCGAATCACGGCTCCGTTGGAGTCTGGAGTCTACGACGCCGTGGCGCCCGTTCACCGCGCTTTCCCCACGGAAATCCTCTCCGAGGTGTTCTCCAACTGTTGGAAAGACAGACGCGGCATGGCCGTCGCATCGCGCCGGGGATCGCAGCTCCGGGCGAACTCACCAAGTTCAAAGCCCCCGGTGACGCAGCTCTCGAGGAGTCGCGCGGCAGGTTTGCAGCGTTCGTTCCAGAAAGGTCCTCTCCCGAGGCTCTCTACCTCACGGCACGCTATCTGTCCGACTCCTTCGTGCGCGCCCTCACGTCACACGCCACTACTAGGCTCGTCTCGTTCGTCTCTTCCTCCGTCTCGATGATGCACCACGGCTTCAAGCCCTTCGTCGGATCGTCGTGGCAGGCGCGACAAGCTCATGACGTCGCTGGGCCGTGCTTGTAGCTACGGTCGTATGTGAGGTCGCCGCGCGATAGGCAAAGAGAACAACAACGTCAGACATGCATCGACCGCCGCAATGAATAAAAGGGCCGACCTGCATCTCGTAAAGGACCCCACCGAACTTCACGTCGGCGGGGGATCCGCCAACTCCTCGAGCTCCCCGGGATGGGAGTGGGCAGCGCTGCGTTCGGGACGTGCGTTCGATCCACTTCCAATGAGGGGAAATCGCGGCTGAAAGCGCCGTCACCGTCCCAGTGTCCCTTCGCGCCTCTCGCGTTTCCCGGGCTGCGGAGCCAGGTGCCGCGGGCCCGCACGCTCCATCGCCCATGTACGTATATCACATACGAATCTTTCGGCGTGTTCGAGAACGATGTCTCACCAGTGACGAGTGTCGCGGCGCGCTGGCGGGAGCGATAGTATGATGTGGATGGTGTTTTACAGTGCAAGAGTCCGCGTAGTGCTACAATCCGCGCGCCGCTCGGAGTCCGGAGTCCGGGCTTACCCACCGTCACACCGCGAGCTCGGTATCTGCGGAGGAGAAGCGCGGTCAGCGGACGGCAGCGCGCACCGCAGCAGCAGGCGCACCTATATCGGTGCGGGGGCGGGTCGCGGTTCGGGTCCAGAAGGAGGAGCGGAACTGGGTGAGGAAGAAGGAGGGGACGGTCGTGAAGACGACGGTCTCCGTCGCGTCGGCGGCCTCTGCGCGGCCGTGCAGCCTGGCCGACAAATACTCGCGCGAGTTCAGTCTGCGCAGGTGGGAGGGGGCGTCAGCACTCAGAGGTGGGGGTGACGAAGTGGCAAAGCGCACGTTACGAGCACCGAGATGGCGTAGACTGGGAGGGAGAGATACAGTGAGAACCGCCGCCAGGGGAGTGCGTCGAGCGAGACGCGCTCACATTTTGTGGTGACCACGCTGAGCGCGACGAGGTACAGGTGATGTGGCCCTTCGAGCACGGACTGTGCGGTCGATCAATATCACGTACAGGACCGCCAAGATGAGGCGCAGCTCACGAGAATGACGCAGAAGAGGCTGGATAAGCTGGAGCAGCCCTTTAGCTCGTAGCCATGCGCGCAAAGCATTCGGTCGTACCTCGTTACAAGCCCTATGATAGCGTTCATTCAGCTGACAGGACAGTACGAGTTGCTCGCCTACGTACCTGTGTTGATGGCGTATGTCGTCAGTGTGTCTACGAGCCTATCGGTGCTGCAAGAACGATGAGAAACGCATCTGCTCGAAGTGCTGTTCGCCGACATACCGCCCGAACCCCGTCTTCTGTCTGTAGAGATGGTACACGAGAGAAATGGCGACCAACACATCGCTGACCGCAGCGCATGCAAACGCCACAGTGGTCAGCCACTGTCGAAGACGCATGAGCGACAGCGAACGAAGCGAGCTATGAAGAACTACCTTGACTGCGACCCAGTGCTGGTATGTCCTGTTCATCAATCTGCGCAGTGTGGGTAAGCGTCGGTCCGAATCTCAACGGAACGGCACGCACAGCTTGAAAAACGCCGCTGCGTTCCAGGTGAGTTCGCATCATCACAATCTGACGCCACATTACTCACCAAGCACAAATCCTGAACGGGCAGTAATGGAGTCGTCAGGAGCAATGCTTGCGGATGTCGATACAACGCCTACCTGTTCCCGCGCCCACAAATGAGGCCTGCACGAACGGGGTCAGTGCGATGCCAGCACGCTACGTTTATGGATCTTACCCATGCAGCGAAGAACACAATCCGGTAGGGAGGATTGACTGAAGACGACGTCAGTCGGTACCCACAGGTCGACCCAGTTCCTGTACCCACATAACCATACACGCCGGGCGTAAAAGCTAGCGGACGGTGGTTAGCGCGCTCCCGAACATTGACCGGAAATGCCACGAACATGTCCGAAATGAGGATCACTAATGCCTGTTTGGGGGATCAGTGGAAATCTCGGCGGAAGCCTGTGTAGGTGGCTGACCGAGACAGGGGCAAGCAGCTGGCGCCAGGAGGAATGTGAGCGTCGTTCCCTCCTTATGGACGACAGTGTGTACGTACGATTATCGATCTGCAAACGCTGCGCTTTCAGTACGCTAGTCTCGGTCTAGACCGGGGAAAGGCTCACACAGTAGCGAAGTTGTCCGCGTCGGGGTCAGCGTGGTGACTGATGAGGTAGTGGTATCTGGGTGGGAGGCCTTTAGCGGGGCAGAGATCCCACCAGACGCAGCGATCTTACTCTACGTGCATGGAGATGCCCACATGTGCAGTCTCCGCTAAGCTGGATGGGCGCCAGGGTGGAGTTGAACATCGATCGTACAAAGCAGACGATGTCTCGAGTACGTACACGATGACCAGCACCTAGACGGAAGAGGTGAGAAGTCGCGCCAAGGCCGGGTTGTCACGAAGCGCACCATGAGCTTCAGGATGGGTTGGTCGTTCTTGTATTTGTAGAAGTACATGAGGGCCTGGAGGAGCATGACCCCGTAGAAGCTGGGCCGGGGACATCAGTCACGTCACGAGCAGGACTGGCAGGTCGGGAGGCGGATACGCACAGGGAGCCGACGGTCGTGCCAATGAGGCCGGCGGCAATGGAGCTCTGGACGGCGATCTGGGGCCCGGGAGGCACCATGTTGGCGGAGAGCATGGAAGCGTCGCGGAGTGTAGCCATGGGAGGCTGCGACGCGAGCACTAGAGGCTAGTCGGGGCCGGCAGCATTCGTCTTCAGAGCGAGGGGTGGCCGTATAAAAGGCCTAGCGACCTCCGAAGGGCTCAATGTATCAGCAAGGTTCTGTTCTATGTCCGTGTCTTCCGTCGGCTGTGCGCGCTGTGCTCCGTCGACCGCGATCCACGGAAGCAGGTGAGCGGCGGGGGGCGGCTCATGCTGGCAACTTGCGACGTGTGTGGGTGGGGGAGCATATGGGCGTGGGGGCAAGGAGTTGCTCGCAGGCGGTGTGGGTGTGGCAGGCGGGGAGCAGCTTGGACGAGAGCAGGGAAGGGACAATCCGCGGGCGCCCAGTCCTGCTGTCCTCCGGATCTTCCCGAGCCGCGCCTTCCCTGCCGCTGTCACCCCGCGTGTTTCCCAACCCCGAGTCCGTACCTCGAGGAACCGGCGAATTCAGCGAGTCGAGCGGTCTTTCGTCAGACGGGTGGAACTAGTTCATTAAGGGGCCACTCATTTTAGCCGGCCATACATACCACAGCCAGTAGGCGATGTGAGTCTCACTCGACATACACAGCAAAGCGTCGATAGTTGCATTGCGTGAGGCACTACAACACGAGCTCCTCCAACACGGCGAACGAAGCAACCCATATAAGTATACCGCCATAATCTAAACTCCCAACTTTCCGCCCTGGCCGAACTCCAACTCACACCCTCCGAGGGCCCATGATCGCACCCGCAGTCTGGTCGCGCACGCCCTTGACGAACTGGTACGCGTCCGTGCCGCCAGTGCCCTTGGGCACGCCCGCCCCCGTCTCCGCGCCCTGGCCCTGGCGCGCGGGGACGATGATATAGAGCGCCACGATCCGGACGTGCTCGTCGCGGAACTCCTTGAGCGCAGTCACCGCCTCGTCGTACGCGGCCCGCAGCCGGTCGTCGTTCGCGGCTTCGACGAGCTGCCGGAGCGGGCGCGGGCTCGCGTGCAGGTGCCGGAGGAACGCGCGGTGGTGGCGCGGCATGTACTTTTGCATCCGCGTCAGGAAGGGGGTTGCTGTGGGCGCTGGGGTGGGCAGGGAGAGGGGCGCGGGCAGGGGCGCTGGGATCGCGGCGGGCTTCTTCGTCGCCACGGTGGGCTCCGGATCGGAGTCGTACAAGGACCCGGACCTGGGCATGAGGTACGCGGAGGCGGGGACGGGACTTGCAGGGGCAGACGAGGCAGAAGAGGAAGAGGATCGGGAGGACGCCCGGAGCGGGGGCGGGAATGCGAGCGGGGTCGCCGGGGCGGACGAGGAGGATGAAGATGAGGACGACGATGACGAGCTGGAGGATGCCTGGAGCGGGGGCGGGAATGCAGGCGGGGTCGCGGCGGCAGCGAGGTCGGCCTTGAAGTTCGAGTGCGAGTAGCGATCGACGCCAAGGAAGATGTCGAGCGCGTGGATCATCGAGCTCTGGCCCGCGCTGGGGCCCGAGAGCTCGGTGGGCACCTCGAGGCTCGGGTCGAGCTCGAGGCCGTCGAAGACCCACCGGCGGCCGCGCGTGTCCGAGTCGCAGCCGCGGAACCAGGGGCGGATCTCGTGGTAGAATGTGCTGGGATCGCACCCCTCGCGGACCGCGCCGAGCAGCTGGCGGCAGTGGCGGATGACGGCCGCGAGCTCGGTGAGGTACGACGTGATGCGGTGGTGGGCGATCGCGTCGTTGACGAAGGCCTCGTCCATGATCGCGCGCATGAGCGAGAGCGCTTCCACGCCGCGGAGCTCGATGCGCGCAGACGAGAGATAGAACTCCTCCTCGTCGGTCGAGCCGGTGAAAAGCGTGTTGCATCGGAGGTTGTATAGCTCATTCTTGGGCTCGAAGTGGGTGTTGGCTGCGGGCGGGGTCTTGAACGCCCAGTTGTAGAGAACGTCGTCCGAGTAGGTGAGAACAGGCGGCACCTGGAGCTGTGCGCAGATCTGAAGGAGCGGCACCGTGACGGGGGCTGGGATGTGGATGCTCATCTCCGAGACCGGCGTCGTGTGCACGTAGAAGTGCATGATCCAGGCCAGCACGCAGTGCCCGCGACGGAGAAGGATCTCGGATGCCTTGACTTCCTCAGTACAAAGGATGGGCAGCTGCAAGCGATGCATGACGCATCAGATTTGCCCCCAAAAGTACCGTGAAGGGATCTCCGCACCTTTCGGACCGAGCTCCGCCAATGCGCCGAACGCTCTTCGTCATCTTGCGAAATACCAGGCTTATCAGCGAGCTCGAGCTTGCTGTTGATGGCATCGTCGAGCGTGGCCTCCCAGTGCTCCCATGCGGCGGGTAGGCGGGCGATCGGGGGTTGGGGCGGCATGAACCCAGTGCGAGTGTCTACATCGAAGTCATGGGCCGCGAGCGTCGACACATCGGGGATGCCGGCGGCGGCGGGAGCGAAGACATCAGGGCGCTGGAGACTGAGGAAATGGTTGATGTGAAGCGACTGCATTTTGATGCCAGGTTTCGAACCGGACGGTGGCCAACAAATCTACCTGGATGGAGGCGTAAAGGGTGGTGGACGGCTGGAGGAGTGAGGGCGCGATTGGCGCGAACGGCGACGAGTTGCGTTGGTAATGGAGGGTCCGATGAGAGGAGGATGAAAGAATTAACCGATGGTGACTGTGGTGGCTTGGGTAGGATCTTAAATAGTGACCCGGGCGGTTGCGAATTTGGCCGCAGGCGACTGCCTTGGCTCGAGACCCGCTTTCCGCTCCGCTCCGCACTGCCGCCACCTGTTCCCGCCCAATCCATCCGCTCCGCCTCCTACCGGAGGGTTTGACCGGTCGATAGACAATGATTCAAGCGTCGGACAGACCATTTCGAGAGCCATAAACTTGCCGCCGCGGCTACACGCGGTGCGGAAGCGCAGCCACCACCGGTTGGGCGTTGACTGCCACGGCGGGGTCGCGGGATTACGCAATGTCGAAAGCTACTGCGCGAGAATGCATCTACGCGTGATCAAAGGCTCAGAAAGGAGGTGCGCAGATGCGACTTGTGCACTCACGGATTGCTCAAGCTCGGCTGTCCAGGTTTGACGCGGATCTGGCTACAAAAAGAGAGTAAGAGCGTGTCGGAAAAGCAGAAATACTGCTCAAAGACGGGTCAGGGCCATTCCAGAACCGCACGGGGACGAGCGTATATGCGGGGGATATTTGGCTCGGATGTTGGAGAATGCAAGAGAACGGGGAATGCGACGCTCAAACGTACCCTTAGCAGCGCTGCGCTAACCAGCCTCCTAGATTCATGCTGCATGGGACACTCCAGGATCCATGGCCCCCTCTAAAGGTCTCCCCGAACTCCATGTGCGGATTGCCCCGTCTTCGATGGGTGAGCGCGTGAGATGGCATGCTGGACCAGATGCTCAGAGAGACGGGACGGAACTTTTTCTGGAGATAGGACAGAGTGTGCGGGGGATGAAGATGAGATCTGAAGATCTGAGAGCTGGGCGGATGAAACTGCAAGTGACCGGAGGACGCCCGAGACCGACCCAATTAATGCGCGTGTTGACCTGTGTTGACGCCCGCACCTTCAACGCCTCCCACTGCGACCGTCCATAGACTATACATATGCATGAGTCAACCATTCATCACGATACCGCTGCAGCATGCCGTACAGTCTACAGGCATGTCAAGATGCGGTCATCGTTGTGGGTACCATATATGCAACCCCCGGCTGCCGAGGCATGGACTGCCATACTAGTGACTCGGGACGATCGAGGTGCATACATCGGAGTCGACTGTAATTGGCACGCACACCTTGCTTTCTTCCACCACTACGACCACTACCAAGCATACCAATAGGTCGGCGATGCCCATCCCTACCCCTCCTCTAAGACTCACGCCATCGTATATAGTGGATCCCTTCGCAATGGTCTCGGTCCTGCCGCTCGAGGCCTGGTGTCTAGTCAACGAACTCCCACTCGAAGACGCGGATGGTATCAGAGCTCTCTCCGTGCACGATGAACTACGCGCGTTTATCACCGTCCGGGCAAAGGAACATCTCAAAGATGCAACAGAAGAGCACCTGAGATATGCAAGGATTCTCCATTTCCTCCACAACACTCTCGCACTCGTCAACTATCGTCTCCCCGCAGAGATCCTCTCTATGATCATCGCTTACTCCTGGACGAAAGGCCGCGAAGCGACACTCGTATGCCGCAGATGGCGTTCTGTATCCCTCACCACGTCACTCTTCTGGACCCAGGCGCTCCAGGAGGCACATTCAACATACGGAGATCTACAGGTCAAAAATCTCAAGATCCTCATAGATCGGTCGTGCCGCCGCGGCCTAGAAGCCTCTGTCACCGACCTTTCTCCACAGATCCACCCTCACATTATGGCATCTGGCGCCCGATTCACCGCCTTTTCGTTCCGGATAAACAATTCCGAGGAGTTGTCTACGTTCCACGACCTCGTCGCGGCGCGCTCTCTCCCCAACCTCATCGGCCTCTCGGTTCTGATGGGGAATTCCCAAAGCAGCACTGATATATGGCTGCCCACATACGAAGCCACCCACCTCCTTTCCCCCTTTGATGTCTACCCAATGCCCCGGCTCCATAAGCTTGTCGCTCCGCTGTGGTATTTTCCACTCTTGGTCACCGGTACTCTCCGCATCCTTGAGCTCTTGGGTCCCTTCCTTGTGATGTACACAATGGACCACATCCGCATCGCGCTGCGCAATTGTCCGCACATTGTCGATCTCAGTCTCATCTGCCTACCAGAACACGGGCTCTTGGCCGACCTTCCTCCCGACGAAACAATCACCCAGCGCTCCCGGCGCCCCATTCATTTCACATTGCTCAGCACTCTCAGACTTCAATTTCTAGGCGAAGTCAGCATACAAGCCACCATGTCCATACTCTCTTTCCCCACCTCCGCCTTCGTCGACGTCCTGGATTATTTCCATCCGACTGTTCTACATCTCCTGGACGGAAATCCCGCCTGGGCGAAACACGCCTTCTCTCGCATCACCTCTCTCGTCGCCGAGGACGTAGGCGGGGACAGAGGTCTCACCTCGCTACTCGCGTCAGCCCACGACGAACCCGTCTTCCGCCTCATCTCCCGCCTCGCCCTCGATCGGCCAACGTTCCTCATCGCGTTCCAACAAGCGCCGATCACTAGCCTCCGCCTCAGCAGCATGTTCCAGGCACCCGTCGGCGAACAGCGCTGGCACTTCGCGACCATCCTCCGCGCGTTCCCCCAGCTCCGCGCGCTCGAGCTGTACGGCCCCATCGCGGACGTCTTCACGTTGTTTACCGACCACAGTAAGGGTCTCATGGACGAGTCCTGTCGTACGCCGGGGGAGGAGCCGCGGATCGTCTGCCCGCGCCTGGCGCATCTCAAGCTCACGATCCTCGTCGACCAGGCGTGTCGCCTGCGCGTGCCGCTCGTCGACGGGCACCTCGACGCGGCCGCGGCGCACGTCCGCGACGGGTACTTCAAGCCGCTCGCGTACATCCTCGCGTGCCGGACCAGACTGGGCGCCGCGCGGCTCAAGTCCCTGCAGGTCACCCTCGAGTGGGCGGCGGAGAGGGCGTCGGACGGCGTGGTGGAGCTCGATGGGGGCGCGTGCGAGGTGCCGGCGGACCTGCGCGGCTGCGTCGACGGACCGGTGGTTGTGGAGGCGACCGGACGGCTTCGGTTCAAGTGAGGGCGCTGTCTCGGCAGCTTGGTGTCCCGGGCTCGGGGTATCCAGAGCGCGTCGGAGCTCTCTTGCAGCAGTACGGTTGTTGGACATTCGAGACTAGGGAGAGGGCAAGGTCTTATTGTGGCTTCGATTGTCGAGATGTATACATATGGATTCTGTCAGTCGCTCGCCGAAACGCAACGACGATCAAAGCAAGTTCAGCGACGCATCCCAGAACCCCTTCTCCAGCCGCGTGCACCTTTCCCACACCGCGCACCACTCCTGGAACTGCAGCTCGTTCGGCGGGTTCTCCACCGCCAACGTCTCGATCGTCTCTGCAACCCCGCGGTCAGATCGTCCCGGATTTCCCAGAGCAGCGGGTACGCACCAAGTCCGAGACGGACCGCGCCTTGGTACGCCTCGCCCGAGTAATCCTCGATCCACCGGAGGTAAGGGTTCCCTTCGAGCACGACCCAACTGGCCGGCCGCGCCGCCTCCTTCCTGAGCCACAGCCCGACCTCGCCGTAGCCGAGCAGACACGCGGCGAGCGCCATGACCAGCTTCGCGCCGTCGCCCTGGAGGCCGACGTCGAGCAGGTACGCGCCGTACGCGGTCGTGCTCGGGGACTCGGGCGTGGACGCGAGGTCGGCTTCGGTGATGCCCCACTGGGCGCAGAAGGCGGTGTGTGTCGCGATCTCGGTGAGGATGTTGATGATCGTCTGCGTGGCGGACTGGATGGAGGAGTATGTGGCGGACTTCGCGATGAGCAAGCTGCGGACGTGTGAGAGAAAACCGCCGGAGATGATAGAGTGCGTACCCGTATGCTCGCGCGTAGTACTTCAAATACAGATAGTCCTGTCTGGCAAGAGTTCAGCAGGAGAAAGAGCAGAGCATGGCGGGAACGACGGACTTGATGAAGTGGAGGAAACACTCCTTTTTGAGTGTGCCGCGCGCAAGCTGCTTCACGAATTCGTGCTCCACGTATTCCTTCCATGTTGAGTTGGCAGAGCGTATCAGGATCCGTGTCAGAGGGTGGCGATTGTTGAGCGTCTTCCTGAATCGGGATGTTTCAGCACCATCGACGATCAACTCGAACAGAGCTTACGGAGGAACAAGCCTCTTCGAAAGGCTGTGGAGGTGGTTGATTGGTCCATTACCGAGCCCGACTGGGAACGCAGTCTCGATCCCGAGATGCGTGAACACCGTCGCCCTCCTCGTCGCCTCCCACACTGCGGCGAACGTCAGCGTCACATTCTCTTGAAGGCGATCGCTCTCACCAGTCAGTCCATTCGCCATGTTTGCGGCGATCGCCGCCGACAGCGTGCACCCCGTCCCATGCGTGCTCGTGCTCTCGATCTTCGGGCGCACGAACAACGTGATGATTTCGAGCGTCCCCCCGCACATGACGTCCACAACCACCGGCCCCGACCCACGGTCCCACCGCGTGCCCCCGGGCTCGTTCGCGCGCAGGATCTCCATGTTATCGTCGAGAAACGAGTCCTGGACGACCTCGACCGAGGGCCGCGCCCCGAGCACACGCCGCACATCCGCCCATGTGAGCGCGACGTGCCCGCCCTTGACTAAAGCGGTGAACGGGCCGAGGCCGCGCAGAGCCAGCGCGGCGGACACCATGTCCTCGAGTGTCGTGATCACGGGCGGGGGGTCGTGCGGGTGTGCACAGGCGAGGAGGAGTGCGGCCTCGGGGACGTTGGGGGTGACGAGCGCGGCGAGCGGAAGGAGCTCGGAGATGAGCACCTCGAGCGCGTCGGGCGTGAGGAGGGTGTGGCCGGAGGTTGAGAGCGCGACGGGGTCGATGACGAGCTGGAGCCGGCCAGCGCGCGGGGGCTCGAGGAGCGGGTCCGGGGAGGAGAAGTAGTGTGCGCGCAGCGTCTGTGCCACGGCGCGGGTGGTCGCGGCGTCGTAGAGCATGCCTGTTTTGAGCGCGTGAACGTTGGAGTCTTCCAGCACCGCGCGGAGCTATGGGGAAATGCCATATGTGAGTCATTCGTAGGCGCCTAGAGTGTTTGAGACTAGCTATACCTGCTGAGCTACGAACTCGGGAGGGGAAGGGTGTACGGCCTGAACGCCTTGAGTGTTCTGAGCTGTCAACGCAGTGATAACAGCCATTCCGTAACAGCCATGGACGGTAAACGTCTTCAGATCAGCCTGCGAAAAACCATCAACATTAATCGCTGCGAGATGACAGCGGCCAGATACTGACTTGAATCCCAGCTCCTCCGCTGGGGTCAGAACCTGCAATCGTGAGTGCTACCGGAGGATGGCTGGCCATCGCAACAAGTGAGTCGTAGGCTGACGTCGTGGAGGATGCAGAACAAGTCGTTTGAACTTTGCCCAGCCTTGCCTCAACTTTGGCACCCACGGGCCGGTCCGGCGAAGATGCGGTCCGGGCCGATTCTAGATGAAACTGCACGATAATCAAGCATACAACCTACCATCTACGTTGTACAATCTAGGTAGTCGCGGTGCGGCGCGCATAGATCCACCACTACGGTCGACAGCGCCGCAGTCGTCGGTCACGACGAGAGAGGAACAGTCGGAAACCAAGGATGCACCTCGGGTATCCACTTCAACGTCCTATGGTTGAAATTGGGCAGCTCAAGCTGGCTCCTCGGAGTATGTTGTGTGAGGTTCTCGCAGACATCTGCCAGCTTTTGCAAATACTGCAGAAAGAAGGTGAACATATAAACGAAGACGGAAATGAAAGACCCTTACTTCTCGTCGGCCGTTGGCTGAATGTCCGACCCACTCTTGCGGCGACTCGCTGAGACGCGAGAGGATGTTTTGGGCCAGTTTGAAGGTCTCGGAAGGGGAGTAGTGAAGGTCCCGCACGGCTTCGTCCAGCTGTTGCGGGAATCGCGTGAGATCCGCTACAGGTTCCGCTGGCACAAGGTCGTTGAACTGCGGCGCGAAGAGCCACTTGTATCTTCGCATGAAGTTCAGAGCAATTCGGGACCACGGCGACGTAATACAGTTAGCTGTCAGCTACGAAGCAGAGGAGTTAGCCTCCACATCGTCAACATAAATCGGCAGCCGGAAGGCTCACAGGAACGAGAGTCACCGAGATCATCTGCAGCGCCGCGAGATGCTGGGATTGGAATATAAGCTCGTGGTGGGCCATGGTACCTGGTCGTCTGATGAGCTGATGAAGAACGAACAAGGGGGGAATGACGAACCTGGTGGGACTATAAGAAGCAATCTTTCGATGCAGTCCAGATGTGCCTCAAGGACGTTTGCAAGGCGCCAGTATGCGATCGGCTTCTCATCAGGCGCATATAGCTCTTGTTGGAAGCCAGACAAGATGACCTCTCGACATGCTGATAATCGCCGCATGAGTGCCGTTTGAGGGATGGCTTTGAGGATGGCGGCAGCGTCGGCGTCCTGTCTCTGATGAAGACTGTGCCTCATGGCATATTGTGAGAATACTCACAGGTGGTCGGTGTTGGTCAACGTCTTTCAACATCACATCATACAACATATGCCACTGTAGGACCTCCTTCATCAGGTGTCGTCGTCGTCGCGGAGGGTTGTACCAACTCGATCGAATGTGGGGGACCATCAACTGAGGAACGGTGTCAACCTTGAGCAACGAGAGTTTGATCGGATAACCCACCTTGACGATCCGTCGCTCAATAACATCTCGCATCGTTGCCTTTTGCATATAGGGAGCGCTGCGCTCGAACGCGGCCAAAATGGTCGAGTACGGCGTCCCGAGGGCTTCGTAGAAGAACCGCTCAAGTAGCCATGTTGTCCGATGGGAACCCAGCACGAATCCAGAGTCGAAGAAGAGACTCTGTAGAGGAATGAGAGCATGGTCAAAAACTGCAAAGGAGACTTGCCTGGAGTGATGAACGGTGAAATGCGGCCGGTGGTTCCCTGTTCAGCGCAATCCACGAATCTCCGCGGACCTGGGGAAGCGTGACATCACTCGATCTCGACGGAGAAACAACAAGGTCTAACCTTCCATTTGAGTAGCGACGGCGACGTCACGAGTTGCCCGATAGTCACCCAGTACTCGACGAAGTCTTGAAGGACATCCCAGCTTTGATTTGGCGGTGGCATCTCAGTGACGCGTATTGGCATGAAATTTGGTAGTCGCCGTGCAATGTAGGGGTCCATGACCAGTAGCGCAGAGGATCCCTGCGGCAGCTCTTGTGGCAATGACCGTACACGGTGGATGAGCCCTTGGGCTACAGCCAAAGCCAACGGTAGGTTTTCGACTTCTCGTAGGGGCTCGAGCTTGTAGAGCTCCATGAGGGCCTGAATGCAACATCAAGTCAGGAGTGGTGAAGTGAGAGCGCGATGGGCTTGCCTTCCGCAGAGCCAGCCTATCGCAGAGCGCAGAAACCTGTTGCGGCGACAAGTTAGACTGCCGCACCCAGTCGCAGGCGATGTCCAGCATGTGCAGAACCACGCTGGTGTTGATTCCCTCTAGCAAGGACACGTCGCACTTCTCCCCTTGCCAGTCCTCGATCTGAAAACGCGTCTGAGCACGGTCACACAACGGGACGCACGGCGGGTACGGACATCCTGCACACGGTTCTTCGACAGCTCGCGCCACGCGAGGTCGCAGCACTTGAGCATGCCGAGAACGCCCGCGCGGAGGACGATGGTAATAAGCCATCGCGGCCGCGCCAGATCTTCGTCGTCCTCGGGGATGAGGTACTCAGGGTTGATGTCCGGCAGATGGTGGACGAAGAGAATGGTAAACACGCTCTGGGAGAGCGTCTTCCCAGAATGCCATTCCATCTGTACCGACAAACGAAAGACATGAAATAGGGGCGGTAGATACGACGCAGGGCCGGATTCACCTCGCACGCGAAGGTCCGGTCCAGGATCCAGCAGACCTCCTCCGGCAACAGGGGCGCGAGCGGGTCGAACGGTGGGCGGCGCTGCTCCTCGAGGATCATCCCGCTGTCTAAACGAGGCTCTCCGATCTGTGGTTGCCGTGTGTGAGCAGGCAGCGCGAGCCTTAGGACGGTGGCGCTTTACGCACTTCGAAAGCACTCATTGCGTCCATGAGGGTCATGCCGTCCATGAGGATGACCTCTTCTGGTTCCATTTCTGCGCGCACCGAGGGGATTTGAGAACGACGATGTACTCGACGAGCGATAACAGACGTACCTTGACCCGCAGTAACAAATAGCCCTGTTACATCCTCGAAATCGTCGCCACCGGGCATGTCGAACCAATCGTCGAAGTCGGACATCGCAGCAAAAGCGCTGGAGAGCCCAGACCAGAGGGAAGAAACAGAGGAGTAGAGCCCAGGGAACGTGGCTAAGAGAGAAAGAGACTGGAGGGTGAGATGATGGACGTCCAGGCAAGAGCAGTGACTGCGCCACCCAACGCGCTCCGGGACGCGTCGGCAAGCGCTGTGGCCAGTGGCGGCGGCCCATGTCTCTCCTCCGCCAGCACGTCCGTAGTGCCGCCTGCAGTCTCTTTCCTTCATGCTTGCTCTCTCATAGCCCTAGTCATGTGCGGCGCACCGTCCATACCAAGGATGTCGCGCAGATCGCGTCTCAAACGCGGCCTCCCCGTCCAAGGGTGGTGTTTTCCGGGATACAGCCCACTGGAATGCCTCACGTACGTGTTTCACGCGCTCTGCTTCATACTCCCTCCCAACATCACGCATATAGCTGGGCAATATGCTCGGCGCGCTCATGAACTGGGTCAAGCTTCAGCGAGAAGCCGCACCAGAAGACAAGCTCATCTTCTCGATCGTCGGGTGGCACGCCCTTACGCTACCTCAAGATCCTAAGGCACTCAGCGCTGCGCGGAGAGAGATACTCGCCGTTCTGTTGGCGTGTGGGATTGACCCCAAGCGGTCGATTGTGTTCCACCAGGACGAGGTGGGTGTGCTCCATCCTCTGCATTCTAGCGTATTCTGACCTCTGCTTCAGAACCTGCACCATGCGGAGCTAGCCTGGATCTTGAACTGCATCACACCCATGGGGAAGCTGCACAGGATGACCACCTGGAAGGTATATACTGCAGTTTTTGTCTTGCGTGTCTACCTACAATCTCGGAAAGTCCAGGCTCGCCGCGTCTCGGAACGCCCGCGATGATTCGGAGGTAGACGAGTCTCTCCTCAACGTTGGACTTTTCACCTACCCTGTATTGCAAGCCGCAGATATCTTGGCTTACAAGTGCGTATGATCGTGCTATATGCATACAGGTGGTATGCTCACCGTCGTACAGGACTACGCACGTGCCAGTTGGTGAAGACCAACAGCAGCATATCGAGCTGTGCAGAGACCTGGCGGTCACCTTCAACAAGACGTTCAAGGGGGGCAAGGACGACCCGCCAGTGTTCCCTCTGCCTTGCCATGTCATTCGTACGTGCTCCTTCATCTGCCATGCCCCTTGAGTCTAACACATGCAACCAGCTTCGACGTCATGTCGAGTGCTCTCGCTAAAGGACCCGTCGTCGAAGATGTCGAAGTCGTCCCCTGATGTCAACTCCCGGATCCTCCTCACCGATTCGGCTGAGCAGATCAACAAGAAGATCCGCAGGGCAGTAACTGACTCGATCACGGGGATCTCCTATGACCCCGACACGCGTCCCGGAATTGCCAACTTGGTTGACATCCTTGCTGCATGCGAGGACGCCAAGCCTCAAGACGTCGCTGTGCGCTACGCGAACAGGAGCCACGCCGAGTTCAAGATGGACGTCGCGGAGGCCGTGGAGGGGCTCATGAGCGGGCCGCGACGCGAGTTCGAACGTCTTCGCCGAGACATTGCGTATCTCGACTCGGTCAGCAAGTCGGGCGCAGCGCGCGCGATGGAGATCACCGAAAAGACAATCGACGAGGTCCGCAAGCGTACCGGACTCTACTAATACTACACTCCTCCATATCGTACCTAATTCCCTGAAATGCTACTCTACTCATACATCCACCTTGGCCGTTCAACACATCCCCTTTGTGCTTGGCACGGGCTCGCTCCCCGCCAACGACCCCATCTCCGCCAGCGTCCCCGCAAACAGATCGTCGAACTCCCGCTCGAGCCCCACCCGCTGCAGCGCATCTGCGAACCCCTCCCCCGCGCCCCCCGCGTCAAGCCGCTCGAGCCACTCCTCGAGCGCGTCCGTGCCGGCGAGCAGCGCGCTCCGCAGCCGCGTCCGCTCCGTCTGGCTCGGCCGCGTCACCCGCGCCTCGCGCCGGCGCTCGTCCAGCGCGTCCTCACCGCCGGCGTCGGGCGGGGGCGGCGAAGAGATGCGCGCGGGCCGCGCGGCGGACGCGTTCGAGTCCCACGCGTCCGCGCGGAGGGTGGCGAGCCAGCCGGCGTCGAGGTCGCGCAGCCAGGCGAGGAGCGCGGGGAGCGTGTTGGGGTCGGGGGCGTAGCCGGGGATGGACTGCAGGACCTCGCTCGTGAGGCGGAGGAGGAGGGCGGTCCGGAGCGGGGTCGAGGGGTCGACTGGGGGGATTTGGAGGATGAACGAGAGGAGGCGGTGGGTGGCTTCGAGGTAGGCTGCGAGCGTGGGGAGCGAGGACGATGGGTCTGATCTGTGGGAGAAGGCATTGGATGAGATGAGGGCGAGAGGCTCAGAAGAGGCTCAAACCGTTTCTTGTAGTTTCGAGTGACGTCGAGGAACTGCTCTTCCAGGTATTCGACCAGCTTGCGTTCTTGGAGGGATGACAAAGGGCGCACAGGGACAGGCGCGACCGGAGTACTCAAGGTATCCTCTTCTGCGACGATATCTGTGCCTGGGGTCGGAGGTTCTATATCAACCTGTACTGAGAGGTCGTCCATATGATACCGCGCGCCCGATGTGACTGTCTATCTGGATGTATTCGATGAAGTTAATCCAGAACTCGCAAGTCCCATGAGACAAAGCTTGCCTGAGATGCTCAAAATGCGCCCCGTCGTGCGCTGTAAGACGGCGGCATAGAAGGCGGAAGGAAGAAGGAAATAGAACCGCGAGCGACCCATGACATCGACTTCCCACGCACAGCCTGAACGGGCGTGCAGTATATCTCCAAGTTGGAGAGGCCAAGGGGAACGCCAACTGAGAACACCAGGACGACGATGGTCACCTACCATCAACTCGCCAACGCTCGCGGAGTGTCCTCAGCACACCGCAGAAGTCACAGAGATCCAGGTAGCTGGCCGGTAGGCCGCGTCAATTAGTACCCTTACAGATGTACAAGGTCTATGTAGTAGAGTGGTGGTCTAGGTCATGATGCGCGAGTCGTGGTGTCCATTACAATTATCTAACGTACTTGGTAAGATCCCACTATGCATCCCCTTGAGACATTGGGCGCGCCGACGCCGCTGCCCTCCCCAGCCTTCAGAGCGCGCTCGCTGAGTGTGGCCCGGCGACTTTGAGCCCCTTGGCCTTGATCATCTTCTTCGGCGACGCGGCCGCCGTGTAGTTCGACGGCGGCGTGTACGCAACCACAGGCGGGGGGCCGTAGGGAGGGCCCTCGCTCGCATCGGAGGGCACGAACGGGCCCACGTGCGACACGTAGTTCGCTTCCGTCCCAGGAGGGATGAGATCGTCGACGGACGCGGCCCGCGGCGCGTGTGCCCAATGGGCGTCCGAGCGGTCTTGGAGGTACTTGGGGAAGGGCACGGAGCGGGACTTGCGTTCGGAGGGTGCGGGGTCGGCGCGAGCGAGGTGGGGGGTGGAAGAGGTGTGGATGGCGTGCTGGCCAGTGATGATGTAATGTCGCCCAAGCAAGGTGCCGGGCTCGAGGGAAGAAGCGGGGTTGCGGACCATCAGGGGCGTACCGGTGGGTCGCCCAAAGACGAGCGAGACGAGGCTGATTACGGGGATGAGTAACATGATGGGGCAAGAGTATAGGGTGTGTCGGGTCGCCGGAGGCAAAGGAGCGGAAGTGTCGCGGATGGACGAGCGTGGTGAGCAGGAGGGGCCGGGAGGAGGGATGGGCAGCGAATGGGCAACGACGCCGCTCGGAGCGAGCTTTTGAACCGGGCTGGACGGGCGGACAAAGCAGGGCAAACAACCTCTCACGTGGGTGAAGGGTGCGTGAAGGACGCGGCGCGACAACCTGAAGGGCACATCGATGAGAGAAGACCCGAAGAGCGACGAGGGTATACATACGTGAGCGATTTAGGTGTTTTATGCGACCTGTGGCATGTGTACGATCGGCTCAGAGCTAGCCTCTACAGGTCTGCGACGCCGAATCTTTGCCCGGGCTTCCGCGACTGCGGTATTCCTTGACCCCTTGCGCAGCAGATGCATCATCTCCAGACACCAGTCCATGGCGGCCTCTGTTGTGTGCTGCAGGTTGTACGCCTTATTGCGGTCCGGAAATTGGATGGTGTATCGGAATGTGAGCCAGAGGTAGACGACGAGCAGTTTGTGAATCGTCTCGAGGGAGCTGAGTGAACGCTGGATCATCCCCAACGACGGGTTGTCTTCGCCCTCTAGCATGACCAGAGTATCGTTGAGGGGCTTGAGCAGCTGCGCGCGCTCAAGGACCTCCTCGACAGTGACATACGATTTGCGCGAGAAGATTTGGAGCAGTTTCTTCACCGCAGCCGCGCACTTGGGGTCCCGCCACGGCACAGGTGCGTTGCTCAAGGTGACGCGGTCGGGAACAGGGAGCTTGATGTTCAGATCGTCGAGAGCCTTCAAAGTGTGCGTGATGTCCTGTAGTGACTGGAAGTCGTACAAGGGAGACTGCTTCGAAACATACTTGTGCACCATAGCGACGGTGAGATTCGACGAGCCCACGGGCAGCGCGCTCACGATGGCATTGAAGGTCCCTTTGGTCATGGTTACATAGCCGTGCGGAAGGGGCTGGAAGGCGGCCGCAACGGCTTCGCGGAGAGCGGGGAGGTCTTCCTGTTTCAATGTAGTCACGACACCGGCCGGATTCTCGTCGTGGAGACCAAAGCGACCGGCGCGCCCCGCAATCTGCTTGATTTGCGATGTCGACAGAGGTGTGAAGCTCTTGCCATTGAATTTCTCCACGGCCTCGAAGATGACGCGTTTGATTTTCCTATGCGGGGACGATTAGTACCAGGTTCGTGATGAAGGAACGACAGACATACAGGTTCAACCCCATCCCAATAGCGTCACTTCCAGCGAGGACGTCGTAGTTGTTGTTCGGATCGTTGAAGAGTGCAGCTTGTTCCGTGCGGAGTTCGGGAGGAAGACGTCCGTAGGCGAGAGCGCACCTGACTCCTTTGACCTTCTGCTCGATTTGTTCCTTGACGTGGAAGAGGCCGCTCCGCGAGAAAGTGACGACGCAATCGCCTTTGGTAATTTGCGAGAAGTCCCCCAGAGCCTTGTCCGCAACGACCAACGGCGTCAGGCGTTGATACCTCTTGACCTCCAGTGTGTCGCCCAGATCCTTGATCATGGCCTCGACCAGAGGGACCGCCGACTCCTCGCCGCATAGGTGGATCTCCTCCGCGTTCAACCCGAGCACCGCGGTGACCCACGCCCCTCCCCGCTGCGGGTCCGCAATCAGCTGGATCTCGTCCACCACCGCAACCTGCCACCGGGACGAGATCGGGACCATCTCGACCGTGCAGCTGAGCAGCTGCGCGTCCGCGCTCACGATCCGCATCTCCTCGCCCGTGATCATGTTGCACTCGCGCGCCCAGCGCGGGTTGCCCTTCTTCGTCACCACCACGTCCCGCTGCGCGTCGTCGGCGTCGGCGACGTGGCTGTCCGCGTCCGGCTCCGCGTCGGCGGCGTCGATGCCAGCGGGCACGATCTGGCCCTTGTTGAGCCGGTCGAAGATCTCGTACGCGAGCAGGCGGAGCGGGCCCGCGTAGAGCCCGCGCTTGGACGCGGCGAGGGCGCGGAGGGCGTGGTGCGTCTTGCCCGAGTTCGTCGGCCCGACGTGCATGATGAAGCGGCGCGGGCCCACGTAACGCGCGGCGGTGTAGTCCCACTCGAGGAGCGAGCGGTCCGCGGCGTGGAAGAGGGTCTGCATCTGCTGGAGGACGGCGGGGGAGACGTGGGGAGCAAGCGCCTTCGCGCCTTCAGGGTGGCTCGCCCATTCGTAGAGCATCTGGCAGAGGTACTTCTCGTAGGCGTCGCGCGAGTTTTCGTGCAGGTCCAAAGACATCCTCTTGAGACGGTCTTCTTCGTAGCCAAGGACCCGGAAGACGTTGCCCTCGCTCAGCTCTTGGGCGTAGACGTCGAGCACAGTGCTCGGCTCTTCGACACCGAACTCAGCGAGTCGAGTGCAACAGGTTTTGAAAACGTGGGTGAACCGGGTTCTGACGGATCTGGCGAAGTAGGACGGGATTTCGACTGGTGGAATATAGAGTGCCTTTGGAGGTTTCGCCTGCTCTGACCGCTCCCCCTTTTGCGGCCTCTCCCTGGACACGGGAGGCTCCTCCTTCTGCCTCCTTGGATTCAGTGTGGAATGGGCCCTCTCCTTTTCCGTTATCCTCCTGGGCTGACGGTGAAATTCGTCCGGGGGTAGGGGAACCTTCGGTGGTCGATGATCATGGCTTCGACGCGCCTTTGAGCCGTACGAGTCTTGCAAAGAGGTAGACGACTGGGAGAATAGACGCGCACCAGCAGCAAGGAGAAAGTTATGTCGGCATCGCTGTCGAAGGAGGGGCGTGAGGATCATCCAGCTGGTAAGAAGGGGTCTTCTAGCTGCCTTTTCAGCAGATGAGCAGCGGGAGAGGAAAAGGAGCAGAGAGCAGAAGGACGAGGGACGCGAGGGCGTAAAGAGGGTCGTCGACCGTGACGCGCTGCCAAAATGGCCACGTGTTCGATTCGCGCGCTGCAGCCGCGCTTGCCGCTGCTCAGCTCGACGTGTCCACCGTCCTTCGTCCTCTCCTCGTTCCTCGCGGGCCCACGACGCGCCATGACAAGCGTCGCACCCTCACGGCTGGCTGCGCTTACGCAGCTGCGCTGCAAAATCTTCCAAACCGCCTACAACCCCACCTGCATCCGCACAGGCGCGAAGTACCTTCGCGCCCACCTCCGTGGCCCCGCCATGGTCCAGTACTACCCCGACGAATTCACGGTGGCAAAGTTTAACCGCATGAAGCCCGAGCTCAAGATCCCAGACTTTGAGGAGATTCAGCGGCTGGAGGACGTTGCGGAGCGGAAAGCGAGAGGGAAGGGGCCGCCGAAGAAGGCCAAGTCGGCAGGTGCGTCCGTTGCGTCCGTCCTTGTTAGTTGTGCGCTGACGGGCGTGGGCATGCAGCGGACAGTCGTCGGTTGGCGAGGAAGCGGTAGAGAGTGGGCTATGTGCGGCGTTACACTATGCGTACAGCGGTATAATAAACCCGTCCTGTGTTTTCTCCATTCCCTCGTGTGGGTCAGCAACAAACCAGCATCCCGTCTCTCATTTGTCCTCAAGCCTAGCCTTGCAGAGCGTAGCTCTCCAATCTCAAATTTCGAAATAGGATATAACCTCAAGTACCGGCCCTCGTAAACCCAGTGCGTTCAAACAACTGAGAGCGATGTCTTGCCCTTGGTGACTAGCCCAGTCAAACGTCTATTCAGCTTCGCCCGCTACATCTGTCATCCGAGGTCGATTCTTTGGCCACCGAGAAACGCTAGTTTTCGAACGAGCATGTAGGTCCGCTCTCTTGCTTCATCCGCGGCTCGTGCTCATACACGTCTGTAACCTCCATATCCTCACAACTGCGACGTTTTCCGCATCCCAAGCAACCATCGCCCTCGCCGAGATCTTGACACACACCTCCTTACGCCCAGTGGGGTATCAACGAGGCTGGGCTCGCGCTGATGCCTGGACATCAGAGCACAATCACGCTCTCTCCGCATGTCTCTGCTAGGCTGGGATCGGGCCGCCGGGCTTTGACTCAAGAACGGGGCAGCACTTCCGGAAGGCTGAGAGCGACGGGAGGAGAGCAAGTACCTGCGGTGGACCGAAGCTGGAGGCGCACATAAGGTGTGAACCGCCGCGGTCTCGGTACGTTATCAGTCCTTCAGGCGGTGTTTCGCGTGCATCCGCCTTTTGATTGGCAGAGTTGAGAGCCGAGGCCGATCAGGGATATGGGACATAGGAAAACCGCACTTAGCTAGAGAAAGGTTTCTCTATTGTCATCGTCACGCCCTTCTGAATATCCAAACTCGTTCACGTCGTACTATACGAAGAGCGAGTCCAACAGCGAGTGCGTATGTGATCGAGAATCTATTTAAGCATTGCAACCACCCATAGCTGCATACGAAAAGGTCGAAAACTATTCAAGAGTCGGCGCGAGGCTTCGGCGATGCAAACTGCAAAGACAGAGGTCACTTCGTGGGTAATTCCAGATATGTGACCCCTCCGAAGACGACAGGCCCATCGACGAACTTCTCGAGTGCAGATTGTACGACCAGCCCCGGGCGAGGCATAAGCGTGTGGGCGATTGCTTGCGGAGGAGCCTCGAGTTTGCAGACATTGTCCCACTCCCATGCCTGCCACTCGAGGCGCTCCAACCGAAGTCCTTTCGCGGCCCTCGACTCTAGCACCTTCACGAGCTCGGCCTGATCATCCCACAGCGTCACCGCCGCCATCTCTTCCCACCGTGTCGGTTTCCGCTTCATCGTCCTCTGAAGCCAGCCGTAGTCGCGGGGGAACGAGACGACGAGGCTCTTCAAGTTTGGACAGACCACAACGCCGGGCTGGGTGTTGGGTGCGCGCTGGGGCCGTACTAGCAGCGCCGGAAGCACCTCGTCGAAGCATGGCCCTGCGATCTCGAGGGACGTGATGGAGGGGAAGGGGCCGAGGATGTCGAGCTTGCCATAGAATCCCCGCTGGTGTAGAATGATGCGCGCGACGTTCGTGCCGTGCTCGCGCAGCAGTGCGACGCAGTCGTCCAGGGTCTCCGAGGCAGGCAGCGGGTCGCAGTCGGGGCCTTCGGAGCGAGTGCGCGTGATCCGGATCGACGCCGCGTCCCCCTTGAACATCACGACCTCGGTCTCCCACTTCGAGTTGAACGGCTGACAAGAGTCGCTGAGGCGGATGGCGTCCGCCTCTTGGATGCGCCGCGCCGGGAGCGCGTGTCCGGTGAAAAGGTCCCGAAGCTTTGAGTCCTTCGTAATGATGTCGAGACTGGTACTCTGAGGGAATGTGACGCAGTCCAGGTAGAGCATGTGTGAGCTATCCGTGCCGACGTTGGCGACCACTGCTTGGAGGGAGGGGAGATTGACCACACCAGCGGCTGCCCACAAAGGCGAGTCCGGGTCAGGAATGAGTTCTTCGACAATTCCTTGTACGTTTGAGTCGTACATTGGGCAGTAGTCGTTCACCATCCATAATTTCAAGCGTTCGAGGTCCGGACACCCCACCAGCGCGTTCACGAACCCCTTCACGTGGTCTCGGTCGAACTGCGCGGGGGTGACGCATATTTCGCGCAACGTGGGGGTGACGAAGTGGGGGAGGAGGTCGATCGGGATGCAACGGAGGCTCTTCAGGCGAGGGGTGCCTTTGATGTGTTTTTGAGAATCAGTGGTACGTTTCCAACCTTTGACCCCTTCTCGGACTATCCCGAAACCGGCGTGTGAGTTGGAGCGCGCACAAACTTGGTCGTCGTAGGCGAAACATGTCGAATCCCAGTCTTTATGCATCCCTAAGTGACCTGGGAAAGTGATGCCCAACGTCTCGAGGTCCGGCGCGCCCGTTGCGAGTACGTCAGATAGATATCTTAGTTGGTGTGCACCATCGAGATGAACGTAAAGATCGACAAGGCGATTGGCGTGAGGGCCAAGAGTGAGAGCAAAGGAGCGGGGGAAATGGTGGACTTTGATGCGAAGAGGCTGTGGAAAAGATCGCTTAAGAGCGAAGGCTGCAAATTTGCCTCGGGAGTTCAGGAGGCTTGGGTTGCGACAATTGAAGGACAGTTGCTTGCCGGGAGATTCGATGGCTGCGGCCCATAGGCTTGCGGTCTTCAGTGCGATAGCACGCCAGTGGCGACAGACATGGGCTACCGCTATGCTACGCGTATCTTGCCAGCAGTACGAGAACACCTGGGAGAGCAATTCGGTGGAAAGGGCTCGATGAATGGGCGCAATGTCGTTATGGAAGGAGAGAAGGGCTAGAGCACTGTTGCGATACTCCTCGACGCGGGAGGCAATCCAGATGCGTCTAGCTTCGTCATCTGAGAGGCCAGAAAGAGCTTCACGGTCTATGACGAGGATTGAGTCGGGATATGTGAGGAAAGGGGTCGTGGCAGTCATTCTCATGTTTCTGGAAGTGGTCGTAGATTAGTATCTGGGATAACTTCGACCGACTCTCCTGATCACCGAACCAGGACTTACGCGAAGATGGTTATTCTTCAAACACCCGTGTACGTGTTCAAGAAGAGCAAATTGTTTCCACGTGTCGGCTTCGGGCGGTGGGAAGCAGGTGCGCGCGCCAATCCTGCTGAAGCGCCGCGCCGACTGCCGCGGTTCAACGGCACGTGCCGGGAAATCTTGGGCACCGGCGTTCGTTGAACTTCGCCGTTATACACATGATCGTTATATCTCCTTGTCTTCACTTGTTTTCATCCGCTTTGTGCACCTAGCACACCACCGACTCCGCAGTCGCCTGTTTCAGCCGCATCAAGCTTGATTGATGGGATCGAATTCCGTGGAAATCCACTAGCGGGGGACTTCGCGAAGTGGAAGGCGAGAAGCTGAAGACAGCCGAGCCGGCAGGTGCGTGCGCCGTCGTCCCCTTCCATGCGTTGACCGCTCTGAGTGTGCAGCGAGCAGTTGTCGCTTGTCGGGGCAGCGGTCGAGACTCGAGAGCACCTTGGCAACGCGTCCAACGTTTTGCCCACACGCGATCAACTCCCAAAACCCTATCGACCAACGTCTCGAGCTCAGCCTGGTCGACTAGCGCCGGCTTGTGCGATGCTGGCAAATCGAGTGCCGGAGCGCTCCACGAGGGCATATTGGAGTCCCCAGGAAAGTAGGTCGGTAAGATATTGAGGTTTTCGTCTTCAGGGCCTCCAAACCCGGCGTCGGCATGAAGCGACCAGTCGCTGCAGGACGGGACAAGGTGGAAGGCGGGGGAGAAGGGCCTGCTGAAGCGGTAAAGTCAGCAGGTGCGTACATCACGCACGACGTCCTGTTCTCTCGCTGACGGAGATGGTGCGCAGCAGTAGACGTTGGACAGCGATGAAGCAGAACCGACGAAACCCTGCTTAGTATTGTGTACAGCGGTACGATACTCATGACGTGTTTTTCCGTCGTTTTGTCACGTACACGTTTTCAACACACGAAGAATATATTCCTGTCACGCACCTTGGACGATGGCCCCTTGCATACAGTCATACATTCCGTCACGGTGTTCACAATCGATGCAATGTCTTTCACAAACAACCCTGTTCTACAACCGCCGACCCGCCCAAACGCGATCTATTCCGACGAAGCCTGGTATGTAATCCCGCCAAAGACGACCACACCGTCGACCCACTGCTCCAACCCCGCCTGATTGTACAGCGTCGGGTTCGGGAAGTCCGTGCGGACAACCGCTGACGGAGGGAACTCGAGTCTGAGATTCGTATCCCACTCCCATCCCTTCCACTCGAGATGCTTCAGACGATACCCCGCCACCGCTCGTCGACCGAGCATTCTCTCGAGGTCTGAGCTCCACGACCTCAGGCTTCCCGCAAGCTTCTCTTCCCACTCCGCCAGACCGGTAGTCATCATCTTCCCCACATCTCCTCGCGCTTGCAGCGGCAGAGGAAAGGTCACGACGAGAGTCTCCAGGCGAGGACATGTGAGCTCGTGAGGCCCTTCGACATGCTTTGATCGTAGTGCTGCCAGGGTTGATGCGATGCATGGGCCAGCGACCTCGAGGGAGACGAGGTGTGGGAACGCGTGGAGAACGAATTTGTCGCTACCACAGTTTACGATCGGCCATGTCTGCCGGAGGACGAGGTGGGTGATCACGGTGCCATTGACCTGGCGGAACATGGTGATGATTTCGGGAGGATTGATACTATTTGCGCGTATACCGGATGAAGATCGCAGCGTGAATCGGACCTGTGGCACGCCGTTCGCGAGCGTGACGAGTTCGGTGAGCGGGCGCATCGTCTCTTCCCGTACGAGTCACAGATGTGCACAGCGTCGACGGTTTTCATCCACTCCGCGAGTTGCACCGATCTGGACAACTCCCAGACGGTGGAGTCATCCACCACGACCTCAGTGTGTGGAGGAAGTGGGAGGGAGAAAAGGGAGACATAAGCGGCCATCATTGGATGTGTTTGGACGTTGAAGACCAGCGATTGCAGAGCGGGTAGATCGACCGTTCCGGCATCTTGCCAAACTGAAGGAGAGAAGCTGGGAAAGAAAGTGTCGACAATATCCACGCTACCCCCGTTTTCGTCCTCGTCGTCAGTGTCGTCGGTACGTTCGCCATTCAGGCACCACGTCAGGTGAGTCAGGTTCGGGCACTGTCTCAGGGCATGAGCCAACGCCGCGACGTGGTTTTGGGTCGATCGTGAGGGGGTCAAGCACAGCTCGCGTAGTGTGGGACAGGTGAAGTACGGGAAGATGTCGACGGGGATGCAGCGGAGGGTGTGAAGGCGCGGGACGACGGCGAAGGCGATGCGCCAAGCTTTTCCCCTCCATTTGCAGAGGTCATTTGCGACGGTCCAGTGTGTATCTGCGTCGATGTCTGCATTGGTCCAGTCGTCGTATTTCCCAACGCGTCCCACGAACGCGATTCCGAGGACTTCAAGCCTGGGTGTTCCCTTTTCTATAATCTTGCACAGAGCAGCCAGTTGCCCGGCGCCGGTGAGGTGGACGTACAGATCGACAAGTCGAGCAGCATGCGGAGCAAGCGCGTTTACCGCGGCATTCATGAGAAGATTGATCTTGACGCGGATAGGCTCGGGTGAAGACCATTTAAACACGGACGCTGCGAATGCGCCACGCCTATTTCTGCGCAGCTGGCGGGTGTTGAAGGAAGCGGGTGGCTCGAGTCGGGGTCTGGAATGGCTGCCTGCCACAGCTTCGGCGTCTTGAGCGCAACTGCGCGCCAGTGACGACAGACGTGAAGGAGGTGGACGTGCGCTTGTCCTGCCAACAGTGCGAGAGGACCTCGGAGAGGATTTCGTTCGGGCAGGTGCGGTGGATGGGTGCGATGGAGTTGTAGATCGAGAGGAGAGCCAGCGCGATGCGTCGATATTCTTCAGCGCGAGCGACGACCCGTGCGCGGACGGCGACATCCGACAGGCCACGCAATGATTCCAGGTCGGCGGCGGGAACGGTGTCTGCGAAGGAAGGGAAGGGAAGGGTATCGACGACGGCGGTCATGATAATCTGTTGATCATGTCAAAACGCGCTGCAGTATCCTTACATTGGCTGGAGAGGCTCACCAGAGTCTCCGATAAGCTTGATTCAATGGGTTTTATGGGAATTAGACGGGTGTTGTATCGCAGGTGCCCTCTCGGCGTATGTAATAGTGGTGGACAACAAGCTCGTCGCCTCGCCTCCATTGGCTGTATGATTGCCATTGGTCCGCCGCTCGCCGCACGTCTTTCCCACGGCGGGTCTCAACGGTTCGAACCAGCTCGAGTTTACAAGCGCCAACGCGGGTCACGATCAACTCACAAGCGCAGAGCGTCTCCAGCGTTCACCCTCCTCCCGCCAACGCTCAAGCAGAACCTGGCGAAGTGCGGGGGCATTCTGCTTGAAGTTAATACGGTACTGCTTCGTCGCTCCGCCATCGAGTAACTCGCCCGAAGACCAATATCGCCTCGACTCCCTGGACGATGTGCAGTACTTAGCAGGCAAACATACTTTGATTGGCCCACAACGATATGTCTCGCTCTGTATCGCACGGTCGATGTTTACTTGAAAAGCGTTATAACCACCGTTTCAGGTACCTATGTGATGCGTGGTCTATTCCACAAAGTCCTCTTGGAGAGTAACCCCGCCAAAGACTACCGGACCGTCAACCAAGCCTCCAGCGCCGTCTGGCTATACAGCGCCCCGCTCGGCATTTCCGTGCGGACAACCGCCGACGGTGGGAACTCAAGCCTGAGGGCCTTATCCCATTCGCACATCTTCCACTCCAGCCGTTGCAGACGGAAGCCCGCCTCCGCCCGTCGACTCAGCGCACTCTCGAGCGCCGAACACCCTGCCTTCAAGCGTACCCCCAGCGCCTTCCCCCATTTGGCAGGATTGTTCGCCATCAGCCTGTATGCGCGTCCGCGCTTCTTGAATTCCATCTCGAAGGTGACAACGAGCGTCCTGAGGCGCGGACACACCAGTATCTCAGGGGTGTTCCTGTCGCACGGCTTCTGCAACGCATCCAGAGCCCGGCCGACGAAGCCCGCGACGTCTAGGGAGTGGAGGTTTGGGAATGCGTGGAGCAAGTACTCGTCGTTGCTCCAGCGCCCGATGAGCCAATTCTGATGGAGGACGAGGTGGGTGATCGCAATGCCGGGTTTGCGGAATATATTCGTGAAGTCAAAGAGGGACAACGACCCCCTTCTGACGGCCAGAGCGTGAACCGAACCAGCGGCACGCCGTTCTTGAGCGTGACGAGTTCGGTGGGCCGCTTGCTGAGGTGCGGATGTGGAGGGCGTCGGCGGATGCGATCCACGTTGTGAGCGGCGCCGAGTGGTAGAAGAGCCGGACAACTCTTCGGCTTCGCCACGACCTCAGTATGTAGGGGAGTGGGAGACATAGGAGGGAGGCATAATTGTCCACCATTGGATGTGTTCGGATGTCGAAGACCAACGATTGCAAAGCGGGAAAAGCGACCGCCCCTGCGCCTTGCCAATATGACCATGACAGACTCGGCAGGGGAAAGAAAGCCCGACGATATCCACCCTACGCTCATTTCGTCCTCATCCTCGTCGGTCCATCTGCCATTCATGCACCACATCAGGCGTGTCAGGTCGGGCACCGCCTCAGCGCATCGGCCAATGCCACGATGTGATCTTTGGTACATCTTGCGGGGGTCAAGCACAGCTCGCGCAGTGTGGGACAGGCAAAGTGAGGGAAGATGTCGACGGGGATGCAGCGGAGGTTGCGAAGGCGCGGGGCGCCTGTGATGTACCAGCCTTCATCCTTCCATCCGCACAGGCCGGATTCGATGGAGCGGTGAGTGCTCCCGTTAATGTCGGCGTTGTCCCAGTCATGGTACTTCCCAGCGTATCCCACGAACGCGATCCCGAGCGTCTCAAGGTTCGGCACGCCCGTGTCCACGATCTGACAGAGCTCCTTCAACTGCGCCGCGCTGTTCAGATGGACGTATAGGTCGAAGAGTCTGGCGGCGTGCGGCGCAAGGGCGCAAGCAGCAACCCTAGGGAGTAGGTTCACCTTGATGTGGATAGCCAAGGGCTTCGACCACTGGAACATGGACGCTGCGAATCTCCCACGCATCTTAGTGCGCCGCTCACCGAAGTCGAAGGAGGGTGGTTCGTCTGAGTCGAAGGAGAGCGGTTTGTCCGAGTCGGGTGTCGGGATGGCTGGTTGCCACAGCCGCGGCGTCTTGATCGCGATCGCGCGCCAGTGCCGGCAGACATGCAGGAGGCGAACGCTGCCCATATCATGCCAGCAGTGCGAGAACACTTCGGAAAGGAGCTCGCTGGGGAAGGCGCGGTTGATGGGTGCGATGGAGTTGTAGATGAGAGGAGACCGAGCGCGATGCGGCGGTATTCATCGGCACGAACGACGATCCATTCGCGCACTGCCAGATCTGAGATACCGGAGAGCGACACATGGTCTGCGGAAGGACAGAGTCTGCGAATGAGGGAAGGGGAGAGTATCGATGGCGGCCATGGTCGGCACAGAGACGTTGCAAATACTGACGACCCATCATCAGAATACGCACGCGATGACGCTGCGTCTCACTGGGCTACTTACCAAGAAAAGACCCTAGCAAGATTTCGCGTTCTCGGTTCCAGGACAGAGGGTAGATGCAAGTGGTGCAGTAGTTTGGGACAAGAGGCTCGGCGCCAATTTTCATGCGTTTGCAGCGCGTCTTATGCATGGTTTCGCCGGCCCGCCGACCAAGAACATGGCAGGGATAGGGTTGACATCTATGTATCGGTTCTGTACATGACTCATGCGACTCGGCGTTATGTCAACAACCCTTCATCTACTCCTCGGACGCATCCTCAGAAGCTGGCGGCGTAGCTACATCAACAGGTACGTAGTGGAATCCCGAGAAGTGCACCGAACCGCCGTCCACCAGCGTCTCCAGCTCTGCCAGGGTGTCGCCAGACAAATCGGGCCTGTATATCGCGGTCGCCTCGTAGACCAATCCGTGCCCGCGGATCCACGACCGCTCCGCCCACTCCAGGCGTACGAGTCGGGTTCCACGCGCCGAGCGGCGCGCGAGCACCCTCACCAGCAGCGCACGGTGCGTCTCCACCGTTTCCAGCAGCGTCACTTCGCTCGCCTCCTCGGCGATGCCTCGCGCCACGGCGCTCACCTCCTCCTCGTCCACCACGGGGAACAGGACCGTGAGCCCTCGCAATTGGGGGCACACAGCCGCGGCGCCCGGTGCCGCGGAGACGTCGTCCGGCGACATCAGGGCCTCCAACACCGCCGGGACGCAAGGGCCGGCGATCTCGAGGTCCACGAGGTGCGGGAAGGCGCGGAGCAGGCTCCCTGTGTCCACTTGACGCGACGCCCGGTAGACCTCTTCATCGTCGTAGTCGTCCGAGTCGAGAGTCTCAAAGTGCGGGTCCGAATCCGAGTCCGAGTCCGGGTCCGAGTCCGAGTCCGAATCCGAGTCCGAATCCGAGTTCGAGTTCGAGTTCGAGTCCGGGTCCGGGTCCGAGTCCGTCTCGTCGTGTGTCTCCGCGGCGGCTTCTTGCGCTTTGATGAAACGGCGGTACTTGTGATCTTGACCGGCCACGAAAGACATATGGATAGAGAGAAGAGTGACGGCGGCAGCGTACGTGCGGAAGAGCGCGACGAGAGGAAATGTCAATAGTGTATCGCGGATAAGCTGGGTCGACTCGGACTTGAACTCAACACGCTGCGAGCGGCCGGTGCAACCGATTGCGAGAAACCCCCATGCAATCGGTCTCCATTCGTGCGACTCGTCGAGCCAGTCCCGCAAGCGCACAGTGTCGATTGTTTGCAGGAGAGACGTAATGATGCGTACGCTCCCGCGCCGCAAGTCAAACGCGTCGAGCGTCCAATCATCTGTGTCATAGGAGCTGGGCAGCTCAATCCGGACGGTCGCTGTGGGTGGGACAGATATCGGCTCGAGGACCTCAGCGACACGAGATAGGCTGCCAACGATATGAAGCGACTTGAGGGAGGGTATGTCCACCGTTTCAACCGGATTTGCTGTCGGAATGGGGTCCTCGTTCAGTGAGATCTTGAGGTGGACGAGATTCTGACATTTGCGTAGTGAGGTAACAAGCTCGTGGTGGATGCTAGTCTCGAATAGGGGTTTGGTGACGTGCGCCGTGAGTAGTGTTGGAAGCGCAAAGTACGAAAAGAGGGTGATGGGCATGTGGAGCAGAGTGTGGAGGCGAGGAGCGACTGGTGTCCTTCCCGTTAACGTTCTCGATATGGAAGTCCACTGAGCGTGATCAAAGCCCCAGGGTTCCCGAAAGACAACCCCGAAGGTCTCCAATCGAGGAAAGCCGGAGGTGAAGGATTCGCAGAGGGCGATGAGCTCCCTCGTTGAGGCCACACTAACGTCTAGGTAAACAATTTTCTCTGCGTATGTAGCAAGGGTGCCGACGGCTTCGGGTGGTAAGTCGGTGTAGGTGAGGCGAAGCAGCTCGGACGCGGTCCGCTTGAGAATTCTTTGTACGCGGGCGAGTTCGAGTTCCCGTGTAGCGGTGGCTAGAGGAACGTCGTCCCTCCTGAAGATGTCGAGGAAAGCCTTGTTTGCAGCAACTGCGACCCAGAAGCGCGGGGTTTTGAGCAGGACAGAGCGCCAATGCCGGCAAACAAGCATGATACGCATGCCCCGCGGATCTTCTCCGCAATGAGAGAAGATTTCGGCGAGCATCTCGGTAGGAAGGGTGCGGTGAATGGGGGCTAGAGTGTTGTGGAAAGTCCGAAACGCAAACATCTTCCTACGGTGCTCTTCGACTTTCTCGAGAGCCCATTTTTGCACGGAAGAATCAGACAAGTCGGCGAGAACAGCGCGATCTGAGTCCGAGAGCAAGTCTGCGAAGGCGGCGGGAACAGAGTCCATTTCTGCCATAAGCAACACCGAGATGAAGAACTCAGCTAAAGGCACCGATAACAATCCAAGGGTAGACGTACTCAACAGCGATGGCTTTCTGCGTTGTTGGGACTTGGTCAAGAGTACTTGGTCGTGCCGGCACAGGGCAGTGGCTCGAGCGACGAGCGTCGAAAACCCGACGCGCGTCGACCCCGCGGGAACTCTTACATAATCCGCCCGAAATTCGCGGGTGGGCGAGGTTTCTCTCCCAGGCCCTCCCCGCTCCCTTGTGCCCCGGAAACCTTCACAACGTGCTCAAGATGCGTTAATGGGCGTTGGAACGCCATTTCACGCCCCGGACGACCAACCTTACGTTCTGGATGACACATCCTTCCGTCCTACGCGCGCTCTTCACACGTCGACGGAGACCTCAGACCATCGAGAACATGTCTGGAGGGTGGAAGGTTGACTGAAAGGTCTGTATCTTGCCGGCCATATGCACTGTCGGCACCTCTGTGCCCCCGTCCAACATATCCTGTTCCCTGCCGAGGATCTCGAATGTCTTGAGCCTTGCAGTACTTACCCCTCTGCAATGTTTGTCCCTTGCTTAGAGTACTTTGTATGTATGTATGTACCAGGAGATGAATGAAAGCCGGTTCCTGCTGTGTTTCTCTTCAATGTGACATTTACTGGAGTTCAGATATTATGCGCAAGCTACGCGACTCTGGACACGGCACCGTGGCTCTGTCGGACCAACCTCGAATATCCTCGCATTTTCCCCCACTGTCTCGGCCACCATCATTACTACCTGCCTTATCCACATCGATCTCATTTCGTCTCTGTATATTTATCCTCCTATGCTCTGGATTTACACTTGGTCAAGCCCTTCCGTGCCTGCAGGATGGACGTATAGACCGACCAGGCGCCCTCGGGGGACATACATAGGGCGTGTCCGTGTCCGCGAGAACCTTGAGGTCCAGCGGTAAGGGCTGCGAAACCGGTGGACTCTGTCCTCTCATCCTCGCGGCACTCACATCCGCGCCTCGCGTCGAGTCGTGCGTGTCAAATAGCCCTCCTTGTTCGACTGGCGGGTATCGACAGGCGAATTAGAAACTGGAATATGGTAAGAGCACACGGCACGGGGACGCACAGAGCACGACGAAAACAGGAGAGCCAAAGAGCGACCGCCACAAGACTAGAAGCGCACGACCCGCATGGACCACCACCGCGCTCACACGTCCTCCGTCTTTACGGCAACTGCGCCTTCCGTCGCCGCCTGGAGCGGCGTCTGCTCGCGAGCCACCACCACCACCTTCGCCTCTTCCTCGAACGAGATCTCGATCTTTGGCTTGGCCTCCTCCTCGTCTTCCGACTTTAACTCCATCTTGGGCTTAATGCGCCTAGACGTCGCGGTCGCCTTGATCCCTTTGCGAGCACTGGGACAGAGCCCGTCGAGCTCGCTCAGCTCGCACTGGTCGCATTTCGGCCCGGTGGGCGCGCAGATGGTCTAAAGCACATACGCGGGCCGGTCAGAGCCGGGAAATGAAAAAGAACCAGCGGCACAGTGGGCGAGGAGCGACGGTCGGGACACGCACCTGGCCGAAGCCTACGAGCAGATGATTGATCTCGGGGTGGAGCTCGCGCGGGAGCCAGGACTGCAGGTTCAGCCTGTGCGGCAACGGGGGTCAGCCGATGGGCGCGCTGACGGGAGAAGATGGCTGGCCTTGTCTCCTCGGGAGTCTTTGTCGGCGGTTTGTGCCACCCCAGTCTGTTCGTGATCCGGTGGACGTGCACATCCACACCGATCCCGACATTACTGTGAGAGTGCATTGTAAGTACCCCCCAGATCTCAACAGTACGTCGGAAACCGAGGCATGGACACGTACATGTTCCATGCGACTTGGAGGGCCAGGAAGGCCATCTTTGGGCCTACCCCCGGAAGGGAGCACAGCTCATCCACGGTCTGCGGGACGTCACTGCCGAACTCATCGTGCAGTTTTTGGGCGGCTTGTTTGATGTACCTAGAAAGGGAGTTGGCAGTTGGGCATGAGATGCAGACGATGACAACTAACTGGGTTTTGCGCCGCCAGAACCCGACCTTGCAGATGGCATCAGAGATTGTCGAGTCGTCCGCATTTCGGAGGGCGTCCACTGAGAGGGTGCCGCCGAGCGCCTCGCGCAACTTGCTGACAGCGGCGTCTGTGACTTCATCTTTCGTCTGCGATGAGAGCATGAGCGAGACGAGGGTGGAGAAGCGTTGGTTCTGCGGGAGAGAACGTGCATCAGAAGAGAGTGGTGACACGAGAAAGCTATCAGCTGCAGTGTCAGAGGGTCTGTACGCATTCTCGCAAAGTTTGCCTGCTAGTCCATGGGAGATTCAAGAAACGAACTTGTGAGACGTCCGCATTTCGTCCAGTGAACATAAATGGGAACGTTCCACAACAGGTAGGTTGAATATGTGAGCGCTGCCTCGTGTAGCACCAGCAAAGGTTCAGACACCATGTACCTTAGGTTCTGTCTCTTTGAGCTGGGCGCGGTCGCATCCCATGGTGTCCACGGGGCGACCACGCGCGCGCGCATGCGCTTGATGGCGTCGTATGCCTCTTGCCAGCGCAGCGGCGCCGGGTGGGGCGTCGCTAGCGCGGTTGCCACGGGCTTCTGCTTTCCAGGTTTGCGCGGTGAAGACGCGGACGCGGACGCGCGTTTGGCCCTCGGGCGCGGTGCTGGCTTGGCCTCGCTGTCGGAGTCTTCTTGCTTCAGGTCTTCGCCGGTGAGCGGGGAAGCACCCTCGTTCAAGAGCGCCGCGCTCGCGACCTTTCTCTGTCGCCCGGGCAATCTCGTTCTGCCGGATGCGCCAGGGGTAGAGGGTGGCTTCGCCAGGGATGAGTGTGCCTGTGCTGGCACCGTAAACGTGTCCAGGGAAGGCTTCAGGCGTTTGGAGCGCCGTACAACCGCCTCGTCCCCTGGCTCAAATAACGTGACGCCGGTGTTGAAGAGACTGGGTCGTCCCGGCGGTAACGCACTTCGCTTCATCTGTGGTGGTTGGTTGGATGTGGTGACAGTGAGACAACAGGGCTTGAAGAACGCCTTGATTTTGAGCAATATAACGTGTATATCAATGTTTAAATCAAAGAAGTTGTCAAGCATTCGTGGTGTAGCGGTAACATTGGGTCTTCCCATGGCCTAGCTCCGGGTTCGACTCCCGGCGGATGCATTAGTCGAAATACAGTTTGCCTTTTTTGCAAATATTGCATTCGTAAATTGTGATCGAATACCCTTATGTGTGGCTTACTGTACAGGTCCGTCATGGGCGCCTGCATTGATGAGTGGGTTGCCGCGAACGTGTACTGTATCAAACTCGATCAACAAGATCTGGCGGAAGGTAGGCTTGTGACTCCCTCTCTTCCAACTTCTAATACTTATGCCCATTGTTACCTCTTCGAAGTCAGAGCAGCACTAAGGTGTATACCTTTGCCTGTATACATCGTCACTACTTGAGCAGCGTCGAACGATCAAATTGAGATAAGTTCTCGCCTCGAGTTATTCCAGGCCGTCAGGAACGCAGGAACGACATGGGTTGGAACAAGGTGATCAAAATGTCTAGGTTCCTCATGTCCATTTCGAGGCTCACCCCGTATTTGTAGGCTTCCGCACGTGAGAGGCAACTCTTCCATTGTAGGAGAGTCGTCCATATTACTTAGACACCAGCATTGTCCGCAACATCCGCCGCCGCACCGTGGCGTCCGCGCAGCCTTGTACGTCCGTGCGCTCTGTTGATTCTTGAACGGACATAAGCTAACAGTTTCAACGTGGCAACCCGTGTACGCATGACATGGATCAAGCACTTCATCTATGCGTTCTCAGATAGGTTTGGGCCTCTAAAGATTTCCCCGCAGCATGCCGAAGTGGCTGCTGCTGCTACCGACCGCGGAGCCCCGGAGAGCGTCTTATACCCTCTCAGATTGCCAGCGCACATGGCCACGGTACCAATCACACGCGCTCATATCCGGGACTTCGAGGCGGCGTGCACTACCCTCAAGCTCTACGCGGCCCATATGCGTCCCGGATGGGCCAGACCCTCTTCATCCAGCGCGCCAGCACTTCCGCCGCCGCGTGTGTGGAGTTCACATGAGCCATCTTCCGGATTATGAGCAACATTCGGTGCGCATGGTATTGTCTTGCTTCTCTTTCTTCCTTCCGGTACTGACTCCGGAAAACGTCGTATAAAGGATGGATTACTCTGCCCTGGGTAGGACCTTCACTCGCCACGTCCCGCAACTCCCAGCCCAGCCTCAACCATCAGGATGCTCTCCACGTTCTCGCTTGTCTTCTTCGCCGCCACGAGCGTACTTGCTCTCCCCGTGTGCAACGTCGTGCTCCCCACCTCCACCACCTCCAGCAACGTCGCCTCACGCGCCAGCATTAACGACCTGAACCTCTTCCCCGTCTCCCCTCAGCTCTCATACTGGACGACGGATCCATCGCTGCCGAAGCCGTCGCCGCTCTCGGACGCGACCTTCCGGCCACACAACGAGATCACCGCGCTCTCCCATGACTACGTGACCGCACCGGACGGGAAGAAATCGATGAAGGCCCACTACCCCGCGGGTTCCTACACGTTCTCTGGGCCCATCCAGGGCGGGTTCTCGTTCTACGCCCCAGGCCCGGCCAACCTCGACCTCACGACCGCGAAGGAGGCCACGTTCGGGTACGACGTGTACTTCCCGTCCGGCTTCAACTTTGTCAAGGGTGGCAAGCTTCCCGGTCTCTGTGAGTGCGTCACCTTAGCGTACGCTGGATTGGGCACTGACTGCGCTTATTCTCTCGCCCCGCTCGCCCTACCGCCGCTATCTCGGCCCTTAGATGGTGGCGATAGCGACGACGAGGCCATGTCCTGCTCGGGCGGGCGGCGCGACGACGGCTGTTGGTCTTCGCGACTCATGTGGCGCACGGGCGGCGCGGGCGAGCTCTACACCTACCTCCCGCCGGACTACCCGGAGAATGACGCGGTGTGCGACCAGCCGCCGTACTCGACGTGCAACTCGGTGTACGGCGCGTCCGTCGGCCGCGGCTCGTTCTCGTGGAAGACGGGCGGGCGGACGACGATCTCGCAGCGCGTGCGCCTCAACGACGCGGGCAAGGCCAACGGCGAGCTCGAGCTCTTCGCGAACGGGAAGAGCGTCGTGAGCGTCGGCGGGCTCGTGCTCCGCGACTCCTCCGCGGGGCGCATCCGCGGGATGCAGATGCAGACGTTCTTCGGCGGTGCGTGCCCCCTCTCCCACTCCCGCTCCGCGTGTGCACCGGGCGTCGCTTCGTTCCCGGCGCAATCTCCTCGCGCCGTTGTGGGCGCGACGCGCGGGGACCACTTGGATGCGGCGTGCCCGAGGGAAGCAACGCTCCACGCGCGGACGCTCGGTGCCGCGCACGCCCAGAGGACACCGAGGCGCTGGGCAGATGGCCCTCGGTGCCTCCGTCTGCTTCCTTGCCGCGCAGACCGAGCTCGATTCGCTGATCCGCGCTCTCTCCCCGCAGGCTCCGACAGCAGCTGGGCGACGCCGACCGACCAGAACGTGTACTTTTCCGACTTCTCCGTCGCGATCACCGAGACGCTCTGAGCGGCGCGCGCCCGCGTGGTGCCCGCGCGGCTCCGCGTGCGCGGCCGCTCAAAGCGCGGGGGGTGTGGCACGGAGAGCGGAAGTATGGGAGGACGTCGCGAGGACATGCGACGGGGCGCGATGGCGTTGCCCGGGCCCGGGCTCCCCGCGCGTGGTCTACAGATTTATGGGGTGCTTCTGCAGCTCCTCCGCGCGCCGTATGGGCCGTGGTCATCTGCGCAGGCGCGGCGCGCCTTTCCCCCGGTCTTTCTGTCTTTTTCGGTCTCGCTCAGGTCGCGGTCGGGGCTGGCTTCGTATGATTAGGTTCTCTGCGCCGCTATGGTGATACCCCGGTTCCGTGTTTTCACACCGATATGTATCTGTTCTGTTTCGATCTGCGGTCATCTTTGTACGAATGAACGACTTTCATGAAGCAATATAAACGTGTGTTTGTACCATTTAGCTCTCATTGCCGGACTCTCCCACTCACGTCCTTACGCTTGCGATTGGATGAACGTCGGTTTATCTTCGCGCAGTGATCAAAGCAGCTAGGAAAGGCTATTTCGTTGTTCGGCACAGTGCCGTAAACGTCTTTTCCTTCGTGGCGCCTGAGTGCATGTCCTGGACAAGCCGAGATCGTCGACCACGTGAAAGGGGCCGCCTCATGGAGTGGAGCGGGACTGAGAATCTCCTGTTAGGGCTCTTGTTTTGGGGAGCTCAGCTCGAGCACGAGATAGACATGGAAGCGCCAAGAGGCACATACCGTCGGTTCTCTGAATCTTGCTGTCGTGGTCCCTGGAATCTATCAGAAATTTTTGACATGCCACCGCGGAATGGGGAGGAAACGGGCGCCGATCACGCTCATTTCCGACGACCGCAATCCCGACCATCGCTGCCGGCTTCCGCAGTCGAAAATTCAGCTATACTTGGATGTTCTAAGAAACCAAAGACATTCAGAGTCGTCGAGAGTCGAGAGTCCGAATCAAGTTGCAGATCTTTTGAAACCCCACAGGCGCCTATCTTATCTGCCTGCAGACGCTGAGGGTCATCGCGCTTGGCAGCAGGCGCCGCCCGCGCATCTTTCCTCCGCACCACCATCGACATTCTGTAACACGATGTTGCTCTCCAGCAGCATCATTTGGGCCTATCTAGCCCAACCTGACTTCCTTACGCTCGGATGCCGCGCTCGGATGCCAAGGACAGGTTCATGCCACGGTCGTCATCTCTCATCTTGCTTGAAGGCACCTACAGCGACGATGGATGGCCGTGCAATCGCCGGTATCCGTCGTCAACAGTTCCTCAGGCCTCAAATTGTGGGCACGCTCGGCAAGGAGCGAACGCGCTGACAATTTGAATGGTACGTGTTGACATCATCGTGACACTGCCGCCACGCCCGCTGACTGATTACTGTTTTACAGGCTTTCGAGATTTCAGAGTCGAGCAGAGTTTCGTGCTCGACTCGAAGAGCGGTTGTCGTCATCAAGAGCGGCCCTTCGCATCAGTGACTTCATCTGTTTGAGGGCCAACATCAGTTTACGGCGTAAGTACTTTCTAGACGTAAGTCCCAGCTGAAGACCTCCTCCCTATTAAGTTCTGAGCGCAGAAGTTGCCGGGAGCTACTTCCAACACATGAATGTCCGAGCAAAGTAAGCGATGGTACTTGTCACTCGGACTTGCCGTCGTTCATGGAACCCGTGCGTTGTGCTTACTCCATTTAGGCAATGATTTCATATTTCAACGTCGTCGCTGCACAGCTCCGTCATTTGCAACTGTGCCCGTCCGATCTCGGCCATGCACGGTGTGTGTAGTGTCCCCGGTGGTGGAGTTCAGATGTACGTTGGCGCCAGCCCGGGTGTTACGGTCGACTGACCACTCTCTCTTTCAATGCCTTGCGCTTATTCTTTTCGGTGACAGGCGCGTGTAGTGTCACTGTGGGCGTACCTCAGAAAGATAACATCATGCGAGTGGCCGAACACGTTTCTTGTTTCGGCGCAACAAAGCTGATGCCACTGCACCTCGGTATAAAGGGGAAGCACCCTCGACGATGTTTCTTTGCTCGACGCCCCAGTCCTCCCTCCCCACTACGCCTTCTACGACCTCACAGCTGCGCTGTGCTGTTTGCTCTCTCATATTTTCTAGTTTCACGCTCTCTTCACTTACAATATCGCCATGCTTTCCCTCGTCACCCTCGCTCTCGGCCTCGCTGCCACTGTCTCCGCCGTTCCGCTCGGGCCCGGCAACACCACCCTGCACCACGCGCGGGCCGCATCCACGCTTTTCCCCGTCGACCAGGGATCCAAGTCCTGGACGGTATCCAAGGGCCAATCCGGGGCTCTCCCACTGAGCGATGACACATTCCGGCCGTTCAACGAGATCAAGGACCTCACCCACGACTACGTCTCCGCCCCGGACGGCGTGCTCTCGATGGAGGCCGTGTACCCCAAGGGCTCCTTCAAGCCCTCCGCGAGCCCGCGCGGAGGCATCACCTTCTACGCGCCGGGACCCGCGAGCGTCGACCTGACGACTGCCAAGGAGGCCACGCTCTCCTACACCGTCCTCTTCGAGGAAGGCTTCGACTTCAACAAGGGCGGCAAGCTCCCGGGCCTCTGTGGGTGTCTCCCCGTCCGCGCCCGTGCTGATATCAGTGCTGATCAGCCCTTTTCCCCCTCCGTCGCGCAGACGGCGGCAACAGCGACAAGGAGGCGGTCGGGTGCTCGGGCGGCCGGCGCGACACCGGCTGCTTCTCCGCGCGGTTCATGTGGCGGCGGGGGGCGCGGGGGAGCTGTACACGTACCTGCCGCCGGGGATCGACGCGAACACGAAGGTGTGCTCGGTGCCGCCGCAGTCGGAGTGCAACGACGTGTTCGGGCAGTCGGTCGGCCGCGGCGCGTTCTCGTTCACCCCGGGCACGCGCGCGACGATCGGCCAGCGCGTGCGGCTGAACGACGTCGGGCAGGAGAACGGCGAGCTCGAGCTGTTCGTGACGGGAAGAGCATGTTCACCGTCGACGGGCTCGTGCTGTCGACGGCAGACGCGGGCCGCATCCGCGGGATCCAGATGCAGACGTTCTTCGGCGGTGAGTGCGCGCGCGGTCGTGGGGTGTCGGGTTCGAATGCTGAGGGATCTGCGAACTACAGGGAGCGACAGCTCGTGGGCGTCGCCCAAGGAGCAGCACGTCTACTTCAGTGACTTCTCGGTCGCCATTACCGAGGCGCTCTAAAGTCACTGCACCCTGGCCTCGACCGCGTTGAGCATGCTCGAGCTCCAGACATGACCAACGCGACTGACCCGGGCATCGACAAATGGCAGTCCTTCGGCGTAGTAGCTTGAAACCGGGTATTTGGCTCTCGTCTGTGATGATTGAGCGCGGAGTGCTTTCGAGGGGATTACTTCAGAGGATTGATGGATCTTTGGCTGACTGGATTGCCCGTTGTACCCCAAGGCATACTATATAATGACCATGTTTATATTTTAACTGGTGGACATCGAACTCGGTGCAACAGCAAGTGAAGTGCTGCATTGTGAATAGCAAAGTTCCAGACAGGTTTCAAATCTCAGATGTCGCAGTCGATCGAACGACGATGACGTCAAGGCAACGATGGATAGCCCGACCGGACGCCAAACTGAGCTGCGGGGGCCGTTATAAGCCTCGGAAGTGTCCAGTTGCGCAAACGATCCCCCCATTTCTTCTCCCTCCTGTCTCATGGGCCCATGACATGCAATCTACAAACCGATCGTGGAAAATCTTCTCAAGGTCGCAAAAACAAGGTGCCAATATACGCGCATATACACCTGCCTACCAAGACCGAAGAGGGGCTGGGATAGACGTCGGGACGGCGCATCTGCCGATGACGGAGCAGGCCCAACTTGGTCAGGTACGCTGCGTACACCGCTACGCTGGCCATCATCCCAACAAGTACTGCGTCCCGCGAAGCGCTGTCCTCGATCTCGCATCTCCGGTATCTTGTCAAGCTCACAATGGCTGCGTGTCCTCTGCATGTCTTCTCATGTCGAGATAGGCCTCCAAACCTGGTTCTAAACACACTTTGCGCATTACTTGATCCAGGCCCAGACGCGAAATCTCGCCGCAAGCTGTGCCGTGGGCTCCAAAGGCGATCCAGATCAGTCCTGCGCATGCGGATGAGATCTCTTGGCATTGGCACCGTGGAAGTTGGTCAGGGCGCAGTCGATGGGCGAACGGAGGCTAGCGCTCGGAGTGTCCTTCTGGTGCGGCGACTGTGTGTGCGGCCCAGCCGTTGAGTCGAATTTCGCTGCGGGCATGTGCACGACCGGGAGCTCACATTCTGGTTTTCTAGGGTGCACTGGGCTCCAACGAAGAGCACCAAATTTGCTCCGCGGAAACGTCCATGCGCGTAACGCACCCTAGACCCGAAGCGCCTATAGAGGGACCGCCGACAAACGCCCATTTTTGCGACTTTCATGTCCGGACTATTTGAGGTCCCACGTCCGGACTTTCGGCGGTCCTCCAGCACCAGGGCGGTTGCCCGTCCGGACCGTTCGGCAGTCCTCCAGGAGCGCTTTACGGGCGCTAATTCGTGTTTTCGCCGCAAAAAGTCTTCAAACCCCGCGAAAAGCTCATCGCAGCTGCTCAGAGCAAGGTGGCATGGAATGAACAGAGAAATTTGTTGTACTTAGCGGGAATTCTCGACCTGTGCGCAAAAGTGGGCTGTTGAATTCTGATTGACGCCGGGATGATTACTAAATGATGCTTTAAAGCTTTATTGACTCCCTCCAATAAGTGTTTCAACTGAGTAATAGCTTTGAACAAACCCTCCTCCCACTTCCCGCATCGGCGCCTACCTCAGGTCTTACTTGGCTGATGTCCGGGCTTCGGCAGACCCTTCCCGGCCCCTTCAAGGTCATGTCCGGACCTTGCAGCCATCAGTCGGACAGCCTCCGGATGTCGGATGGCGACCGTCCGAGGCCATCAATCGTCCATGTCGCGTCCCAACGCCTCCCCCCTTCAACGCCACTGGCCAGGATGCTCGCGAGTCGGCCCGGTTGTTTTCGCTCCGCGCCGAAGGATATTATGGTGTTTCGGAATAGGAGGCCGGACGGACATCAGATCCCGCGAGCGCGCCGACCTGAGATGCCGCGCTCCGGCCTCGCGCGCACTCATTGGCAGCACGCCTGGAACGGCCGGAGGTGACTTGGAAATGGCGCGGGCGGAGGGCTTGTTTGCTGCCCGTGTCGCTCTTTGACCTCTGCGTGTCACTTATTGTTTAGGGATTAATGAGAAACAGGTCGCAACAACACGACATACGGCAGGAGAACAAAGGCAGCGCTCAGTGGGACAATGGGGCCCGGAAGGAGGAAGGCACCCGATCTGGGTGGTAGCGTGATGGCTCCACTGGACGCCCACAGTGCATAGATATTCGCGCGCGACGCGCCTGCTGCTCCCATCCCCCTCCTCCCTCCCTCCCCTTCTCCATCCCGTTGCTTCTCGGCTTCGTGCCTCTCGCACAGTCGTTCTTTATTCACCACTGTCTTTAACGACCTGGTCAACTCCACTCCGCTCTTCCCGTCCTTCACTCGTTCACAGGACTCCGACACCATGTACGCCTTCAAGACTCTCGTTGCCATCCTGGCCCTTTCTCTCGTTTCCGTTGAGGCTGTTCCCGTTCGCCACCGCCGCCGGGACAGCTGCAGGGCACACTCGAGCAGTGCTGTCCTCGCCACGACTTCGACCGCGTCGGTCACCACCGACGTCTCGTCGGTCACCACTTCCATCGCGGACTCGACGACCTCGGCCTCGGCTTCGATCATCACCTCCAAGTCTTCATCCAAGGCCGCCACTTCCTCCACCCGCAAGGCTTCGAGCACATCTTCCTCCGCGTCGTCGTCTGCGACCGGGTCTTCCAGCAACTCGAGTGGCCTCAGTGGTCTCCTCAAGAAGCTCTTCCCCGTCTCCGACTCCGTCTCCTGGACCACCTCCACTGCCGCTAGCGATGCGCTTTCCCTCAGCGACGCCACGTTCGGTGTGACGAAGCTCATCAAGGCGCTCACGCACACCTACATGAACGCACCCGACGGCAAGATGTCAATGCAGGCGCACTACCCCAAGGGTTCGTACACGTTCGGTCACAGCCCGCAGGGTGGTTTCTCTTTCTACGCCACCGGTCCCTCCGACTTCTCCCTCGCCGACGCCAAGGAGGCGACGCTCTCCTACACCGTCATGTTCGACGAAGGCTTTGACTTCAACAAGGGCGGCAAGCTCCCCGGCCTCTGTGAGCCTCCATTTCATCTCCGAACCGCAGCCCGCGCTAAACCGCTTGTTTTTCCCAGATGGCGGTGACTCTGCCACAGAGGCTGCGTCTTGCTCGGGCGGCCGTCGCGACGACGGCTGCTGGTCCGCCCGGTTCATGTGGCGCACCGGCGGCATGGGCGAGCTCTACACCTACCTCCCGCCGTCGTACTCCGCGAACAAGGCCGTCTGCAACGTCGCCCCTCAGTCCGAGTGCAACTCCGTCTACGGCGCGTCCGTCGGTCGCGGCTCGTTCAACTTCGCCGCCGGCACCCGCGCCCTGATTGGCCAGCGCGTCAAGCTCAACGACGTCGGCCAGGAGAACGGCGAGCTCGAGCTCTTCGTCAACGGCGAGAGCGTCTTTACCGTCCAGGGTCTCGTCTTCCGCGACAAGGAGGAAGGCCGCTTCCAGGGCATCCAGATGCAGACTTTCTTCGGTGGTACGTGCGACTTGCGTTCGACGGTGATGTTGCTGAGCTGACGTCCCCTCACAGGCTCGATGCTTCGTGGGGGTCCCCCAAGGACCAGAACACGTACTTCTCCGACTTCTCCGTCGCCGTCACCGAGAAGTTCTAAGCGTCTCGCGTCGTTTCGCTCTCCATGACGACCCCCACGTCCTTTCCGCATGCTTCTCACGCCTCTTTCCGTTCCGTCACATCCCATCGCTTCCCATCGCATCGCATCGCACATCGCTAGCTCGCTCGCTTTCACAGGTCCACGGTACCTCTCTCACCACACACGCATCCACGCTCCGACTGCACGTCTCGTTTTCCCGCTTCCCCTTCATCTCCGGCTCTCCTCCCCTGCAGGCTTTTCTCCACCCCACATTCGCGCGCGCCCGTGCTCGACGCAGCCCGTCCTCCGCTTTGCTCCCCGTCACCCCGGTTTCGGTTTGCTTTATCTATCTCCACCCGCGTCTCTAGCAGACGCGGCCGACGGGTCGTGAGCGCCGGCGCGCGCAGACGCGCCGCAGGGAGGGACACACGGGACAGGGCGCGCTAAACCACAGTAAACGTATACGTTATACTCCACTTGACTTCCGCCATACGCATCGCTTGTCGCTGTGTATTGTAGCTACTTGGTAGATCGACTTCTGCCATGGCTCAGGGGTTTTTGAGAGCTGTTGTCGAATAAAGACACATTTGCCATTTCTTCACGTTGTCTGCCGGTGTCATGATCAAAGGCTCTGATTCCTGAATGTAGTCAAGTATCGCATTGGTCGAATCGCATAGACTTCGGTGGGGCAAAAAAAAAATTGAAATGCATCCGCCGGGAGTCGAACCCGGAGCTAGGCCATGGGAAGACCCAATGTTACCGCTACACCACGAATGCTACACATGTCTTGCTTGAAGTATCGAGAGAGCTCAACAATAACAAAATACGTAATCCTCTAATCTTCTCGCAACTCCTTTCAATATGCTTCTGCTCTGTTTTAGCTTGCATCCGAAACTCCGAAGCTCGAAGATCAGTGCTCGCGCTCAGCGCTCAGCTCTTCGATGCGTAACCTACTCATGGGGTTAGGGCCAAGCGACGGGCGCCAAATGATGCGACGCGACTCCGGGAGGCGCTGGATCCCATCCACTCCTCCTCCATCTCCTTCATGATCCAGTCCTAGCAGCGCCATTCCCGATCGAAAATGAGTACATATCAATATGAAGAAGCCGAGACGGACCACGAGAGAGCGATTTTCACCCACGCGGACAACCGTCCTGTCAAGTTCTACTTCTGGGGCACGCACCAGGACGAACAAGGCTCCAACTGGGGCCTGGAGGCGGGGCGGCGCGACGCGTTGCGGGCCAAAGTCCTTGTACGTCCCCCCTTCCCTCCCCTCTGAGTTATTTCGTCCGTTCACGCTGCGGGCGCGTCTGGGGCGCACAGGCGAACGGCGGCACGGTCTGCGAACACGCGAAGGACGCGGACACGGTGATCGTGCGGCGTGCCGGGCTGGAGGAGCTCCGCCGCCGATACCGCTCGCTGCCCACGCGGTACGCCGAAGGGCCCGATTTCGTCAAGGAATGCATCAGGAACAAGAAGTACGCGCACCATCCCGTCTTGCCGCGGCCCATGGGCGGGCTACCCTCCCGGGGGTGAGTGTCTCGGCGTGTGGCGCGAGCGGTGGTTGGCATGTGCTGATGGGCCAGTGCAGTGTCAGGCAGCGCATCGAGTTCACGTATCGGGACGAGTGGAACTTGGTCCGGTACCTCGCGGTGCGGATTCCGTACCCAGAGACTGGTGGGCGGATGGGTAACGGGGTATATAACGAGCTCATGGAGGATGCTCGAGTTCCGGTGCGTTGGTGTCTCGTCGTCGCATGCGTCTTGGAGCCTCATCAAGTGTTCAGGACTCGGATTTTGCCTGGGCACTCCGGCATACAGCACACTCGTGGCGAGAGCATTACAAGAACAACCAAAAATGGTTCGATGACATGATCGAGAGCATCGTCGAGAAGAATCCGCCCCCGGCAGACGGCAAAGGCTTGTACGGATACAGTCGGACAGTCACCAAGCGGTCCTATGAGCAACGTATGCGGTCCGACTCCGAGGATGAAGAGGAATACGATCCGCAATTGCGAGCGGGGCCTTCCAAACGACGGCGTCGCCGAGTGTTTGAAGAAGAGGAGGATGAAGAGGAGGATGATGAAGAGGAGGGAGCGGAAGAGGAGTTTCACCTGGAGGACATACGCAACACGCCGCAGGAGGAGGATGAGTTCGAGCCGACGCCAGGCCCCGAAGACGCGGGTCCCTCTCATACTCAGCACTCCCCGCCCATAGTCGCGAAGATGCCCCCTCCCCCAGTCCCCGCGAAGACGTCTCGGAACCCTCCCGCTCCGCGCCCAGCTCGCCGACCCCAGGTGTCACAAATGCCCATGAGTTCCCAGGCGACACTAGTCGGGAACGCGGTCTCGCAAATCCCCCAGCCGAGGACTAGTCAGCCGAAGAAGAAGCGTAAAATTATGAACTATGTTCAAGTACCCGAGGGCATCCCGCACGACCAAGTTCAGTCCGAAGAACCTCCGCGTCGGACGGGCCGAGGAGGTAAGGGCAAGGAGCGCGCTCTGCCTGAGGAAGACTACGAGTTTGAGACAGGCAGGGATCCGGTGGACCAGGACGAGCTCGCTGTGCAGGATCTGCTGGAAGATGTAGTCCTGTCCAGTCAAAGACGCCACTCTCGTGGGCAGAAAGCACAAGATGTCTTCGTGGTCGACTCAGAAGAAGAGTTCGAAGTGAGCTCTCAAGATCTGGAGGCAGACGAAGGGCTTGAGGAGTACGAATTCGTGGCGGATTCCACAGAGTTCGAGACGGCACCCCAGGAACTCAAAGAAGAGAACATTTCTGAAGAGTTCGAAACGGCACCCCAGGAGTTCGAGCTGCGACGTCGTCCGCGGGAAGAAGACGAAGGAGATGAAGATGCGACCGAAGAGGAAGAGACGGACAGCGACGACCAGCGCATGATACAGAACATCGGTCTCCCCAGTCGACCTCGGGGAGGCCCTGTCCGGCGACCCGTCCCCCAGCGGGAGGAGGAGGAAGAGTCGGATGACGACGATGAGAGTTTCGCGGCAAGCCTCAACCTTCTCGGGACTATCTCAACCCCTCCTCTCCGACCCACACCCACCCTCGCGCAGAAGCCTGCCGAGCCTGCGCTCCCCACCCCCTTCGCTGCACGCACACGTCAAGGCCAGCAGCGGCAGCGTGCCGTCGCGCGCATGTCTTCATCGGAGAGCGCCGTCCCTCTCCGTGGCACGACGGCGAGTGTTGTGAAAAAAACGCTAGAACGCGAGGCACTCGAGGCGGAATCATACGTGCCGCCAGCGGGGACGCGTGCCTCCCAGGAGACTAGACGACGAGCCCGAGAAGCGCAGGAAAGGAGTGGACGGGATTTACGGTCTCGCAGGGTACCGCGGTGATACGCACGGATGTCGATGATTTATGACATACACTATCTAGGCAATGGACTTGCGCCCTGTGCACGCTACTTACTCGAGGAACATGCTGCTTTATTGTAGGACAATTGTAATTACTTCTCGATCGGTCTGTGAGTCTCTGATCCCGCGCACTCACCATTGTGCACCAAATTGGAGGGGCCACCATACGTCCATGTTCGGACCCGCACCGAACGTCCTTACTCCTCCCGCATGCGATCCGTGTCTCTCTCGCGGTGGACGAACGCCGCCAGTGCGACATCTCCGTCTTCGGGCCAAGGGGTTCTTCCACACTCGCCTCCCTCGCACGCACGACCAACTCCGACGCGGCGGACAGCCCTATGTGCGTCCTCCCTCTACACGCAGCCGACTAGTGTCGCCCGCTCGTCGGGATGCTTGAGGGCCGGCACGAGGGTGGGGGAGGGGAGAAGGGCGAAGCAATGGTGAATAATGATTATTGTAGCGTTGCGTCTATGCAAGAAGTAGGGTGATATTAAACACAACAGTAGCACGGAATGAGGTAGTCCAGTACTATGAGGACGAAGACGAGCCTTGCGGACTGTCGGCGGATGGAGACTCGGGTTGAGACAAAGGCGGGCGTATACCTCGGGTCAAGTCCACGATTGGCAGGGGTAAAGGGGTGCCCTCAAACTCAGCCCAACCGCCGCGCAGCCCAATCTCCACCACACGGGTCAATATCCGTGCAAGTTCATCGTGCCTGCTCGTATGTCAGCGGTCGGTGGCGACAAAGAAATGTGTGGACGCACTTCGCAGCTTCGTCGGCCATGCGTTCCTCCTGCAAACGCGCGAGCGTGTCGACGCGCTGGTTCAGCCCCTCCACGCTCTCCTTGAGCTGGTCCAGTTGGTCGTCCACGTCGTCGCGTCGTCTCGCTTGCTTGTTTGACGAACGCCATGTCTCTCCTAATATGAGGCCTGTAGCGACAACAAACAGAAAGCCTTCAGCGAGCGCGTTGGCGCCATTGTCGATCGCTCTACGCGGGCATGAGCATAACATGGGGAGCACGGGAGATGGCAGGTACATACTTTGTTTCAGAGAGCGGTCGGACGTGCTTGGCAGGCTCGCCGAGAAGATTCGTGCGCATCTTAATTTCCGTTTGGTACATGCGCTGCGCTAAGCCAACGCAGATTTGGCGGAACATCTCATGCCTAGTGGTACAAGTTCAGATGAGCATACAGAGGGCCTAGTAGAAAGCGTGTACGCACTGTTTGGCTTGCGTCTTCAGCTGGGCACTGATAGGTTTTGCCAGTGTCTTGCACCGTTGAGTGACGCGTATGTGCACATGGCTTGTGAACTCACTCGGATGACTAGTGACGCAATCTTGGCGGTGGCCATCGTGCGGGGAGTGCGGGTTGACGAGGGACGTCTAGATCAGGATAAGTAGAGACAGTGAAGCGGCACGGGGTGAAGCAGTAGTAGCGGATGAAGTGGACGGAGGGAGCAAGGTTCTTGAATTGCGCGACGGCGCGGTGAGCGTCGTGTGCGACGGCACAGATGATGTGCGCGCCGAGGGGCCTCGTCAACCGTCGCCGGCCCGCCACCCGCTACATATGTAGGGGGGAAGAGCGCTGAGCAGTCCCCACCCTGCTTCAACTTGCCCACCACCACGACCATCATCCCCGCACCCCGGAAAAAGCCTTCAAGGCACCCCCCAGACGTACCCGAAGACCGCGATATGGTCGAAGGGATCACTCCTGCATCCGTAAGCACTCACATCCAGGTGCAAGGTTCCCAATCTCACGTTGCATATATGCAGGCTGCACACGGCGTAGCAGAAGATGACAGCGCGCTGCGTCTCGAGAGGATGCGGGTCCGAGAGGCTCTCAACGCGCGCGACGTCGCCGTCAATCGTCTCGCCGACGCGTGCGCGTCCGTTCAAGAAAAGTCCAAGGCCGTCCATGAGCTCCAGCAGGAGAAGGCTGAGCTTCAGAGGCTACTTGATATATGCAATAAGAAGAGGGCAGAGGCCATCGACGATAAGGAGAACGGGCCTTGCAAGTGCCAGGAAGATGCGATATCGGAGGATGAAATGTATGCTGAGGGCAAGAACGAGCTCAAGGCTACGATGAAGAAGGTGGAAGATCAGCTAGCGGCTGTGCGGGTCTCGGATCCTGCAGGCGGCGGAGAGACAGACGACAATAAGTACAAGGTGAGCAATAGGTGCTCTGCCATCACCACTATGTCTTCATCGTCGTTTTTTAGTCTGCTGTAGCGAGGATCACCAAGTTGTTGAACGACTGCTCCTCCGCGACGACTCCGCTCAGAGACGTTGCCAACGTGTATGCTCTTCCTCCGCTGTCGAGTCCGTTCACCATGCCTCTCACTCCGGCGATCGATCAGCCTGACTCTCCTTGGACACCCATCGACGGAGAACGCACAGTGAGCACCTTTGACCCGCCACGCGGAAATTCACCTGACTAGGATTTCCTAGACACTCCCAACCCTCAGTACCACGGAGAAGATCAATGCAAGATACGCTGTGCTTGCTTCTCTCCCACTCCCTTCGGGAATTCCAGAGGATTCTCTCACGCCCATTCTAATCCCTTCGCCGCATTCTATACATGAATTTATCGCAACGACATCCGGGGTAGGTGCGCCTGGTCTTGTGGTCCGAGCCAATCTAACGAAGTCTTGAAATTTATCAGCCCCTCCGCTCCCAGTAAGTTTTGAAATCGCGCCCTACTAGTTGACGTTGCGCATTTTGGCAGGCTGGGCAACTATCGTGTCTTCCAGCAATCGACGACGACCTGGTGCCCCGAGCGCGAGGAACATGGGTACTACCTCACTCCGGTCTTCAAGTGTAGCACCAACCCCCGGGTCAACACTGCACATCGTTGGTCTGCTGCCGACATTGCATCCAGATTCGACATACCCACAGGTATCTATATTCGCACTAGCGAATCGATACTAGCTTAATAAACACCGACGGCAGAATGTTTCTACAACAAGGACGGAAAGTGGTACTACGCCGGGATATACAAGTCGTTCCGTCTCGACGATCTCTGTCCGCAAGAATGGGAGTGCTTATCGACCGAAGTAAGGCCATCTTCATGGTCTTCTTGCTCATCTCTACCACTTATCATGCAGACTTCGCAAGCCCTCATCAAAGAGACACTGGCAGCGCGCAAGAACACCTCTCCACAAAACATCTACGAGGTCTCCCAACTCTACTCGGCGGGTGCTCTTCGCGTGGCTTGCATCGGTGTCCAATGCATCGGCTTCAACAACGCTCTCTACCGTGACGTCCTCCAACATGCTGTCCTGTGTTCTCAGTCTGGCAAATGGCGCGGCTCCACTGGAACCTTCTCTCCTGGACTTGGACTGACACCTGGAAGCGCTGGCGGTGGTACTGTATGGAACAGCCCGACGACGAGCTGCGTCCCTCCTGGTAGCGGCCCGGGGAGTCCGATTGGAATGGGCATCGTCGGCACCATAGGCAACGGGCGGGGGATCATTGGGCTTGCACCTGGTGTTGCTCAGTCCCCGCAGACACCGACTGTCAGGGTCACGCAGCAAGGCTCTCAAGACTCTCAGACTACTTTTGGTGGGCGCCCCGCCTGAACTTCGTGGAAGGGTCTGTGTCGATGGTTGCTCTCCGTGTTCTTTGTTCCCGCTTGTAACGTCTAGAATTCCGGACTCTGTTTGTGGTTGGGTAGCAGTTGAAGGACGTGTAGTATAGAAACACATATGTACAGTTCGAATCCGCAAATGTTTGGTCCAATCACTCGAGTTTTCGCAGTATGCATCCACAAGTGAAAGCAACAAACCATTGAGTGTGAGTGTGGATTAAAGCGCTTCTTATATGCTTAATAAACCGGTCAATAGAACGGCGAGACACGCATCCTGATTAGTGGAAACTCTAATTACACGGCACACGCTGTGAGAGACGCGCAGTGCGCCCCGCTCATCCACCATCCACCACATCGACCAGCTATCCTCCACGACATCCTCCACAATCCTCCCTGATGTCGCAATGGGGTCAGGGCTACCAGTATCCCATGCAGACGGGGTATAACCCCCAGCAGTTCCAACAGCTTCCTCCTCAACAGACGGGCTTCCCTGGCCAACAGCCAGGGTTCCAGCAGCCCCAGCAGACGGGCTTCCCTGGTCAGCAAAGCTTCCAACAGCCTCAGCAAACTGGATATCTCGGACAGCTTCAGCCCCAACGCACCGGCTTCGCTGGCCAGCTGCAGCCCCAGGCCACAGGCTTCCCTGGCGGCTTCCAGCAACGCGCACCCCCGCCCCCCGTCCCGCCCGTGCCCCCTCTCCCCTCTCAGTTCCAGACGCAGCCGCAGCAGAACCAGAGCGGCTTCCTCAGCGCGCAACCCGCGAGCAACTTCATGGGGGGCTCCCCCGGGCTCTCCCCGCTCCAGGCACAGGCGACCGGCTTCCCTGGGGGAAGCGGGGGCCTGCGCCCGCTCGTTCCGCAGGCGACCGGCTTCGTCGACCCGCGGCTGCAGATGATGACGAACACGTTTCTGCCCGCGAACACCGCCTCGCCCTACAACGCCGCAGGCCTCCCGCAGTTCCAGCAGCAGCAGAGCGACTTCAGCCTCCAGCAGTCGTTCCAGCAGCACAACCAGGCGCAGCGCGGGAGCGCCGCCCCACGCGTGCCGTGGACGCTGTCCAAGGGGGAGAGGAAGCAGTACGACCAGATCTTCCGCGCGTGGGACACGTCGGGGACGGGCTTCATCAACGGGCAGACGGCGTTGGAGGTGTTCGGGCAGAGTGGGCTGGATAGGAATGATCTTGCGAAGATCTGGTGAGTGGTATTGGTTTATGCGTATGGCTTGTTCTCACCCAAGGCAGGGGTCTTGCGGATGTCGACAACCGCGGCAAACTGAACCTCGCTGAGTTCCATGTGGCCATGGGTCTCATCTACCGAAGTGCGTGCGGTTTCTGTCATTGTATGCGCCCTTCTGACTCGCATACAAGAGCTCAACGGGAATGAGATCCCCGAGATGCTTCCGCAGGAGCTCGTCCCTCCGTCACATCGCGATTTGGAGAACTCTGTTGACGTTCTGAAGGACATTCTCAAGCACGACACTCGCGCCCGTTCTCCGGCCGCCCCTGACGCTCAAATATCTCGTCTGCGCGAACGATCCTTCTACTCCAACGCCGAGGGTGCTGGTGGCCGTCAAGATGCCACTGTATACAAGTTCAAAGACGAGGCTCCGAGCGGCGGCTTCTACCAGCCTCGCAATCGTCACGTTGACCGTGCCGCCATCCGCACGGACAGCGAGAGCGCCAGCCCGGCTGCAGACCTCGATGATATGAAGCGCCAGTTGGAGAACACCGTTAAGATGCTGGACCGCGCCGCGGACGAGAGGGACGCTCGCACTGCTGAGGACGACGCGCTGGAGCGTGAGATGTCCGACTTGCGCTACCGCGTCAAGAGGGTACAGGAGGACATCGACTACGCGTCGCGTGGTCCGCGGTCCGTCGCCAAGGACGATGAGCGCCGCAAGCTCGAGCGTGAGCTCCTGGAACTCATGCACGAGAAGCTCCCCGACCTCGAGCGCCGCGTCAAGGACCGTGAGGAGCGGAAGGAGAGGGAGAAGCGAGAGTGGGCACGCGACCGCGACCGGCGCAACGAGCGGTTCGGACGTTACGACGACCGCGACGACCGCCTCGGGTCCAGCAGATACGACCGCGACCGCGACTACGAGAGACCCCGGAGCGCTTACGACCGTGAAGACCGCGACCGCGACAGGGATTACCGCGACCGGGATCGCGATTTCGACCGCGATAGGCCTTACTCCCGCAACAGGGACCGCGACTATGACCGTCCGCGTAGCCCTGCCGTTCGTGACTCTCCTGCACCACCACCACCGCCGCCTGCGCCCACAACTTCCTCTCGTGCTCCTCCCTCCGCGCCGTCGGAGCCCAAGAAGCCCATGACTGCTGAAGAACGCCGGGCCCTTGCTCAACAGAGGATCCGTGAACGCCAGGCCGCCCTTGGCATAATCGACCATTCGCCGTCTCCCACTATAGACACCTCAGTGGGAGACCGTCTCGCTCAGGAGAGGAAGGAAGCCGAGGAGAAGGCCAAGGCTGCAGAGCTCGAAGCTGAGAAACGGGAACAACTTCGCAAGGAGCGTCTGGAGGGCGAAAAAGCGCTGAAGGAAGGCAAGTCACCCACTTCATCCGCCGTTCCTGCAATCCCACCTGCTGTTTCCTCGCAAGTGCCGACTCCTAAGCCGACTCCCCCACCTGCTCCGAAACCTAAGGCCCCTGCTCCGCCCCCACCACGCAGCAAGGGACCTCCGCCGCGGCCCCCTCCTTCTCGTGTTACAGCGGCCCCAGTGGCTCCGGCGGCACCCCCAGCACCTCCGGCAGCACCTCCCGCTCCTGCGCTTGCGCCTGCCGCTGCCCAGCTTGATCCTGAGGATGAAGCTCTTCGCGCTAGAGAAGAGGCCGTTCGCAAGCAGCGCGAACGACTTGCACGTCTTCGTCAGCTTGAGCAGGAGGAAGATGAGGCACGGCAGGCAGAGGAGCAATACCAGGCTCGTCAACGTACGCTCAAGGAGCAGAGAGAAGCCGCGACCAAGGTGGCGGCGGCACCTCCCCCACCTCCTCCTGCTCCAGTTGCTGCTCCCGAGCCCGTCACCCCGGCCGTTCCACCACCTCCTGCACCCCCAGCACCCCCAGCACCCCCAGCGCCACCTGCTGCCAACCCACCCGCCCCCGGCTCGTCATCTCACAATCCTTTCAGCCGCATGATGGGACAAGGAACGAGTGCAGTGTCTTCCCCTGCTGCTGTCACGGCTAGCAGCACGAACCCGTTCTTCAAGTCACAGACTGCTGCCCCCGATGCTCCCGCGCCTCCCCCTGCGCCCCCGGCCCCCGTACGCACGCCGTCTATCCCCGCGCCACCCAAGAGCCCCGCACCTCCCGCCGTCAGGACTGGTTATCACACTGCCCCCGCGGACGACGATGACGACTGGGATGAGATCAAGGAGCATGAGAGCGACGACAGCAGCGACGACGAGCTTGATTCGTCGAGGGATACGCGCAACAAGCTCGCCCAGCAACTGTTTGGCAACATCATGCCGCCCTCTCGCCCTCAGTCGGCTGCGGCCTCTGGTCCTGCTGAGCCGGCGAGCCCCGCCCCTCCTCCACCGCCCCTCCTCCTCCATCGGCGCCGCCCATGACCATGAATATCCCCGCGGCAGCTAACGGAGCGCCTCCTCCCCCGCCCCCTCCCCCTGGAGGTGCAGGCGGTGCGGTCGCTGCCCCCGCCCCCAGCGGCGGCCGCAATGCGCTCCTCGGTGCCATTCAGGCGGGAGCCAAGCTCCGCAAGGCGAAGACGAACGATCGCAGTGCCGCTGCATTGTCCGGTTCAGTCCTAGGGGATGCCGCACCCCCCGACCACATCCTCAATGCGGCTCGCGCGCCCTCCCCACCTGCGCCTGAGCCTGAGCCCACGCCGACGCCGGTTATGTTGTTTGCCGAGCCCCCGGCGCCTGTGGAGTTACCCCCGATGGACACGCCGAGGAATTCGAACCGTGAGTCCGTTGACTGGTATGCCGGGCTGGCTGCTGAGGGCTCGGCGGTGCAACGCCTCGCGACGGAAATTCCGGACACAGTTCAAGAGGAAGAAGAAGAGCCTGCACCCGCACCCGTCCCTCAAATCCAGGTCGATGGCGGCGATGACAGCGCAATGGCTGATGTGGATATGAGTACTGGTGAGTAGATGACGCCTTCATTCTGCTGAACTGTTCGCTAATGCATCACGCAGAGTACCGCGTGCGCTCACTCTACACGTACGAGGCCCAGCGTGCTGAAGAATTGTGTAAGCAGTCGTGCCTGCTTTTTTGACGAGCTCGAGTCATTGACCAACCACTTAGCCTTCGCCGAGAACCTGATCATCACTGCGCACCCCTCCAAGACTGGTAGCGACTGGTTGTACGGCACAATCGTTCGTGACGGCAAGACCGGGTTCTTCCCTAAAACCTACGTGGAGCAGATCACTCCTGGTACCCATCCAGTCCGATCCGCCTTCAATTTCTTATGAGCTAACACGTATGTAGCCATCGCCCACGCGATGTACGACTACAACGGCGCGAACGCGGACGAGCTCCCGTTCTCGGAAGGCGATCAACTCACGATCGTGGAAAAGACGGATGCGGATTGGTGGAAAGCCGAACGGGGTGGAATGGTGTTCATCGTGCCCGCGGCGTACCTGACACTTGCAGATGGTTAGTGTGCTCAGTCCTGCATCCCCAGCCCACTTGTTCACGTTGCCCGCAGGCTGAGAACTCTTCTTTTTCTTTACATGTAACTCTCGACTGAATCTCGGACAATAACAAACTACGCGGTCGCACACACACGAATAGTTGGCATGACCCCGCTTACAGCACCAAACCCGCTTCCCACCGCCGTGGGCGCAACCAGTCCCGGCGCGGAAGTGCCCGCGCCCACGCGGCTCGACCTGCACATCGATGTTCCAAACGTGGACGAGATCCCGAGCGACGATGAGCCGGATTCGGAAGCAGAGTCGAGTGAGTATGAGACCGCAAGCGACTCCGAGTCGGATTCGGACGAGGAAGAGCCCGATGAGGACGCGCGCGGAGAGGAGCGCGCCGCGCGTGAGGCAGAGCGTCAGCGTGTCCTCGAAGCTGCCGGCCTCATCGTGAAGCAGGACGCCTCAGCGCAACCGCCGCCGCGCCCGGTGCGGCGCAAAAACAGCCGGCGCGCAGCCCCCGCGGTACCCGACCGCGCGCGCGCGGTGTCGCCGCTGAAGGAGCTCCCGCCGCTCCCGCTCGACGACGCGTACGAGCGGTACGAGGCGTTCCGGCAGAGCCACCTCGCGGTCGCGGCCTCCAACAGGCTCTCGGTCGCGTCCATCGACAGCGTGGGGACGTCGAGCCCGACGGCGTCGACGTTCTCAAGCGCGGCGCCGACGAGCGCGAGCGTGGGCACAGAGGGCGGCGCCGAGGGGCGGCACGGCGGGGGCAGCGGCTTCCTCAGCTTCTTCGGGCGGTCGAAGACGCCGGCGAACGACGGTGAGGCCGCGACGCCGACGCGGCCTGTGATCTCCGCGCCGATCCTCCAGCGCGAGCCGTCGCCGGGACCAGAGGCGGAGTTTGGGACGGTGAGTGCTCGTGTGGGCGTCCGGGTGTGGGAGGGGACGCTGATGGAGAGCACACCGGACAGTCGTGGGCGAGCCTGGTGGACAAGTCCGCGCTCACGGGGATCCCCGCGGGCGAGCGCAAGCGACAGGAGGCGATCTTCGAGCTCATCGTCACCGAGGGCGCGTACGTGCGCGACCTGCAGCTCGTCGTCGAGGTGCGTCTGGATGGCCTGGGGCAAGGGTGGCTGACCGAGGATGCGCGTGCAGCACTTTTACGCGAACGTGTACTCCATCCTCGACCAGAAGGCGCGGACGGTCATCTTTGCGAACGTGGAGGACATTCTGCTCATGAACACGGTGCGTCGACTGCAATACGATATGCGTATACGCTCAGGGGACATTTGCAGACGTTCTTGAGCTCGCTGGAGGAGAGGCAGAAAGACTGCCGGCTGTACATCGACAAGATCGGGGACATCGTGCTGTCGAACATGGAGAACCTCTCTGTGTACATGGTAAGGCGGATCTTGGACGTTCGTTTCGTGTCGCTCAGTCATGCTCTTTAGGACTACTGTGTGAACCAGGCCACGGCCATCAAGGTGCTCCAGAGCCTCCGTCAATCAAACCCCGAGCTCTCATCGACTCTTCAGGTAAGACACTCGGTTTTGCTCTGAGGACTTGTGTCTGATACGCCTACAGCGGCTCCGCGACGACCCGGCCGCACGGAACCTCGACCTTTCAAGCTATCTTCTCGTGCCCAGTACGTCGTTCGTCGTTGACGTATTTCCTTGTGCCCATGGTTTATTCCCCGCAGTGCAACGGATCACGCGGTACCCGTTGCTGTACAAGCAAATCATCCAGTACACTGACCCAGGCGAGGACCGGACGGGCATCGAGCGTGCGCAGGCGATGGCCGAACGCGTGCTCAGTCACATCAACGAGACGATCCGCGAGCAGGAGGGCCGAGAGCGGCTCAAGGAGATCTCGAAGGACCTCTGGGTCGGCCAGGGGTGCGTCTCCTCCCCACATGACGGCTTTGGCGCTGACACCAAAACGCAGGCGGCTCGACCTCACCGCGCCGACGCGGTACATGGGCACGCGCAAGCTGCTGAAGGAGGGCGTGCTGACGAAGGCGAAGAGCGGGCGCAAGCTCCGCGCGTTCCTGTGCAACGACATCCTCGTGCTCACCGAGGCGACGACGATGTCGCTCTACCGCATGGTGCGCTCGGGGTCTCTCGTGTCATGTTGCGATGCCGTCGCTGACGCACCCGCCGCAGCCGCTGTCGCTCGGGGAAGTGGAAGTACGCGAGTCGACAACTTCGAAAGGTGTGCTATTTCGCCGTTCGTCTTCAAACGGTTCGGCTCACTCCCCGGACAGACGACGCAGCGTTCCGGCTCGCGATGGCCTACCCGCGCGGAGGCGACACCATCGTACTTCGGGCGACGTCTGTGCGCGATGCGCAGGCGTGGATGCAGGCCATCTACACCGCATGCAAGCACTATAGAGACGCGCTGAGAAGAACGACGCGGCGATCGCGAGGTTGAAAGGGATGCATTTCAGACTAGTGGTATGTGTTCGGGATATAGGACACACGTGAACGTTTAACCATAGCAGTATTAATGGGGGCATAATTGTATATTCTATTCGTGCGGCTTGCATACAGGAAGGGGGAACGCAGCGACGACAGCTAACGAGAACAAGACGAACCTTGGAATGGAAGTGAAAAACAAGACCCAAGGGGATCTAGAGGGTACGGCAAGTTAGTTGATAATCGACACTCAAGGCATCACGCAGAAAGATTCAGAGAACCGCGTCTCGACAGTTGCCCTTCCAAAGGAAGAGGCTCTCAGACGGCACTTCCTAATTGCATTCGGTTTGGGGATCATCCGAAGGAGGCAGCCCGTGTCGGCGCAACGATCAGAGAGAGGAACTCACCCAGTGCACCCCACGAAGTTTTCACAATGGCCGGTCGAGAGCGCGTGCCATGAACGTTGCTTAGAGAATGATCTGAATGTGCGAGACTAGTCAGTAAACATTCTGAGAGTCGGATTCGCAAAGGAGTATCAGAGGTGCAATTGTTTGGCTATATGCTCTGCCTTCTCGTCACAGCCAAGGGCTACGACTGGGGCGGCAGCGATCTCATCATTTACAAAATTGACTGTGAGCTCACCTGTTGAAGTGCACCACGAAGAAAGTGGGGGGAGTGTGGAGGATGTCGTGGTGGAGAAGAAAGAGATGAGGCGGTCCGAGGAGGCGCTCGTCAGAAATTTGTTTGCGAGTACGTGCAACACGTGATGTGGGCGCCTCGTCTCTTGAAAATCCCGCCTCCCGACTCACGCAAAACGGCCATCACATACATCGCAACAGGGTGCGTCTGCCCTGAGATATTCATTCGATGCTTTCGCTGAGAGAAAACTTTAGCTTGATGGCCAAAATGGATCCATTTCGCGCCTTCGCAGACGTGATACCGGAGTCGGATCGCACTCTTCTCGCAAACCTCAGCTCTGCTACATCCGCACAACAATGGGTTCTCGAACGAGCTGAAGAGCACAGAAGGAAAACGTTCGCCTTGTACACCCTCCATAACACTCTGGCTCCCATACACCGCACTCTCCCTACCGAAATGCTCGCCGAGATATTATCCCATTGCGGAGGAAGCTCGCGATGTAGTATGCAAATCATGCTTGTCTGCAGACACTGGCGCACTCTTCTGCTCAAGACCCCGCGATTCTGGGCCAACGCTGCTGCTGACAAGTCGTTCCTCGATTTCTGTACGTGGCCCCATCTATCCCGCATGAAACAAGAACGCAGGCTCGCCTACGTGCAAAGCACCCTCCAGCGGACCGCACAAGAGCCTCTTTGCCTCACCTATAATGCTCTTCCAGTCGAAATCGCCGGCACCCTCAAAACATGGTCTGAGAGACTCGTATACCTCGACGTCGCTGTGACCCAAGCGAGTGAGCTCATCGCGCTTTGCGAAGCATTCACCTCCGGCTTCTCTCGTCTGGAGACATTCGGAGTCAACACCGAACGCATGTACTGGCCCTCCACATCTTTTCGAACTTGGTGTGACCTCCCATCCGGGAGGACGCCAGTCGCCCCCCGCCTCCACACCTTGCTCCACGTCAACCTCGGCCTCTTCTCGTACTTCGCGCTTCCCACGTTGCGCACAGCTCACATCATCGGACCAATATTCGACGGCGATCCAACTCTCGAACTCGTCACCGCTTTGGGAAGATGTCCAGGCTTGGTTCGCCTCAAGCTCTTTGTGCGGTACTGCCAGGACTTCATTCGCGAAGAGAATCCAGTGACAACGGTGGACCTCCCCTCCCTCAGGTCGCTCAAAATCGTTGCCATCCTTCCCCTTGTTGCCGAACTCCTCGGACCGATCTCGGTCCCACCCACAGCATTTGTCCAGATCCAGATGTCTGACTCAAACCAGCGGGAACTCGAGCTCTCGGACGCGTTCGACTCGCGGAGCACCGGCATCGTGTCCCTCCTGCAAACCATTGACGTCGTAAGCCTCCAGGACTGGGTCCCACAGTCATATAGCGGCATGTATCCAGGCATGCTCTTCACAGGTTGGACGGGCAAGACGCGGCGTGTAGAGTTCAAGGTCGCGGCGACACATCATCTGCGCGGACCACGGTCGACTGCTACCCTGAGAGCGCTTTTCCGCGGACATGCCGCAGTCACCCGCCTCTCTGTCCAGATGTCTTTTGCGGACGGTCGAGATCACGAATACCACGGCAGCCTTGACCCGATGCCACCGGACGTTCCCATGGAAGAGGACGACGACTTGGAGAACGACCGCCACGACTCCGACATGGACTACGACTCGGAGGAGGATGAAGACGCCTCTGAAGAGAGGTTGAAGTCTCGGGCTCCGTGCGGCGTAGACACGGGAAGCTTGCTCCGCGCCTTCCCGCAGCTCGTGGACCTCGAGATCGCCGGTCCCTGCGTTGACGCTCTTCTGGACACCTTGACGTCGCCGGACGACGTCGCCGCCGGGCTGGGCACGGCGGTAATCTGCCCCCACTTGCGGGTCCTGCGGGTCCTGTTCCCAGTAGACGTCGCGGAGGTGGGGGTTTTAGCGCCGGATTTCCCCACAGAAGCGGACAGAGTCGGGTTGCTGGAGGCGATGGAGAAGCACTGCGCGCAGCTCAAGAGGGTTCTCATGCATCGCTTGGCACGAGGAACGCAACTCGTCCGTCTGGAGTGGGCGGAGATACCGTGGGCGAACTACGGATTTGGGCGGGTCTCGGGGGCTACCGCAGTTCACATTCCCAACACCTCCAGTCGCTATTTGACCCAGCTGGAGGCGTTGGTAGACGGACCGGTTGTGTTCTCAGGCTTCTACTACGAGCCCGATGCAGCGCCCCCCAGCCCATTTGTGTTGCCGACGTTCTGCCCCCGTCTCGTGAGCACGATCTCACCTGTTAGTAGAATTACCGCATGTTCTAGTACGCCTACTATAGAGCGTCAAACGAGGAAGACAAAAAAATCCGATGTAGCCCTGCCATGGACTTCAACGGCCGCCGCACCGTAGATTGCACATATGGGAAATCCCTGATCCAAGGGATTCCGATGACATGCGCAAGGAACTGGCCAACTTCTCAACAAAGCGTCTCCACGTGTCAGTCGGAGTCGTCCGCGAAGGAGGCACATTTTTCTAGTAGGTTTTCTCGAAGAATATTTGCATCCTCGTTTTCAGGAATCTCGTGCGCATTGCTTTTGGGCATTAGGCAAGCGTTGAATATCGCGGAGGAGACATTAGGAATCAAATAACTTTATGCCGGGCCGGGGTCGTGGGAAAACAGCGATGAGTCGATATCGTGAAGCTTGCGGCGAGCTTGTTGTCGAGTGTCCGCCGATACTACATACGCCGAGAAAGCACCTAAGATACTTGAAGGCCCGCATCCTCTCCATAACAAACATTGGGTCAAGCGTAGAGACTGGTGAGTTACTCTGGACAGAGTGAGGAATACTGCAAGCGCGTTTTAACATGGTTACCAGATTATCATGACTACCGTCGTCGATACCCTTCCCTTCCCCGCCTTCGCAGAAACCGTCCCCTCCGTCGACCGGGAGTCATTGCGTGGCCTGTCGGATGTCGCCGTCCGCGCACGGGTCGTCGCTCGCGCTGAAGAATATCGATGCATCGCGGCGGCTCTCCTCTCGATCTACAATTCCGTCGCGCCCATCCACCGCACCTTCCCGAACGAAATTCTCTCCGAGGTTCTCTCCCACTGCTGGAAAGACACGCGCAGCATCGGTCTCCTTCATGTCTGTCGTCACTGGCGCGCGGTTGCGCTCAAGACGCCGAAGCTGTGGCAGGCAGCCATCCCAGACCCCGACTCAAGAAACCCTGGGCTCCTCTTCAGCGCGCGCGGCGCATTTGCAGCGTCCGTCCTTCAATGGTCTTCACCCGAACCTATCCGCGTCAAGATCAATCTTCTCATGAAGGCTGCGGTCGATGCGCTTTCTCTGCATGCTGCTCGACTTGTCGATCTGTACGTCCACCTCACCGGCGGCGGGCAGCTGGCCGCTTTGTGCAAGATTCTAGACCAAGGCACACCCAGGCTTGAAGCACTCGGGATCGCGTTCGTTGGACGTGTTGGGAAATACGAGGACTGGACCAATGCAAACATTGACGCAGACACACACCGGACCGTCGTAAAAGACCTCTGCGCATGGAAAGATGAAGGCTGGTACATCACAGGCGCACCGCGCCTTCGCAACCTCCGCTGCATCCCCGTCGACATCTTCCCGCACTTCGCCTGTCCCGCGCTGCGCGAGCTGTGCTTGACCCCTTCACGATCGACCAATGACCACGTCGTAGCGTTGGCTCATGCGCTGAGGCAGTGCCCGAATCTGACCCACCTGACGTGGTGCTTGAATGGCGAACGTACCGACGGCGAGGACGAGGACGAGGACGAGGACGAGGACGAGGAAGACGAAGGTAGCGTGGACATCGTCGACACTTTCTTTCCCGGCTTCTCTCCGTCAGTTTGGCAAGACGCCGGGACGGTCGACCTCCCCGCTCTGCAATCGCTGGTCTTCACCGTCCAAACACATCAAAAGATGGCCATCTATTCCTCCCTTTTCCCCTCCCACTTCCCCCACACACTCAGGTCGTAGTGGATGATTCCCCCCGCTGGGGGGTGTCCAACTCGGTACACCTCGCGGAGTGGATGAAAACCGTCGACGCTGTGCACATCTACGACTCGTACCAGGAAGAGGCGATGCGCCCGCTCACCGAGATCGTCACGCTCGCGAAGGGCGTGCCGCAGGTTCGTTTCACGCTGCGATCTTCATCCAACGTACGCGCAAATATAAATGCCCCCGAGGTCATATTCATGTTCCGCCATGCCAATGGCACCGTGATCACCCACCTCGTCCTCCGGCAGACATGGCCAATCATAGACTGGGATGACGACAAATTCGTTCTCCACGCGTTCCCGCACCTCGTCTCTCTCGACGTCGCCGGCCCATCCGCCGCATCGACCCTGGAAGCACTTCGATCAGAGGACGGCCGACGGTCTTTTGAGCTCACATGTCCTCGCCTAGAGACTCTCGTCGTGACCTTTCCTCTGCCGCTGCAAGTGCGGGGAGATGTGGGGAAGATGATGACTACCGGTCCGGCGGAGTGGGAAGAGAAGCTTGCGGGAAGCCTGACGTCGTGGAGCTCAGACCTCGAGAAGATGCTCAGTCAACGAGCGGCGGCAAAGTATCGTCTGAAGTATCTCGAGTGGAAGGGATGGGAGTGGGATATGAACCTTAGACTCGATTTCCTTCCGTCAGCGGTTGTCTTCACGGACTTCCCGAACCCGGCGCTGTACAATCAGGCGGGGTTGGAGCAGTGGGTCGACGGCGAGGTCGTCTTTGGCGGATTACATACCAGGCTCCGTCGGAATAGATTGCGTTTGGGTGGCTCAGCGGATGTGAAACAGGGTTTTTTGTGAAAACTATTGCATCAATTGTGGTCACCGTGGCGGAATGTATGACTGCATGCAAGGGACAGCCATCTTCCGAGGCGCGCGACGCGAGGTCTAAAGTGAAAGAAAGGAAAGTATATTCTTCGTGTATTGACGGAACGACGAGAAAACACCTAATGAGCATCATGCCGCTGTACAAACAATACTAAGCCATGGTTCCGTCGGTGCATTTCCAAGTGACGTCTATCCGCTGCACATCCACCTCCGTCAGTGAGAGAACACGAACGTCGTGCGTGATACACGCACCTGCCGACGTGTTCCGCTTTTGCGGGCCCTTCTCCCTCGCCTTCCACCTGGTCCCGGTCCTGCAGCCGCTGGATGTGACCTCCACGTCGACGTTCGGCTTTCAAGTTGGCGGCTCCGCACGATTGGCGGAGGACATCCGACATGCTTCTCAGCGCGTTTGGAGACTCCGGGTCTGAAATGGACGGGCGATGAAGCTTGAAGCTGAAGGGCAGGGGGCTTTCTATGGAACTTGAGACGCGGGTTTGAATATAGTGGATGGGCGGACTACCAGGAACAGTGCTTGTTTGGGGGAGGCCGAGCCTTTCTCAGGCGCGACTCGTGCGCGCGCAACCTAGGTCCATCTTCAGCCCGTTGAAAGAGTACAAGTCGAGAAACGCCTCTTGGTCAAGCGCGCGAGTTTGTCCAGGACACTGCCAAGGGGCCCGAGAGCCGGAGCCCACGCACTGGGAGAAACAACGCACACTTGGACGTCGGGGAATGCACAAAGACGAGAAAGAGGGTGCGAACGTACCTTCCATGATCTAACCGGCCTCGTTCGGCAGAGCAGCAGTTGCCATAAGAGTCTTGAAATATTTCCGTAAGGACAAGTGCGAGGCGACCGTCACGCCTTCGGCGCGCATCCGTACGCGATGCCAAATCTTGTGTATACTTTGAAGCCCGCGGGATCTTATGTACGTAGCTGCCAAGAGTCGCTAGAACTAGAGAAGCGGGTCCGAACAGAGAAGGGACGTTATGGACGAGGATGATGCCAGGGAGTGCTTGAGGAGAAGGGAGCTGGGAGCGCAACTGCGAGACAAACGGGTCGGCGCTTGTATCAGTTTACGCCTTGCCTCTTCCCTCAACCATTGCACCCTCCCAAGCGTTTACGTCTGGTTTGTCTCGACGGGCTCGATCGACTCAACGGCAACTCCGAATAAAATTACTGGCTACACGAGTCGATCGGCGCGGCATCCCCGCCTTCTGACGCTGCGCACATCCCTCTTTTGGACCAAGTTGTCCGACCAACCCTGTTCTCGATCACCGCACTGCGCCAATGCCTGGACCTGCTTCAGCTCAAGCGGCCCGATTTTGAGATGTCTTTCGCAGGTGATCGTTGATCTCCTAACCTCGAACCTCAGTCGATCACTGCCCTCTCCGCCCTTTCCCATGCGCGCGTCACTGTCATGTTTTCGGTCCAAACTCCAGACGTCCTTCTCTGACGGCCGCAGCCGCGAAAAATACCGCAGCACCCAAGCACAAGCCACGGCCAAAACAAAGGAAGACGGGTTGGACATCCACGCCCACGACTCTGATTCCGATCCTACGAAACTCTTTCTCCGGCGGCGTGGACACAGGAGGGCCTGGTTGTTTCGGGTCTGAATCCGCGGAGGCGCGGCCCACGACGCGGTCCGTTGGGCAGGCGGACAGAATGAGGCTGCGGGGCGTGATTAAGTCGCATCGAGGGTGCTCACGCATCTCTCGGCTCACGGATCTGTCTAATAAACCGTGGAGGCACAGATACTCGGCCTGGCTAGTCTCGGCGGTGTGCAGGCGGGCCCATTCCATCCAGGGATTCCTTACCACAGCTGGAGAGGCCATAAGTAGAAGGTAAGTAGCCCACTGTACTACAAACGACGTTCAGAATCAGCATAGTGGGCAGTGGTGTCTACAATGCACCGGGCGATAGATATTACAGGACTACATCAGAATCCGGTACGCTGTGGGAAACTGAGACCACAACTGGGTCGTATGGGCCAAGGGAAATCATATGTAGACTCATACCACATTGCACAAGCCCCACAGTCTCGGCCGATATTGCTAAGTACGGACCAGATGCATTGAACCTATGAAAAGCCGACGTTGGAGTGACAGTAACATGGCTATGCGCCAAGGTATGCATTCGTGGTGTAGCGGTAACATTGGGTCTTCCCATGGCCTAGCTCCGGGTTCGACTCCCGGCGGATGCACGATCGTGACTTATGAAAGTCTTTTTTTCTCATTTTCCCCTGGGGGACCTGGGTGTTCCCGTATCAGGCATACGGCAGTATCAGAAACGCTGTAGTATCTGGTCACGTATGTTGATGTCCGGAAAATCCCTTTGCAAGAATCGCCTCATTGACTTCTGTCCTGGTTGAAAGACCCCAGGTTGCTGGACATTCATATCCGATTGGAGGCAGACGTACAAATGTGGGCTCTTGCGCGACACATCTATGTCGTACCACGTAGCATATAACTAGTCCCATGGTTTCATCCAGGCAGTCTGACTCACTCTCTGCAGGCTCTCCACAAATGTGAGCATGCACATCTCGCCGCGATCGCTCGTCCTGAGTCCTATTATTCCCCGAGCAATGCCTCCTTGATCGTCGCGAGTCGCGCGCGTTTCTCCTTTCCGTTCTTCCCGAATGCTTGTGTCAGAACCAGACGCGCCTCGGCCTCGACGGCCGTCGACAGTGCCGGCCAGGGTGTCGCCCGTGCGGTAGATCTTTGAGGCCATGGCCTGTCCGGACCTCCAGGAGCTCGTAGCCAATCTTATGGACGTCGGTGACCAAGACGGTGTTCGACGGCTGATTGGCATTGAAGGGCCACATGATCCTGGGATACTAGTATGAGATGCGCATCCGAACGAGCATGATGGGGGGACGTACATTGGCACCGTTGGCCGCTGCAGTCGCCTTGGACGCGGTGGGGAGCAGCGGTCCGGCGATGTAAACTGGACGACCCGTTTTACCGGAGGCATTCGTCTGCTCGTTTGAGGGCCAATTCCTGTGCAAAATCTGCAGGTAGAGCGACATGGTTTGTGCGATCGGAGGCAGAGACGGTGTCCGCGAAGGCGGGAAATGGCTGCATGTCCGTTGTCATGGCTAGATACGAGAGGTGATCAGGAAATGCAACCAGTACAGTTGTTCTGTGCATCGTACCTCGTCGTGCAAGCAGCAGTCCTAGAGGTAGAATGAATGCGCGACTGCACATGCTACTAATAGAACCACGTTTTGATATTATACCTCGATCGCCCAGACCAAGTTCTGGCATTCTGCGTATAAGACTCCTAGTTAACCCTCTGGATCCAGTGGCACGTCACAGAGCATGCCCAAACACACGACCGGACCATCCACCAGTTCGCTCAGCCGCGACGAACCAATTTCCGACATATCAGGCATACATACCGCGTTCCCCCAAGCCGCCTGCAGCACGGTCGTCCCCGTCCTCATCCCCTCCTCGTCCCACACCCCCTCGCCCCACTCCAGCTGCTCGAGCCGCGCCGCGCCGTGCGCATCCCGCGCCTCGAGCGTCCGCGCGAGGAGCGTGATCCACCTGCGCGCCGCCGCGCGCACCGCGCGCACCTGCCGCACCCCGAGCGCCGTCACCGCGACGGGCCCCGCCCCACTCCGACTCCGGCCCCGACTCCGACTCCTACTCCTACTCGGGCGCCGCGCGGACGACGGGGGGAAGGCGACCCGGAGCGCGCGCAGGCGGGGACACACGACCGGCGACGCGGGGTCGGTGCCGGGGTCGGTGTCGGGGCAGGTGAGGCCGTCGAGCACGGCCTCGGCGCACGGGCCCGCGACGTCGAGCGCGACGAGGTTGGGGAACGCGCGGAGGAGGTCGCCGGTGTCCGCGCCGCGCGTGCCGTCGTCGTCGCCGTCGTCGCAGCCCCAGTCCCATTCACAGTCCGCGCCCGTGGGGTGATTTTGGACGGTCCCGTGGCCGTGGTGCGAGTCGTCGTCGCTGCCCTCGCCCTCGCCCTCGCCCTCGCCCTCGCCCTCGCCCTCGTCGGCCGGGGGATCGAAGGCGGGGTAGCGCGTCGTCCGGCTGTGGGCGAAGGGCATGTGCACGGAGAGGTGGGTGATGGCCCCGGCTTGCATGCGGGCGGCGGCGCTCAGCGCGCGGGACGCGGGAGCGAGCCAGTGGACCCGCGGCCACCATTTGAGCTCGAAGCGCTCGGTGTCGTTCGTGCGGCCGACGACGGACATGCCCGGCGACGACCCGGCCTCCCGCCAGTCGCGCAGACGCACGGCGGCGAGAGAGCCGATGAGCGAGTCGGAGGTGCCGCCGCCGCTGTGGTTGGTGAGCACGAAAGGGTCGAACTCCGTGTGTTGCACCGACCGCGCGACCGAGAGCTGGGCTGATGCGCTGGGAGGGAACGAGAGGGTGTGGAGGTGTGGAGCATTAAACGCGGCTGCTCGTTGCGGGTCGGCACATCGAGCTCTGAACGACTCAGCGTACTCCGACGACCAGTCCCCGTTGAAGATATCATCGACGAAATACAATCCCAGAGCTTCCAGATGGGGATACCCTGGGGACCGCATGGTATCGCGCAAGAGGCCAAGCTGTGACGGGTGCCGCAAGCTCACTTCGAGTTGGACGAGATGCGTGGCTGGAAGCGCCGAAACGACGGTGCTATCCAGTCCTTTGGTTATGATACGCAGCGGCCTTGACGTCGCTCGTTCGAGGGGCGCCACCTTCTGAGTGGTCATCGACGTGTCGACGTCGATAAGAGACTCGTCGCCCGCAGCGTCTGCCCAAAAGCCCGAAGTCTGGAGTATCACAGAGCGCCAATGCCGGCAGACGAGCATCAGCCCGAGGCTGCGTCGACCTTGCCAGCAATGAGAAAGCACTTCGGAGAGCATTTCGGGAGGAAGGGCGAGATGGATGGGTGCGAGGCTGTTGTGGAAAGAACGAAGGGCGGAGATGACCTTGTGGTATTCGTCCGCCCGAGCGATCGCCCATTCTTGTGCCGCGACGGCAGGGAGACTGAGGAGATGTGTGAGGTCCGCGGCGGGTATTGCATCCACGAAGGTGGGGGGAGGACGCATATCTGCTGTCATGATTTGAGCTAACCGGGGCAAAAGCGTGGCATGAGTATGGCATGAATATACACAGGCATGGCCCGTACCTAGTTCACCTCCATAAGCCGTGGGAGGGGAAAATGGCCTCTGTGTGGTTCTTATGTATACGGGCCCATGCCTCAAGGCCTCATGGCTGTTCCCACATATACGAATTGGAATACGAGACGAATTTCAACAAACTCAATAGCATCGGATCGATCAAGATAAAGAACTAACACTACATCAGCAAGTAGACGTACAACAGCGTGAGTTACGGAGAACGTGGAGCGGCAGCCAGAACTAGGCGCCTATGGGAAGCAGGAAGGACATCCTCGACGAGCGGGGGTACCATGCCTATACCAGAAGGATGTGGTGAAGACGTGCGGACAGAAATAGGATGGGAATAGCGGACCAGAGCCATGGCAGGTAGCATGTAGACAGGCGAGTTCACCTCGAGTTCAGCATCTCCTCATCTGACGACGACGAGGCCCCGGCGCGCGACCGCGACGGTCCGCGCGAGTGCGGGTGCGAGCGGTACCCCTGCTCGTCCGTGTTGCGCCCGCGGGCCTCCTCCCCGCGGATCTCGCTCTCCGTCATCGGGTAGCTAGCGCAGTACGCACCTGGGCTCGAACGTGCATGGGAGCACGTACGCCGTTGTGGGCCCTCGACGACGACGCCGGGGACGCCGTGCGCGGATGTGGTAGGAGGACTCGGAGAGGATGTGCTCTGTACCGCACCCCGCCACCGCATACACGAGCTGGCGGGGTGCGGTGCAGATCGCGGCTTGGGACGACGCCAGAGTGGGAGGAGGAGCTTGGGAGGAGCCAAGACGCACTGCACTGCGCACCAAGTCGCAACAGCGCGCCGGCACGGGGCGGCCCGTTTCTCCGAAGGCTGCGCAGAGCCTCACGCGTCAGAGGTTTGTCATGTCGGGCGCACTTGCAAGTCTCCAACCTCTCCAGCAGGTTGCACTCGCTCCGAGTCGCCGCACCCTTCCGCTCCTTTACGCTTCCTCGCCTTCACTACTCGCATGCTCTTCTGCTGAGATTCCGCTCACATCTCCAACCCCTCCCCACCGGACCTACTGCGCCGCAACCCACCATACCGATGTACTCGAAAACGTCCCACTCCGCCGAGTCGTCCGAGTCCTCAGGAAAGAACATGCTCGTTCTCATCCCGGACAGCATCGACGTCGAAGAGGAGGCCAGGTTCTACGACGACATCGTCGATGTGCGTCCAACTGCGCTTCTTCACCTCGTTCCGGGCCCCCTCCTTATTCCCCTAAACACAGAGCGCATCGACGACCGGCCAAGACATCTACCCGTACGGCCAACACTCGCCCACGCACTCGTCCCCGGAGTCCCCGACGTTCGGCGCGCACGAGACCCAGAGCGTGTTCTCGAAGGACATCTGGCTCGGGGACTCGCGCGGGGAGAGCGCCGCGTTCGCGCGCGACGTCGAGGTCCCCGGGTGGACGAGCGTGGGCGACCGGCGCGGCGGCGCGTACGTCGTGTACGACTGCGTGATCAAGACGAAGGAGGTGCGTGCGCCGGTGCGTTCGTGGGCGGTGCGCGCGCGCTGACGGCCTCGACCCTCGATTGCGCTCGTACGTTTGTGTGTCTGTGTGTGTCTGCGCGCGCGCGAGCAGGGCACGGTGATCCATGCGCTCAAGCGGTATAGCGCGTTCGCCCAACTCGCCGCGAGGCTGCGCGCGACGCTCCCGGTGAGTCTCTTGCCTCCCCATGCGTCCCCCACCCCACGCCCTGCCCTGCGAATGATGCAGAACGGGGGATGCTCTCAAACGGACCACGCCCTCGCATCACCTCCACACACCCCCACAGAGCCGGCACCGCTGACACGCCCCCTTGCGCGCCCACAGGCCAGCCAGCAGCTCGCGGTCCCCGCCCTGCCGCCCAAGTTCCCTCTCGCCAAGTTCCGGCCGACGTTCCTCGACCAGCGCCGGCGCCTCCTCCAGCACTGGCTCGCCGCCGTCCTGCTCCACCCCGAAGTTGGGGGGTGCCAGGCCGTGCGGGAGTGGGTCGTCGACCGCTCGTGATGCGTCGAGCGTGTCGGTCGGGGGGATGGGGCCGCGGTGGGGGTGGGCCCGTTGGATATAAGTTATGCCCTCTTTGCGTTGTGTTTTACGTATACGTTAGAGTGCTCCGTTTTGCCGCGTTGCGCACGCGAATAGCTGCGACGCTTGCTTGTTCCCTGGCTTCCTACGAGCGATTTGCGGCCTCTTTCAAGAGAACGCGTGGTGTATATTGGAGGTGAGGTGAGGTGAGGTGAGGTGAGGTGAGGTGAGGTGAGGTGAGGTGGGCGGCAGAGCAATGATTACTGGCCAGAGGAAGGAGGGAAATAGTGAGCACCATAGCGGAGGATGGTAGTCGTCCGGGCTGAGGAAGGAGCGTGGAGCTGACAAGGAGTGTGTCAGTAGGTCCCGGAGAAGTGATGAGGGCGGTACGCTTAGTAGACCGTGAGTGAGAACATATCATATGTTCGGGGCAGAGAAACCCAGTGGCTTCTTATGAAATGTGTTTCCCGCCGGCGGTCTGCGCGAAACCGGACCCACAACAGTAGAATGTTGTAGGGTCTCAGTCAGGACTCCCCAGAACCACAGGGCTGCTCAATGTGATTTCCCCGCGCGTCGGCCTACCAGAGCGTCGGAGAAGGAATAGCCAGGTGCATTCAGACAAAAAAAGCAGGATCAGAGAGGAATACAAGGTGGATAACACAGCAGTGATCACGGATCAGAGGAAGGAAGGAGAGAGGACGGATACAGTGCCAGTAGTACAGCGGAGGACGAAAGAGCGTGGACTAAACTCGTGAGCAAAGGCGTGGACCAAAGCCAGGGACGTGTGGGAGTAGGTGGCGAATAGCTCGTGCGTGGCATGTCCGAGGAAATCAAGCGATGAGGGATGGAGCAGATGCGCCTAGTAGGCCGTGAGGGAGAGAACATATACGTTCGGGGCGGAGAAGCCGAGACGGCCCTTCGCGTACCCCTCTCGGTGGATGAGCTTGTCGAAAAAGAGGCGTTCGCGGAGCCAGTCTGGGACAGAGAACAGGTCAGAGATGAACCAGTGTCGGAGGGGGTGGGGAGGGGAAACGCGCGAGCAGACGGAGAGTGACACTCACCGACTCGGCGGAACTGTGAGGGCGCGACGGGCGCAGGGGAGTAGTACTGCTGCCATCCCGCGGCGTTCTGCTGGGAGGCGTGTCTCCGGACCTGCTCCTGCAGACGCGGCGGGAGGGACTCGAACTCCTTCTCGGTGACCGTCTTCTCGGTGTAGCTGTACGCATGAACGGTCGATGCGTGCGGACAGAATCAGACGGCGACGGGGACGTACTCCCTGAAGAGCGTGGTGGTGACGTCGCCGAGGGTGACGCCCTGCGAGTTCTTGACGATCGTGCACCACGGACTGTGCTCGGTGATGATGATGAGCTCCTCTACGCGGGGCATCGTCGCAGGCTCGTCCTTGGCGGTGAAGGGGATGTCACGGTCGCGGGACTCGTGGTTGTACCCACCTGTCTGGCCTGCACACGAATGGGTATGAGAGGAGGCGGAGGGGAAAAGAGCGGGAAGGAACGCACCGGTGGACATGTTGAAGATGAGCTGGAAGGTTTCGCTGGAGTTCGAGAGGATGGGGTTCAGCTCGAGCTCGACGCCGAGGAGGTAGAGGTCGGTCTGGCTCAGGATGGGGCCATCTGGGGATGAGAGCTGTAGACTGTGGTGGTGCGCATGAAGCAGTGAAGGACGCACATGAGCTACCAGGGGCCCATTTTCCGATCGTGTCCGCCATAGTCGGAGAGTGGAGTTACGGTTAGATTTGAGGAGGTGAACGTGGATCGGTGGATCGGGGATCGGGGGCGGAGAGAGAGCTTGGGCTGAGGAAGGGGTGACGGTGGTGGTGGTGGTGGTGGTGGTGTACAATGCCCGGTCTTATACTGCAGGTGGGACAAGGACCCGAGCGTGTGGGGTCCGAGGCAGGGCGGGAGGAAGGGGGCGATGGGCGCGCGGTGTCGGAAACGGGCGAAGGGCGAGATGGGCGCTCCGGGGTATCAGATCACACTTTTGGGCGACTTGCCATCCAGTCCACACCCACATGGATCACACGCACAGATGGCCACAGATCTACATGTATTTTCTGGCAATAACAGGCTGGACCAGGTTGAACGCCTCGCGGTGGCACCAAGTAGCGACGCGAGCGAGCCATCGGCTTAGTACCGGACCGTACTCGGGCCGTCAGTTGCGCGCGACACAGCGAGCTCCTTGGGACTGAGCGCGGCCGACGTTCTTCTTCCCGCACCTCCTCCCCCGCTGGTGACACCCGCGCCGTCGTCGCGCGCGGTCTCGGAGCACGGGGAATTTTCTCGCGCAGTCGTTCATCTGAGCGTATCGGACCCGCCATCGCCGCCATCGGTGACAATCATCCTCACCCTGGACCCCAATCGGATTGCACACTCGACGCCGACAGGCCCGTTCTTGTTCTCCTTCGTCTCCTTGCCTCTTTTGACGCCGCAGAAGACCCGTTCTCATCAGCGGAGGGCCTCGTGAAGGCCTCGTGGTGGCCCGGGCGTTTTAGACTCATCGCTCTGGGCGGTGTAGACAGCCGGACCCACCATCGCCCTCTCTGCCAAAAACTGGCATATTCCCCAGCTCCTTGACTTCCACCCTCTCATCACCTCCTTCGCCTCCTGCTCGAAGCCCCACCGTCGTGGATATCAACACCTACGTGGACACCGCGTAGAGAGGACGGATTCCGAGTCACCATCCTTGTTCCGCCGTACATTGCGGCCTCCAAAAAAGGTATGTTGCGCCTCGTTCTCCCTGTCCCCGACGCCCCCTCATCGCCGCGCATACAGCCTCCTCTGCCGGTGTCCTAGCCCCCATACACCTGAGTCATAGATAATCCCCCTGCACGTTGGCCGCCATGCACTTCACGCCCGTCGTTCCCCCGCGCCCTTCCCCCAGTGGCGGAAGCAGCACATCTCTCAACCCGCCACCACCAGTAATCCCCCAACCCGTCTCTCCACAAAACCCGCCGACCCTGTCCCCGTGGGGTCCACAAGGCGGCTACCCAGCCCAGTCCCCGTACGTTGGCGGGTTCCCCATGCAAGGCTCGTACTTCATTCCCCCCGTCAACCTCCCCGCCGGGGGGCAGACCCCCATGATGCCGCCCAACGCCGGCTTTGCCACCGACTTCACTGGCTTCCCCAACGCCGGCGCTGCCGCCGCGCCTTCGCCCTACGCGCGACCCGGAGCGGCACCCGGAACCCCGTACATGGGCGGCGCCCCGCCGGGGACCCATACGGGCTACAGCACCTTCCAGCAGCCCCTCCCGCCCACGGGAATGCCGTACGGGATGGTGAACATGGCCTACACCCCGTTCGCGGCGCCTATGAACCTCGCTGGTGCCATGCCAGGCGGGATGCCTGGCATGATGCAAGGCATGATGCAAGGTGGGATGCCAGGCGGTATGCCCGGTATGATGCAAGGCGGGATGCCTGGTATGATGCCCGGTGGGATGCCTGGTGGAATGCCTGGTGGAATGCCTGGTGGAATGCCTGGCGGGATGCCTATGCCGGGCATGATGCCTGGGTACCCGTTTGGCCCCGCTGCTGGGATGGGAGGGATGGCAGGCGCGGGGATGGCTGGTGGCGCTCCAAGTGCTGTACCCATGCAGCCGAGCGCGTCGGGTGGAGGCTTGCGCCCTCCAAACCCGAAGGAGCGTCAACCATGGGACGAGATCGACAGGTTTATGGAGGGTGATGATTGTGCGTGTTGCTTTTGATCACATTTGCGCTCGAGCTCACCATGGTCTTGCTGGCAGATGGCCCTGTTCTGCGAACTATGCTTGTCGGGAAGACGAATGCTCATGTCCGAATCAACCCCCTCCTATCACCACCCGACGATGGGCTCACCAAAGACTACCTTCGATGGAACATGCTCTTCCCCACCAACAACTGCCAACGCTCCACAGACCGCCCCGGACGCTCGTGGTACGACGGTCGCGAGGCTCCCGCAACCTGGCCCCGGGTAACCCAGATCCGGCTCGTCTCCCGCTCCTTCCCCTGGACGATCGAGATCCCGGCCTCGGACGCGCGCATCGGCGTCACCTGCGGGGACGTCGTCGAGGCCGTCCACGCGCACATGTACGGCCGCCTCGCGCAGCAGCAGTTCGACTCGGCCTCGCGCCAGCAGAAGCGCCTCCTCTCCGAGTCCTTCTACCACAACCGCTCGACCGCGCACGGCGTCCCCGGCGGCAAGATGGCGCAGACGCTCCTCCGCTGCGACTGGCTCGGGCAGGACACCATGTTCGGCGGCGTCGTCGAGGACCCGCAGCTCGTCGCCGACGTCTGCCGCGGCGTCCTCCCCTGCACGTTCGAGATCAAGTGCGTGCGGCGCTACCCGATGACGGAGAGCGAGATCCGCGAGGAGGAGGCCCGCGGGCGCAACGCGGACGAGCAGGGGTACCACTCGCACCCGCACTCGCGCGGGCCGTCGCGGTCGCGCGCCGGCAGCTCGCGCGCTTCCCGGCCGACCTCGCGCCACGGCTCCAGTCGGCCACCGACGCGGCCGCCGAGTAGGGTTTTATCGTCGTCAGATGAGGAGACGCTGAACTCGAGGTGAACTCATCTGTCTGCATGCTACTTGTCATGACTCTGGTCCACTACTCCCATCCTATTGCTGTCCACACGTCTTCACCACATCATTCCGGTATAGGTATACCCCCGCTCGTCGAGGATGTCCTTCCTGCTTTCCATAGGCGCTTCGGCTGGCTACCGTTCCACGTTCTCTCTGTATAAACTCACTCTTGTACGTCTACTTGCTGATGTAGTGTTAGTCTCTTTATCTCGATCGATCCGATGTTATTGGGTCTGTTGAAATTCGCCTTGTTGTTGTTGTTGTTGTTGTTGTTGTTGTTGTTGTTGTTGTTGTTGTTGTTGTATTCCCTTTTAACGCCCTTCAGGGCCAAGCCCTATGGTAGGCGGTACGCTACGTGTGTGCCAAGTGTGTTAACTACAGCCGAGTCTGGGATGATAACATAGAAGCGCCCTCGCGGACGCACCAGGTAGCGGCCAGGGGTCTGGCCAAGGGAGTAAAGTACCGAGGGGACCGGTGAGACCAGGTGGGGGCCGTGAGGTGGGTAAGGTAGCATATTAATATTCGCCTTGTATTTCAATACGTATCTGTGGGAACAACCATGAGGCCTGAGGCCTGAGGCCTTGAGGCATGGGTCCGTACTACATAAGACCCACACAAAGGCCGTTTTCCCCTCCCACCCCTCATGGAGGTGAACTAGGTACGTTTAATCCCTGTCTTGATTCATGTCATACTCATGCTACCCGTGTGCTCCAATTAGCCCCAAATCATGGCAGCGGATATGCGTTCTCCCCCCGCCTTTGTGGATGTGATTCCCGCCGCGGACCGCGCACATCTCCTCAGCCTCCCTGCCGTCGCGGCACAGGAATGGGCGATCGCTCGAGCGGACGAATACCAGAAGGTTATTTCCGCCCTTCGCTCTTTCCACAACAGCCTCGCACCCATCCATCTCGTCCTTCCTCCCGAAATGCTTTCCGAAGTGCTTTCTCATTGCTGGCAAGGTCGACGCAGCCTCGGGCTGATGCTCGTCTGTCGGTATTGGCACTCTGTCATACTCAAGACTTCGGGCTTTTGGGCAGACGCTGCGGGCGACGAGTCTCTTATTGACGTCAATGCGTCGACGACCGATCAGGAGATGGCGACTATCAAAACCGTCCTCAAACGCGCGAGCTCAAGGCCGCTGCATCTCATAATCAAAGGGCTCAACAGAACCGTCGTGTCCGCGCTTCAAGCCACGCAGCTCGTCCAACTCGAAGTGAGCTTCCGGCACCCGTCACAGCTTGACCTCCTGCGCGATACTTTGCAGTCCCCTGGATATCCCCATCTGGAAGCTCTGGGAGTTGTTGTCCCCCTCTACAGGAGGTATTTCACGGATGGTTTCTTCACCGGGGCCTGGTCTCCGGAGTACGCCGAGTCGTTCAGAGCTCGATGCGCCGACCCGCAACGAGCAGCCGCGTTTAACACCCCACGCCTCCATACCCTCCATGTTCCCATCAGCATCTTCCAGGGGTTTACCTTCCCCGCGTTGCGCACCGCACACCTTACTAGCCCCGTATTTCCGTCCCACCACACTCGGGATCTCATCGCGGGGCTTCGCAAATGCCCGGATCTGGTCAACCTCTCGCTCTTGATGAACCAGCCCATGAAGCCCCTCGAAGACACCGCACGCGAGGAACCGGTCCACCTTCCATCGCTGCAATCACTCGCCATCTCGGACGAGTTCCGCAACATCGTCGCGCGACTCGACTTGCTCTCGTTCCCTGCCAGCGCATCCGTCCGGCTCTCGGTCGCGCGGTCGGTGCAGGACACGGAGTTCGACCCTTCCGCGCTCACCACCCCCGGCGGCGGCACCGTCGCCCCCCTCCTCAGCTCCCTTGACACCGTGCATCTGAGCGACTGGCGGGAGGCCGGGTCGTCTTCGGGCATGACCGTCGTCGGCTGCACGGGCGACACCGAGCGCTTCGAGCTCAAATGGCAGCCGCGGGTCCACTGGCTCGAGCCCAAGTCCTGTGCGCTGAGCGCCGCTGTCCGCGCGCACGCCGGGGCCGTCACGCACCTCTCCGTGCACATGTCCTTCGCGCGCAGCCAGACGACTCACTATCCCGGCGCCGACTCTCCCCAGTCGGACGACGGCGAGGGCGAGGGAGAGGGCAGCGACGACAGCTCGCACTACGGCCGCGCCGGGACCGTTCAAAATCACCCCACGGGCGCGGACCGGGGATGGGACTGGGGCTGCGACGACGGGCGCGTGGCGGACACCGGCGGCCTCCTCCGCGCGTTCCCCCGTCTCGTCGCGCTCGACGTCGCGGGCCCGTGCGCCGAGGCCGTGCTCGACGGCCTCGCGTGCCCCGACGAGCACTACCCCCACCTCGACCCCGACCCCGCGGCGCCGGTCGTGTGCGGCCGCCTGCGCACGCTCCGGGTCGCCTTCCCCCCATCGTCCGTGTGGCGCCCGAGTGGGAGTGGGAGTGGGAGTGAGACGGGGAGCGGGACGGGGCCGGCGGCGGTGGCGGCGCTCGGAATGCGGCAGGTGCGCGCGGTGCGCGCGGCGGCGGGCGGGCGGATCGCGCTGCTCGCGCGGACGCTCGCGGCGCGGGAGGCGCACGGCGCGGTGCGGCTCGAGCGGTTGGAGTGGGGCGAGGGGGTGTGGGACGAGGGGATGAGGACGACATCGACGGGGTCGCGGGCGGCCAGGGGGAACGCGGTGTATGTGCCTGATCTGTCGGAGTTTGGGTCGTCGCGGCTGGGGGAATTGGTGGATGGTCCTGTCGTGTACTTGGGCATGCCCTGCAACGTGCCAGAGAGGACTGTGTAGCTAGGACACAGGATTGAATAACTTGCAGTAGAACTTGGTCAAGGCGATCGAGGAACTGGGCCTACGTGGGAATAACACCACGTGCTACTACTATTACTGGCATGTGCAATGTCTCCCCTCTTTCCTCTTCCCATCACCACTGGCCCCTAGCTTGTACGAGGTACGATGCACAGAGCTGTACTGACTGTATATCCTGATCACCACTCGTATCTAGCCATGAGAGCGGACATGCAGCCATTTCCCCCCTTCGCGGACACCACATCAGCAAAACGGGGGATTTGAAGATAATGCGTTGCAGTGCGTGATCAACGGCCGTATTGCATGGTAAGTAATCACAAGACATATCACGTATTACAGGGTGGTAGCCGTAGACGGCCATCGGTCGTCTGGCATGGCAATCTACCGCCTGCTAGACGCCGGTTGGTCGGACAATTGTCTTCTCCCGCCGCGCATTGTAATACACGAGGGGGCCGATGGCAATACACGAGGGAGACGATGGCAATACCTGGCTGCACGCATGGTAGTTGTCCGATCATACACAAGGCGGGACATGGTAATCTGACGCAATGATTTTAGACCGTTGTCATAGGTTGGCATGTAAGATCGCATCTTGTAGCACACACAGGCTGGATAGTGGTCGATTAAAACACACAGTAATCATTCAGAAGAAGCTATCAGATAATGACAGATATAGTACGAGACTACTGGAGGTATGGAGACGCAAGAACAAAATTCAATCGCGAGCTTTCCGCACTTTGAACGCCCATCGGAGTCTGTAAGACGAGACGATGAGTGAGTGCTGCCGGAGATAAGCGCATGCAATAAATACCGTTCAATCCTTGCCGCCCGACGCGTCGCCGAAAGGCTCATCGATGTCGCAGGTCTCCGCTTCGTTGTCGCTCTCTTCAAGCATCTGATCGCCTGCAGTGGTCGGGGGACGGACTGCACACTTTTCGTGGCCGTTCCCAAAAAGCTCTCTGAGGTAGTATAAGTCAGTCGACGTCTCGATGAGCAGTGAGACTGCACGGAAAAGCGATACTCACTTGACTCACCAAGACCTCAGCTTCATAGCCCAGTTGGGCTTCTGCCGCATTGACTTGAGTAAACCGTTGACGAAATCGTTGACGTCCCAGCGCCCATCGGTGTCGCTCCAGGTTGGCTCACTTGTTACGTAGAAGCGAACCTGACGCAATACACATCAGCAAACGCCACACGAAGTCGCCGAGGAGCTCACCAGCGCTGCTGTAGCGACGACGGAGTACAGCGTGAAGCTGTCGGCATCCACGTTGGTCTTCTCGGCGACGGACTTCTGGCCCGGCTGCTTCCGAGTGAGAAACCCGCCGGCATCGCCGCGGATCGCAGCCGTCGGGTTGCCGTACAAGGCCTTGCCAGTAAGCCTGGTAACAATATGTAACTGTTAATTGAGTCGTATGGTACAAACCTGACGCTTACCTTGAGTATCAACTCGCCCTTGAGGAGCCCTTTTCGAGCCCGTGGCCTGGTCGGGTCGACCTCACAGAGGTTGTACATTGCAGTAAAGTAATTTTTGGCCTCGAAAGTCTCGATTTTCGCATCAAGGACTTTCTGGCAGTAACTGAGCGACTAGTCATTCATCAACACAAAGAGATATAGAATAAGACGTACTTATCCGGGTGCAAGAAGAGGGGGCGACGAGGACCATCGGCGCGACGAAGCGGCTGCATTGGAGCGGCAGGGGCGGGACATGAGCCGGAACGGGGCGCTTGCTGTGAGTCCGACTGGAGGCACCAAGGGTAGCCTGATCGCGTGATTGGACCTCAGATAGACACATTCGCATGACTGGGCTACGTACCGGTGTGCGCCTGATCCCATTCTCTGAGCCACCTGCCACCCGGGGTGTGGTGGGACCTGTGGCCGTGTCCGACTCACCCCGGGCGTTGCATAAGGCTGGGGAAGATCGTGATCAAATGAGAGGAGGAAATGGGGATGGAGATGTCGCACCAGGTATGTGCTCTTCATATAGCTGACTGTGAGGCGAGTGGCACCAGGAGTGATGATGGCGGTTGCGGCAGGCGTTCAGTAGACGCGCAGCCCGCGCCGACGCGTCTTATTGTCTGCGCAGGCGCTGAACGCGCGCAATGGCCCCCACCTCCATCTATCATGGGCCTCCGCTTTTACCACCACCCTAACAAAGTATTTAAAACTATGCATGCCTATCGCGATGCGGCGCTTCTGGGTGCGTTGTCCGGAATCAGCAGAGCGCGCAGCCAACAGCGCCCTCCAGGCAGCTCAAGCCGTGCTCAGCCTTCGATTCCGGACGACGCGCTCCACGTCCTCGCCCACTTCGCCCACTTCCGCACGCTCGCGAACAACGTCGACCACCCCACCGGCCGCGAGCCCTTCTCCCTGCCCGAGCTCGTCGAGCTCGACCTCTCAAAGGCGTACGATGTCGACCGCCTCGACCGCCCCCGCCCCGACTCGCCCCATGCGGCACGCCTCGACCGCCGCCTCCACGCACACCGACGGCACGCCCGACACGCCGCCACGGCGCTCGTCCTCCCGCTCGTCACGCGCGTCCAGGCGGGCGTGCTCCGCGCTCACCTCTTCCCCCGCCTCCGCCACCTCGTCTTCGAGGGCCGCGAGAACGACGTCTCGGACGCGGACCGCCTCCCGCCCCACCCGACCCTCACCTTCGTCGACGTCTGGGCCAGCGCGCCGACGGCCACGGCCCCATTGCCCGCCCGTGCGCATGCTCGACCGCGCGCTCGCGAGCCATGCGGAATGCACGATAGGAGTGTGCAATATATATAATGTGCCAACCAGTATTCCCATCTCACCATACGTTATCATACATGTCAAACTATCGTCTTGCGGGCGTTGGTCCATCTTCCGTATGCCATGCTCTGCAAGCAATAGTAGAGCAGACAATTGATTGCCATGTATTACCATCAGCTGTCTAGCAGACAAAAGACTGTATGCCCTTATCAGGAAGCGCCGAGCGCGGTCAGACCCCGCGATGCGTGACAAGAAGATACGCCCTTTGCTGATGCATGTCTGCCTCGGATCGCACGCACCTGGTCGCTCTTCCTGCAGACTTCGCGCAGGAATGGGCCCTCAAGCGAGCAGATGAATACCTCGCCATGTCCTTCTCCCTTCGCACCCTGCACAACACTCTCGGCCCCCTTCACCGCGCCCTTCCTCCCGAGATGCTCTCCGAGATCTTCGCGCATTGTTGGCAAGACAGAAGCAGCGTCGGAATCATGTCCGTTTGCCGTCACTGGCGTTCTCTCGTCCTCAGAACCCCGCGATTTTGGACCGCTGTCGCTGCAGAGAAGCGTTTCCTCAACTTCGTACAGTGGGAAAAGCTCTCTAGGAAGCGGCAGGACCGGAGACGCGTGGAGATCGACACCATCCTCACACTCACCAGATCAGAGCCCCTTAACCTGCTGTACAATGGATTCGTCGCTCAAAGCTCGCTGTTTCCACATATGTCCCATGTGGCCAAGCTTGACGTTCGAGTATGGGACCTCATGCAGCTGCTAGACCTCTGCAAGACGTTCAACCAAGGATATCCGCTCCTGGAGGTCTTTGCAGTGGAGCTCGATCACCTCGGATGCGAATACCCATTGGAGGCGCTCAGCGCGGTATGGGAAGGAACTAGCGGATCTTACACCACGCCTCCACACGCTTTCCCGGATCCCTGTCGACCTGTTCCCATATTTTTCGTCCACCACCTTGCACACGGCGTACGTGACTACACATGTCTTCAAAGGAGAACCACTCCTTGCCTTCAGCTCTGCCTTGAGCAAGTGCCCCAACTTGCTTCGCCTCACCATGAAGGAGATCGTTCACCCGTCCACCTCTTGTCGCTCGATCGCGCCCGTTGACGTTGTGGAGCTTCCTTTGCTGCAGTCCCTGATCGTTTACGATCAGTCGTGTAACATCCCCCACGTCCTTGAACCTCATGGTTTCACCAGCCACAGATATTCAGCTATCGGAGATCGAGATTTACAAAGCTCTCAAACCTTCCCGACGTTCGCCCTCCCGTGGATCAAGGGGTGGCAGCATACCTCAGGCACACCGTCGACGCCCTGCGGCCCTGCAGCTGCGAGACGTGCTCCCGAATAACTTCGATCTCCGCAAGATGGTCGTAACAGGCTTCTCGAACGGCACGAAGCGCGTCGGGCTCAGGCTCCAGTGCTTCAAATACTTGACATACCCCTGGGCGGAGGAACTCGCAGCCTCGCTCCGCGCTCTCGCGGTCGTCACCCACCTCTCGCTGCACATGACCTTCGATGAGTCCCGGCCAAAAATCCACCTTTCCGGCGACGAAGACGAGGATTCGTCCGAGGACGAAAAGGAGGGCCCGTCGAGCGGCGACGACACCCCCGGCATGTTCGCTGTGAAGTCGTGCCAAGTCAGAACGGGCAGCGTGGCCCGCGCGTTCCCGCAGCTCGTCGCGCTCGAGCTCGCGGGGCCCTGCGTGTTCGCGATGCTGGACGTGCTGGCCATGCGCGACGGCGCGTCCGTGGTCCCCGAGGCGTTCTATCCGCGCCTGAAGACGCTCAAAGTCGTCTTCCCCACCCGCCGGGTGTTCGCGTCCGGCCTGGACGGGATCCAGACGGGCGGAGGCCAAGCGCAGTGGCTCGCGCCGCAGGTGCTGGCGGCCGCGAGGAGGCACTGCGCGCTCCTGACGCGAGTGCTGACGCGCCGCTCGGGTATGGGGACGCGGCTGGAGCGGCTGGAGTGGGGCGAGGCGCCGTGGGAGGACGGGGGCGGGGTGCGCTCGAACGCGACCGCGGTGCACATGCCAGACCGTTCGGAGTACGACGTGTCGCAGCTGGAGCAGCTGGTGGATGACACGTTGACCTTTACGGGCTTTAGATACGTCCCTGGTGCGTCTACAAAGGACATTTAGAGGACTGGGCCGGCGAAGTGGTTACTTGTGTACGAGAACGATAGCTTGAATGCAGCTTGAATGCAATTTGAATGCCTCTTACTACTTTGCTAGTGAGTGTGACGTCATGGGAACTATATGGATAATCGTGGGATTTGCTTAGTAATAAATGGCAGCGCTTGGTATCGGGCCTCGAGGCCGCGATCATCGCTTCCTAATCGCGTGTCTTGCCTAGAGGACTAGGCCTTAGGGAGTAGATAGGTCACATGAGCCTCGTGGGAATATGGAGATTCCCACATGTCACATGCTAGATCGTGGGATGGGAAAAGCGGAGCGCTCGCCCGGAGGGTATCGTGCCGAAGCTAGGCACGACGCGATCGGAGGTCGCGTCCCCTCCCGGTCCTATCCCACCCCGCTCGACTCCCGTCGATCCGCGAGCGGATACGCTCCCGCCCTTCCCGCGAGGGAGAGCGACTCGCCCAAAACGAGCACCAACAGTCGCGATCCCGAAGCGCGGCTCGCCCAAGCAGCGAGTGCAAGTTAATGATTATTACAGTTTCGTGCGTTTCTTCCAGGCGCTTATGGACTCGTTTGCTACAAGGACGCGTGCAGTGTCAGTTTTTTGGGACATGTGTAAGGGGAGTATGCACTCTATGTTTCGCCAATACTTTAGGAATGCTCGGGATTGCCAGCCCCCAAGCGCCGCGACAATGTCCGGGTTCGTTCCGCGCATCAGCCATTCGGTAGTCCCGCCGATGCGGAAGCAGTGCCCCGTGAGGGACGCGAGGCCTTCCGCCTGCCAAGCCGCCGCGCATCTGTTCAGGAACAGATCGCGCGTCATGGGCGCCCAGCCCCCGCCGCCCGTTTCGAAGCTGAAGAGGGGCGCGTGCCCCGGATTGAGTCGTTCATGTAGAGGTGGTGCAGTAGCGCCCATGAGGCCTGGGTTCTACCTCGACGTCGCGGAGGACCACTTTCGCGCCTTGTTTTTGGTCGTCTTCGTCCACGGAATGGCGAACCAGCGAAAGTGCCTGCGGCGGTGATCCCGCGCTCGACTGTGGCGCTGCGCGACACATGTCTGTCCGCTTTGGCGGCGCCGGCTGATGGGATGACGAGCTCTCCCAGTCTGCGCGATGTGAGCTCGAGATGCGCGCGAGTGCGTGAGTCTTACCGGCGACAGCCCCAGAAGGCGCAGCATGCCACTGCCATCACGGCGCTGTCGAATGTGTTCGCGAGGTCCAGTTGTCTCAGAAGCGCTCCATGTGCGCCACCGTGACCGGCGCGCGCGGCGCGTTTGCCGCGGGCGCGCGCTTGGACGCCCCGTCGCACACGGACTTGAGGAGCCGCATGTCGGCGAGATGCCAGGGTGCGCCGTGAGGGTGTGCCAGAAACCCAGGCCCGCGATCCAGTTGTCGATTGTGTGCGCGCTACAGAGCCCGCGTGGTTCGCGACGAAGGACGCCAAGAGAATGTCAGGTGCGGGGAAACGCGCGATTCGGGTATGTTCTGTTTGTCGCAGTATTGATGGAAGCGCAGAAGTCCGGCGCCATAGTTTTTTCTCGTCGTGTTTTCCAGTTCGCTAGCGCTATCATGTATACGTTTTCGAGCTGGTCCGGGATACGATCTTCAGCAATCTTTTCGAGCGCGTCCGCTCCTGGGGCGGACCACTTCGCTAGTCGGTCTTCTGCGGGCACGAAAGGTCTGAAGGTGAAGGGGCAATCACGTTCTCGGGTCTCGGTTTTCTGGGTTTTCGTCCGGCTAGGGCTCGCGGTGAGGTCGCGCGCGCAGAGGTTCCGACGCCTCCGGGTCGCGTAGATCTCCCCTTGCCGGACGCGCTCGCACGTGCGGGCGCGGTCTTCTTTCGCGCTGCTTTAGGCATGGTACGCGAGGAAGATGCCGATCTCCGGCGGCAGGGGAAGGGTGTGAGAAGGGGGAGGCTGCTTGGCGCGCCGCGAGACACGTGATCAGCGATGTTGATGGCCGACTCAACATATTCTAGGTGTAGCCGAATGTTCCTGGTCATGCATACCATTTCGAGGCGACGGATCACGAGGTTGACCTGAAAGTTGCGGCTCTTGCCGTTGCCGACGGCTGCGATGACGCCTGGTTGTCGCTCCGGATCAGGACGTCGGAATCCCGGATGTCCTTGGCCTCGAGCCAGAGCACGGCGAGCTCTACCGCCAGCGCTCCGCCCAACCGATGTCGCGCCCGTGAGTCTTCCACTCCGAGAGGGGGAGCCTCCATTGCCACGCCGCGCGCGCGCCTCCGCCACCAGTCCCACGCCCCACTCCGTGGAGGCATCGACCCAGATCCCAAGGTCAATCGGCTGCCGCGCGCGATCAGCTGACGCGTGACGCCCTCGCGCGCGAGGAGATCTGCCCACCACTTGATGTCTGCGATGAGGGAGGGCGGGGTATCGTTTTGCGCCCGGGAAGGGTCCGCGCCGAAGTCCGCGATGAAGCGCTGGAGGTTGGAAGCGCGAGCGGCCTTGGTGTACACGAAGTGATATGTTGCAGGTCCCGTTGAGGCTGGTCGCGTCCTTCCAGGAAGGCGCTCGCGCTTGTCGACCGCGCGCGCGCGGACGTCTCCACCTTCGCGAGGTATTTCCGCGTTTCTCATCTGAGAGCCCGACGCGCTTCGCCGCGATCCACCATCGGAACCCGGTGTAGTCAAACAGTCACTATGGGGTGACACTTCTCCATGTTCCAGCGCACGCCGAGGGGTGCGTGGCGCTATGATGTCCCACATGTCTGTCCGTACAGGTAGGCGCCGGCGGCTCTTCGGCTATGGGGGAGCGCAGGTTCGCGAGGTCGTCTACCCATTTGGTGTTGTCGCCCATGTCGAGCGCCTCGATCACGTCGACCGTCGCGTCCATGGTCTGGCCTTGCAAGCCCGTGCCCGAAGATATTCCGAAGGGACGGTGTGGTCGATGAAGAATTTCCCGGGCGCGTTTGAATGACCAGGTAGGCCTTGTGATCTGGACGCACGGGTATGTTGCGGAAGGCCGCCTCGACGTCCATGGAGGCGCCCTGAGTGCCTGGCGGGGCGATCGCGATCTGGTTCTCATGTTAGCTCGAGGTCTCGAAGTGTTCCCTGAAGCGATTGGTTCGCGGGCGAGCCGGGCCACATGGTGCCGGTGTCACGAGAGGCGCCCCCCCGCGTGGTCTCTAGTCGCGAAGGCGCTCCCCGTGGCGCTGGCACTATGTGGGGCGCGCGGCGCGATGCGCGAAGCTCGAAGGCACGAGCCGCGAGGTGCGATGACGCGAGGCTCTATGGCGCGACGCGATGTTGAGGGCGCGGCGCGATGCTCGAGGGCGCGATGCGCGACACTATGCTCGAAGGCGCGATGCGCGGCACGATGCTCGAAGCGGGCGCAATGCGCGTGGGTTCCCGAGTACAGGTCGCGTGGGACGTACCTTTTCTGCCAGCTGCGCCGCAGTACCCCAAGTGGTCGGGAAGAGGTCCGAGTCGATGCGCCCGTTCACCGAAAGTCCGTATTCGTCGTCCTTCGAACAGTCCTGGACCAGACGCAGCTTTCCGTTCGCCTTCGGCACGACCGTGAGAGGGGACGAGATGAACGGGCCGCCCAAGATGCTCTCGACCCGCTCGCGTGTGTACGGCCCTGACATGCGGCCTGCCGCGACTTCTCCGTTTACGTATTTTTCTATGAAGTCCATGTGTTCGTTCGCGC